TTCTTCTTCTTCTTCTTCTTCTTCTTCTTCTTCTTCTTCTTCTTCTTCTTCTTCTTCTTCTTCTTCTTCTTCTTCTTCTTCTTCTTCTTCTTCTTGTGTACATGTAGATGCAAATGTCGATACGATACAATACAATGCCCATGCCCATGCCAGGCTCATCAGGGCCGATTGTCAAGCTCGACAAGGCTCAACTCCTCGGCCAAACCTATTCTCAGTGTCCTCACCACCTCGGCGCCGGTCACGTCCTTGCCCTTGAACCTCGCGCGCCAGTCCCATCCTCTCGGTCCATCGTTGTTTTGGGAGGGGACGAGCACACCGCTACTTCCTGCACTCTTGCCACCGGTGCCCGTGCTGGTCAGATCACTCTTGGCCAGCATTTCCGAGCCCATCATGCTGAAGCTGAACGCCGAGTTCGTGCCGGACGACATGCTCTTTTTGAGCATGGCGTGGGGACTTGGAGGCTGCGAGCCGTGATAGTTGCGCAGTGCTGCCTGCAAACATTCTTCCGTAGCTACATACACCCGCGTCGACACTGTGGAAAGGTCTTCGATCGCAGCCAGGATCGAGTAGATCTGCGTCGCGGTCAATACCGGTTTCCCTGACGGTTGACCGTCGGCGAGCAATGCAGTAACCTCGCCAAGGAGCGTGAGAAGTCCGTCGACTTGGATGGCAGATTGACGTTCAGGGTCGTAAAGGCCTCCATAGATACTGTCTGCTGCACTGTTGACTGCCGCGACAAGGGCCTTTGCAGCGGCTCTTCGACGAGCAAGAGGTTTGAGATGATGGGAAGGCTTCATGTCAAGAACGTCTTGGTCGCGTAACGTGTAGAACCGTCTGAGACAAGCATAGCCAACAAGGTAGAATTGCAGAATTTCCGCCGCTTGAGGATCGGCTTCGGCAATATCTGACAGAGCGGACTTGGGGTTTCCGACCAGGCTGTGCAGTCCATCGTCCATCTCGTTCTCTGGCGGGTACGCCCGAGACTGAACCAAGGAGTAGCTGATCAGCAGATCAACCAGTTGACGAATCTTATGCGGCGCATGGCTCCGTGAATAGCATAGCAGAGCCGTGCCGTATTCCGTGGTGTTGTTGACGAGATGATCTCCAAAACGATCCGAAACCTTGCGAGCCTCTTCCTGCAGGCCGAGGTCTGAGCACAGATTGGTGAGCTTCTCGGCTCGATCCTGTGAGACAACCTGGAGCTGGTCAAGGAAACCACCAACAGCATTTCGCATGGCCTCACGGTCATCCAGGCGTGTCACGACCGAGATTGCTACTTCCCAACCTTCAATGGCAGTGCCGTCAGGGAGTCGTAAGATGTCCTTCTCGAAGAGCTGATCGGCATAGCCTCGAAGGATATCGTCCTTGGACAGAGCTGGCTTTTTCACGCCGTAGCTGAGCACCATGAGATCCTCATCGTTCAAACCGACTGGTCGAGAAGCGGAGCCGTCGGTGTCTAACCAACCAGCTTTCGACCCAATCTCGGCCACAGAAGCAGCAACACATTGGGACAAGACACGGAGCACCAGAAGAGCGCCTTGAATGTCGCCCTGGAGCACCGCGGCTAAACCCACCTCAACAGGCGACATGGCATTGATCTGGAATGCGTTTTTGTCTTTGGGATCGGTCACGCTGAGAAACGAGTCTCGCAATCGCGCCAGATAGAGCTCCTCCTCGCTGAAATTTGCTCCATTCAAGTTATTAGCTCGGCTGACGTCGAAACTCCATTGTGCAACTGATGCATTTGCAGTGCCATCCCACCAAACCGTCAAAGACGTAGCAGCCTCAAGCCAATCCTGTGACTGAGCAACAATCTCTTCAGCACTACCGAGCATGATGTTGTAAATGATTTTCAAGTTCTGGTAGATCGTCCATGGCAGGGTCGACTTCGATTTTTGCCCAAGCTTAGCGAGGAGATTTTTGCCGGGTTTGCGCAAGCCAAAATTCTCCGCCTCAAAGGATTCATCGTCTTCAAGGTCTTCGTGAGCTGAAGCTTGATCTGTCAAATTCTCCAGCTCCGCCTCTACTTGGCTTCGGAACAAATCCCAATCAGGACCAGCCACGTTCCAATCTTCGAGTTGAACGACAGGACAAGAGTTGAGTAAAACTCTCGCGCGATAGATGGCGCTCTGGACAGCTTGGAGCTGTGCGCCTTTGTAGCCGATCTCGTCTGTCCCCTCCTCTGTTGCAGACGCAGCGTATCGGAAATCGGCATCAGCAAATAACTGCATAACCATGTTCAGCTTGCCCCTCAGTACTAAGCTTTGAACTGCATCCCAAAACAAGTCGTGAGACACGCAACTGGGTCGAGCTGAAGACACAGAGTGGTACAGTGAGTCGTATGAGACATGGTACTCGTCGAGCCACTCCAGGAGAAGTTGAGGCATTGGAGCCGGCGTGCCATTTGGAGAAGCAGGAGGATGACGAAGAGCGAGCAACAGTGACGCCAGATAATTGGCTTTCGTGAAAGAGGGCGCCGAAGGCTGTGGACCGATCTCACTGCTATCAAGCGCAGGGCGGTCTATCTCAATGAAGCGACGCCAGACAGAGATCAACTCGAAGACCCTCTCAGAGACGGCCTGAAGGGCTCTATTGCTGTCAACCAAGTACTGCGTCTGCTCGTCCAGCTGGCGAAGAAGTTGCTCGGTCTGTAAGATCACCTCATCCGGCTCTGCTAGAGTGGCTGGCTGTGCTCTGGTCGCGATGTTCTGAGCGAGACTAATGACGATATTTTCATTCCCTTTGTTAGGCAGAGCGGAGATTCTGGAGGTCCGCAAAGATCTATGATGCTGCGACAGTCTCGATTCTCGGTTGTTTCCACTCATGGTGCTGAACTTCATGAGTGATGCTGCCGACTGCTCATTCACACGCTCAAAGCCCTGGGAGAAGCGAAACTGGTTTGTCTCATCCTCCATCCCTCGCTCTTCCATGTCTTCATCTGAGTATTCCGCGTCATCTTGCTCAGTATATTCCGAGGCCTGCGATAACCCAAAAGAAGTGTGGTACGGTCTCGCCGTTTCTTTGGCTGGGCTTCCATTCTTCGTGCGCGGCTCCTCGTATGAGTCGAACTGTGGAGAGCGTAGTGGAGGGGACGATTTCGAAGGCTTGGAAAACTGTAGCTTGCTTACGCCGGTGCCGAAAGACGAGCTGCCAAAGATCTGGGAGGGAGGAGGTGCGATAGGAGTTGTACTGGCTAGCTGGGGGGTGTTGGAAGCGAACAGATTCGCGCGTGGTCGTTGGGGCTCTTTGCCAGGAGTCGAATTGATGCTGGACGAATAGTCCGCTGTAAAACGGTTCATGATGGCGTTGAGATGAACGATCAGGGCGCAGCCTCCGTATCCCAACAGTAGGAGTTATATGCTTTGAAAGACGGTTGCCGTGCAATAGACAAGCGCCGACGTTAGCAAAGCGTTGTGGTTCATGCGCGTTGTTGCGGTACAAGAAGCAGTTTGGATGCAGAAAACAAAACGCGATCCACCCATGATGTTGCTGAGTCATCCAATTGTTGGAATAGGGACAACGTGCAGCTGAGCTACCGTAGAAGAATAATAACCCTTTCTCGATTCGACAGTAAAGACTTTTAAGGCTCGAAGAGATCAAAGTCTATCAATTTATCACGAACAGAGTAAAGAAGTGACGATGAAGCAGTCGAAAGAGACCGCGAGAAGAGCAACTCAGGCCGAGAACATAATGAATATGCGACAACCCAGGCGCTTCGCTGGTCAATATTTCAAGGAGAAAAGAGTAGCTATACAAGAGAACCCAGAAAACACGGGAGATCTGTTTTGTGATTGTTCCCATGCAGCTCTCAAAAACACGAGGGCGGAGGCGTGACCTCGACCCTACATCGATATCTTAAGTCACACGTCGGAGTTGGCGGAAATCGCTCACGGTAAGGCCAGCCTCAGTCTTAAGGTTACATGTTCCTATACCGTTGACGATGGGGGTAGTAAATCCAGAGCAATCAGCTGAGGACGTATCGCATGCAGCGGCGCAGGCTTCGTAAGTCGTTTCTGTGACGGTACTAATGTCTTCACTGGAGGTGTCGGTGTTGGGACAGACAGATACCATTCAAAAGTGGCGTCACTGAATTGATTAGCAGTATGCGAGCTCACAATATCCGAGAATATTGATAGGTGTTGGGGTCTGTGGCCTGTATATGCACCCCATTAGGTCCGAAGCTTGGGTACTGGGGTCGAGCAGTTTAATAAGGAGCGCGGCACTATTCAGTATAAAGTTTCCACTGTTTACCTCACACTCAGCACTTCTCTTGCGGTCTACACAGACTGGGTTCTAAGTCTAATTGCACAGCTTCGGGTCTTCATCCATTATTTACTAGCATTACTACCTTCTATGGCACACCCGCATCTTATGTCCCATCAGGGCGTAACACATGTGGGAACTATACACATCGACCCCACAAATGTCGACGAATTTCTCGAGGCGTTCCGGGCATGTTGGGTGCAGGTTTGCAGGGAACCCGAATGCATATATTTCGACGTCTTTCACTCCAAAACAGAACCCGGTCGATTTCATTTTGTCGAAATCTGGAACAAGGATAACGACTGGTTCATGGAGGTTCAGATCAAGAAGGACTATTACAAGCCGTACTGGGACATCACAAGGCCGCTTTGGGAGGCCCGGGACCTTCACACGTACGACCGACTAAGTGGATTCAACTTTGTTGATGGCAGATATCTAGAAGGAAGTGTGAAAGTCAAGGAGGAATTACACTAAGAAACGTGGAGCGGCTACAGACCTCTATCATGGACCAAATTGCTTTATAGGTCACTGTTTCAGTTGCCCCCAGATCAGAGTGTCTTCAATTCTATACTTCCCACGGCCCAGGCTTACTCTCCACATCTTCTGAGAAATACATGGTCATCGAGCTACGATCAATAAACTGTTCCTCGTCCTCAATGGCAATCTTGGTGAACTCAGGATTTGGCTTGCTTCTCAGAGACTCAAACAAATCCCGGTCCTTGTACCAGACCTCCATGATGACATCGTAGCCACCGGTAGTAGTTGGGAGAGGTGACGACATGCCATCAATTTGTGTTAAGTAGCGGCGAGCGAAGCGCAACACGCCAGGCAGGGCAACGTGCTGCTCAAACAGCTTAACATGTTTGGTTTCGTAGTAATCTCGGAATGCTTCTGCAGAGATTCCTGGTTTTCTCTTGAAGAGTCCCACAATCTTGAGGACTGAAGGCTTCCCATTTACCTAAGACTTGACGTGAGCTTTATCTGCACTCATACAGGATGGTACAAGATGAGACTTACGACTTTCGATGATGATGCTGCTGCCATCTTTTCTGCAACTTGTATTTTGTGTGTGTAGACCGAGTATTGCACTTGTTATGGTTAACACATTCATAAAGAACCACGCAGGAAAGCAGGAGAGTTTCTCACCTTGGGCGATGGCACTTGTGTTGCTTCGCGTTGACACTGTTAACGATGCTGGCTAGAAGGTCAGCTATTAGCATCAAAATGATGAAACACTCCTATATAGGGGAGTCGTTCCGAGACGGCCACGCAGATCACGAATAGGATGATGTCTCTGGGAAAACTTCGAAGACAAGGAACCTACCCCTTTCACTACCCACCTTCACCCAGTCCAAGGAGTGGAGAAGTCGTCTCCAGGGCCTTCCGTTGTTTGATCGGAAGATCCTGGAGTAACAGAAGCAAGGGGCGATCCTGTGACTTTGAGCATCTTCAACCAACGCCAACGGCACTGGACAAGCACAGGTTCCCTAGTTTGCACCTTCATACCATATCTGACTAATCTTGGCATTTGCAGCCTGGTCCATATTTTGGAACATGAAGACTTTTTACTTTGCAATCTTAATAGAACGCTTCACCTTATCGAGATGATAGCCTGACAGTACTACACAAGAAGACAATCAACCTGCAATATGGAGACCTGCACGGTATCCAAACACCATTGAAGGGCCTAGAGTCAGGCCACCAGATGGATATTTCCCTCGCAAGAAGTGATTCGAGTCTGCACCCACGGCATATAGACCAGGTACTGGCTCTCCCGATTCCTTCAGCACCTGGCCATCCTTGTTCGTCGCCAAGCCATACATAGTGATGCCATTTCCTGAGTATAGAGTCAAAGCATAAAATGGGCTCTTCTCAATGGGTGCTAAGCTTGGATTCGGATTAACTTCGAAATCGCCGTACGCTTGGTCGAACGATCCATCTCCGCGGCCAAAGTCCTCATCTTTGCCTTTGCGAGCAAATCCATTGAACCGGTCGATAGTAGCTGAAAGATTGGTAGGATCTACCCCGATCTTTTGTGCAAGGGCTGGAATACTTTGAGCCTGGATGAGATAGCCACGCTTGATGAGGTGCCTAATAGGGTACCCTCCTGGTAAAGCCATGCCCATTCCATAGTTCCGAAGATGTCTTTTGTCTCCAACCAAGTAAGAAACACGGACACCCGCCTCATGAGTCGCGCGTCCCAGATCCTGGTAAGCCGCTGCTTCGTTGACAAACCGTTTGCCGTCACTGTCCACCATTATCGAGCCTGGTTTGGTGATAGCAGTAGCGAAATGAGGGTAAGAACGAGCAGGTCCTTTTGTAGAGTTCAAAATTGATATAGGAGACCATAAGGCGGCATCTTCCCCGAGGGGTTCTGGCAAGTATCCTCCACTCGCAAGACCGAATCGCATTCCGTCTCCCACATTTCCTCGAGGGCTGACTGTCCAGTCGGGGTTTGACAGGTATTTGCGGCTCAGCTCGCTTGATCGTGCAAACCCACCGCTTGCCAGAATGACTCCGTCTCGTGCCCGTACTCTCAGCTTCTGGCCATTTCTCCTGATCACCATGCCAGCAACGCGGCCGTTCATGATGATCGGTTCGAGAGCTGGAGCATTATTCCAGAGATCGATGCCAGACTGTGTAGATTTCTCCAGTAGTCGACCGACTAAGGCATTGCCGTTGCACAGCTTCGTTCCTTTTCCCCACCGTACGCGGTCAATTGCGTATCGCAGGACACCTTTAGTGACCGATGAAAAGTTTCCCAGACTCCTGAAGGGTTGTCTCCACCTATTCATATCCAGGAGGTCGACTTGTAACGAACCAAAGGCGCAGTATCCTTGCAGTGGATAGCGCACTTGCTTGACCATCGGGCCTAGTCTTCGCCCGTCATAGGGTGCATTTAGAACAGTTCTTCCTGCTTCGCAAGCCCCCTCCAGCTGCATGTAATAGTCTGGGGTAGGTGCAGCGACGAACTGTGTGGCTGAGCTAGATTCCAGGAATTCAGTCATTGCTGGGGCGGCTTCGAGATAGGCCGCCACCATTGTTTTAGCACTGTCGTAGTCTTCCTTCAAGTAAGTCCGTAAATATGTATCTGCGCGCTCCTTTGAGTCCTGGAAACCGGCAGACAATGATACGGGGTTCATAGGAAGCCACAGAGCCCCTCCTGAGTACGCTGTCGTACCTCCAAACCACTTCGTTTTCTCAGCGACGAGGACCTTTCGATTGCCCTTGAGAGTTGCCGTCAAGGCGGCAGTCAGTCCCCCTGCCCCTGACCCAACGACTACCACATCATATTCGGCATCGTATCTGGTGCCCTAAATCTGATTGTCAGTGGCTCGAAGTCCATCATTTCAGATGACGAAAGGATACATACCTCGACTGTAGTCGCATACGTACGGCAGGATTTGAGACATCTTCTTGGTGCACTAACAAGACAATCATTTGTCTTTGAGCATAAGATAAATGAGCCTACGTCAAAGGTTGACCTTGACCCAAGCGAGGGCAGTTTTCGCAACATCCTTAAGATCCAGATATGTCATTTGCTGGACACATGCAATAGTAACAGTAAGATGACAGCACCTATCGGCAGCCTGAGATTGGGACTGTAGTGTAATGAATGCAAAGTAGGTTTGCTCACAGGAAATAAACAAGAGGTCCCCTTCTTCCAACAGTAGATAATCTCAATGTTCAGATAGACATGGGGACCCATCAGCGGACAACACGAAGGCAAAGAGGCTTCGGACGAAGTCCTGACTGGACTGCCCCGGCTTTGAAATCAACCCCATATTTACCCCATATTTATCCGCGGGGAGGTCGTGAACACTCTCCGGGCTTTGCCGATATCTTGAAAGTTTGTAGTTGGTTACCATGGACATGGAATTGTGGGGGGTGGAGATGTGAATCAAGCAGTCTCCAGTACTAGCTCATTACGTTTTAGAGAGTATTAAAATTCGTGAATATATCCAGGCCGACAATTAGAGATTCGCAACACAGTAAAGTCCAGATTACGAAGACTTTGTTTGATACTATAATTACGTTAAGCGACATTGAGCTACTAGCAGGTCCAACTATAACGTTCGCCATGGGTCTTGAAGTGGATTTTCCCGCACCTTTATCATCATATCCGTTCGAGGGTAAGGTGATCGCAATCACGGGAGCAACCTCTGGCATCGGTTTAGCAACGACTCTTCTTCTCTGGTCTCGTGGAGCTACTGTGTCTGCTATGAGCAACAACCCTCGTGGGATCGCAGAACTAGAGACGGCTCTCCAGGAGGAATCCAAGACAGCATTGCCCGGACAGAAATTCCTCACAAAGGTCGTCGACGTCAGCAAGGAGGACCAGGTCAAGGGGTGGATCGAAGAGACCATCGCCACATTCGGGCGCCTGGACGGTGCAGCTAATATAGCTGGAGCAGTCCACAAATATAACAAACTGGCAGAGACAGCCTCAGAAGACTTCGACTTCGCGATCAACATGAATACTCGTGGCGTATACAACTGTATGCGGAATCAGATTCCTCACATGAAAAGCGGATCGGCCATTGTCAACATGAGCTCTATCTCTGCTACACAGACTGAACGGGGCATCAGTTTGTATGGCTCTTCCAAGGCAGCAATCAGCACGATGAGCACTGCAGCTGCAACGGAATATGGACCCATCGGTATCAGGGTCAACGCTATTGCTACAGGGTTGACACTCTCCAAACGTCTGCTGAGTGTCGCGAAGGAATATGTAGAGCCGGGCATCCAAGCTACGGCTCTCAAGAGAGGGGCTCAGCCGATGGAACAGGCTCAAGTCATTGCATTTTTGCTGAGTGATGAGGCTAGCTATGTCACCGGAACTGTTGTTAGATGCGATGGAGGTGCCCTTGCTCTGCAGTACTAGTTAGTGCGTATAATGAGGTAAGGCTAGGATAATTCGATAGAATGCGATGATGTGTCTATCCTCATATTGATCTTGCTTCATCTCACTAGTTTCACTGCTCTGAGCGTGGCGAAAACGTAAGTCGAATGGGCCCAGCCAAAGATTGATCATTCTGGTTTCGAGCTACATAAAGTTTCCCACAGCTATCGACAATGACTGCGAGTCCATACCTACGTTCATGTCTCCAGTAAATCATTCATTGCGATGCTCCTCTTGGTGGTTACCCAACTTTCCTTGCCGAGGTAACTTCAATCTTTCTTTTCATTCTCTCAGCTCTTGGTTCTCGTTGTGTTGAACAGGGACAGCCTTAGATTCATCTTCAGGGTCACTTCCCGGCGAGACAATGATCGGTGCATCCACATTTGCGTTGAATTCTGAGCGAGGATTTGTCATGAAGGACGAGACTGGACCCGAGAACTCAGTCAAAAGAATCATGCGTATAGAGAGGGATCGACTCACCTATGATGCCCACAGCCATGAGTACTGCTCCACAAATGAAGACGTTTCTGAATGAAAGGACATATGCTTGCTTGATGGCAAGACCAGCGGCGGCAATGATCTCAGGACTGATTCCCGGGATACTTTGTGCCAATTCCATATTTCCAGAGGTTAAAGCGCCAATGAGAGGACCGATGTCTGTATTATTGATGCCTAGTGGCACCACAGCCTTGGTGACCTTTGGTGCAAGGTTGCTCGTGAGGGTACTGGCAAATATGGCATTAATAATGGAGAGTCCAATAGAGCCACCTAAGCTGCGAACACCTGTGCAAATTCCAGAAGTGGTCGCAATCAGGTCAGGTGGCGTAGCAAACTGAGCAGCCGTGAAGAATGTGACGAGCGCCAGGCCCAAACCCATGCCGTAGAAAAGGATGTAGCCCCAATAGTGGGTTGAGGGGGTGTTTTCGTTGACACCAGCCATGACGCACATAAAGATAAGAAACATGACAAATGTTCCTACTCCTGTTGTTCTGACCGACTTCGTTTTGTAGATGTAAAGTCCGGACAGGAAACAGGCAACGCCAAAGGCACAGAAGCCTACCATCTGACATAAGTATTGCCTATAAGTGCTCAGATGGCCCGCTTGAAGCACCGATAGAGCATAAGGAAAGAAGACCGCCGCAGTCATGTAGCCCATCCCCTCGAGAGCAGAGCCGACGACCGAAATTGGAAAGTTGCGGTAGCGGAAGAGAGCATGGTGGAACAGGCCGTCTTTCTTGAACCTTGTAGCGTAGACAGCCAGGATAATGAGTAGAGCTACGCCGGTAAGAAGAGGTGCGAGTACATGAGCATCTTTCCAGGAATAGGGGTTTTCCGCCCACAGAAGTCCCAAACAGAGCAAAGTACACCCAGTCCCAAGAAAGAAGTATGCAGGCCAGTCAAGGGCCGAGATTTTCTCCCTGAGACTTAGAAATTGCAATTCTCTGGGTGGCGGGTTGTAGAGGAGAAACACCAGTAGGACAGCAACAGCGTAGACACCGGCACAGATGTAGAAGTAGATCCGGAAGCCGTCTGAACGAGATTGGACCAGGTAACCACCTACCGCCAGGGCAAATATGGACCCGAGAGCATTCATGATGTTAGCTGAGGCTTGAGCCCAGGACCGGAATCGCCGCGGGAGGACTTCAGAGACCACTGCCAAAATGAGGCCTTGCGAGCCGAAGCCGATGCCTCCAACGCAGAATCCGGCGATGTACATTCCCATTGAAGTTGCACGGGCGGAGATAATGGAACCCGCTATCCCGCCGATATTAGGAACAACAAGGATCCATTTTCTGCCCCAGCTACCGCGTGGATGTGTCAGCTGTAAATCTTGGGCATGTGTGAGTCAGGCACATTTGGATGCGACTCACTAGTCTGAAGCCTGGGAAAGCGGCGCTGCAAGAGCAACGGTGAAGATAATCACTGCCAATGATGGCCATGAGGTTAGACCAACACCTCCGATCTCAGCGGCAACACGTTGTGCAAACGTCCCGCCGCCGACCAAAATAATTAATTCGCAGAAGTAAAGAGTGAGAACCGCCTATCCAAGACGTTGTTAGCAACGCCGTCAATATAGATTATGTCTGTTAATGGCACTTACCCCAACTAATGCGAACGTTTTGGAGTGACTCCAGAGGGTCGTTCCCTCGACTTCAGTGGTGTCAACATGGGCAGTCGGCATGGTTGAATAGGCAGAGGATTCTTCTTTAGTCATTGCCATTTTGCCTACACAGAAAGAGGAGCCGTAGTCTGTTACGCAAGCGAGACCAGCTTGCTTATCAGTGTAGATTTTATACACTTACCACAAGCATTATGGGGTTTCCGTGGCCAGTGTTTGAACCTCTACTGAATGTGGATGAGACAAGAACTCTATGCAACTTGCACAATAACACGACCATGTTAGTAAGCATGGTCAAGACTCATTTAACGGCACTCAAGGCACCTGGAACCCCATCCGGAACCACCAAGCCTCTGAAAGTGTAATATGCTGGTTATCGCATGTTTTCATTGTGGTCTCTCGTATTCACACCATGCCGTCTGGAAGGGTCAGGTTGAGCGGAGTCTTCTCCTTATTGGTCAGGCTTGTTCGAAGGGGCAGGAATTTCCCCAGAACTGCAGCTCCCGGCCTGGGGAGAGTGGGGTTACTTGCGCATGGGGTTTGGGGTGCGACTCGAGGAGGTTTCCACTGAAGACACCAAGTAATCAAGACGGAAAAACAGAGACTTCACGACGGACGCACGCCACAAGCTTCGAGACCTCCCAGACATCTTGTCACAACCCCCAAATTGAATTATAGCACAAGCTACCACCAGATCGGAGAGCCCTAAGTTGACGCCACTGGATATGCATTCATTCAGAAATAACAGTCCACAGAGGCAAACCCTCCGCAATATAGGTGGTAGGCCTATTCAAGAGAAACGTGGCAGAACTATTGTGAAAACTATCACACTAAGTTGTTGAACGAACACCTCTCGCTTCCTGGAGTCTACGATATACCCGCACCTCAGCCTATTCCACAATGGACCACCTGAGAAAAACAGCTCAACCTGTATTGGGAGATGTAGATTTGCTTCGTCCAATGATAGGCCGAAATGTAGTATTATAGGTTCAAGGAGTAAGTCCACCGTCGATTGTATAGACTGCTCCAGTTGTGAATGTTGCTTCATCACTCAGCAAGAATGCGATCAAAGCTCCCACTTCTTCTGCCTTGCCGGCCCTGTTTATTGGTGACTTGTGATCTCCATCGCCTATGTGGACTTCCCGAGCGGCATCCAGCATCCTGGTATCGATACTCCCTCTATAGTTTCCATTAACTTCAAACTCGTCGGATTTTCTTTTGAACGTTAACGGGGACTTACGGGGCAATAGCATTCACTCTTACTCCACGATGGCCATTTTCGACCGCAGCAACTCTGGTGAGTCCAATGACGGCGTGCTTACTCGCAGCATATGCCAACGCCTGAGGTATGCCCATCTTGCCCGAGACACTGGCGGCGTTCACAATAGACCCTCCGTCTTCAATGTTTTGTAACTGTGCTCGTTGACAGGCCATGACACCCTTCACGTTGATTCTCATGACTAGATCGAAGTCGTGATCGGAGACCTCATGTGCCGCCTTTCTCCCGAATTCCTTTCCGACTATTCCAGCCAGGTTGACACCTCCAGAGAGCTTGGAGAAGTGCTTGACAGTTGATGCGATCCATTGATCTACCTGATCAGAATTTGCTACATCGACAGTCGTTGTGAGCACCTCGGTCTTATACATGGTGGAGATTTCATGAGAGAGTTGCTGTAATGCAGATGCATCAGTATCGGCCAACGACAGTTTTGCTCCACGATGAGCAAGAACATGGGCCGTGGCAGCACCGATACCTCCTCCAGCTCCGCTCACAGCAATGACTTTATCTTTAAGAGTCGCCATCTTAAGTTGGATAACAAAATCAAGGTATCGTGAACTCAATATGATGGTTAAAGAGCGTGACGCGAAAGGAACTTCATGCCACTGTAAGAAGGAGACTGCAGCTAATCAGGTTGATGTGATGAACTACACGACAAAGTGCAAAAGTCCTCAAATACGGCGTTGCGCCGCCCGGAGCACTCATTATCCACATGGCTTAACATTGGAGTGGCTTCCTTCTCATTATTCCCCTCCAAGGCGTGCTTGAACAATGAGTTGAAACTCGTGGAGATATGTCTCCATTCCCCGCCTCCACAAGGAAGCTCATTATACTCTCTGTCCGAACGTGAGCAAGCAGTATAGGGGTAACCCTATGATGAGAGACGGTGACCTTCTTCACCCGTGGGTGTACGGATACCCCTTGCTTGGCCATCCGACCCGCTCGCCCGTTTTGACTCTCTACCAAGTGTATTCGTGATTCTTCACGTAGCAAGAAAGATGGGCCCACGGCCATCGCAATGTGGTAAGTTCCGGTGGCCTTGACTCAGGCATTTCAACCCCTTTTTTATCCGAACAGATGAAAGGACATCAGCGCTTCGTATAGACCTACAGCAGCGTATCGAGGCTCCTTCTGATACGTAATATCAAAACCAAAGGCACGGATACCAGCGAATGATCAAAAGTTCGGCCTTATATTCGTCCTGAGTCGTCTCGAAGCTAAGAAGGAGTCGCCGAAGACTAAATGAGTCAGCCAGAATCTGTAAACTACCATTCTTCAGTCTATTGGGACCGTACCGATAGGTCTTTTGGTCGATACCGTAGGCTGTATACGAAGCAGAGGTCGAAATTTTCCTGGTGGTACGTCCTTATGGTGAGACAGCGAAATGACGCCGAGCAGGAATTGACACGACGACCAAATGCCTGTCAGACCGAAGATCAGAAGACAGATTATTCTCAAGAGTATGCTGGCGCAAAAGCATACTTCTTCCCCAGGTATGAAGAAGCGGATCGGTTCAAATAGTAACGTTAAGGGATATGCATCATATAACTTGGCCAGTAGACACGATGTTGCTCCACGTAATGGCTCGTCGTGTATCCCTCAAGATATTCTGACCAAGACGATTGCTCAATGGCGAAAGGTCTGTGTCGATTACCTTCCAACAGACTAGATCTTCAGTATAGATAGACATAAAATTGACTCCAGCTCGATATATAGCGCGCCATTGTGCCAACTATAAACCTAAGGGCCTTGCTTGAAGGATAGTAAGGCAGATTTGAAAGTGAGATAACTTATTCTCGCCCACATCACTGATGGCCCTTGAGGTCCTTTGACCTTTTTCCACCTTACGAACGCTCATGAAAGGCTCTTCAGACATAGTCCATCTCAGTACGTGAAGAGCTGAAACCACCGGTCCTATATGACCGTTGTTATACCATGGTCGGCCTTGACCACAGCACCAGTCAAGGCAGATGACCTCGTAGAGGCCAGAAACGTAACCAAATTGGCCACCTCTTTCGTATCGGAAATAGGTGTGTTCAACACATCTACGACGGCATCTAGCATCTTCTGACCTTCTGCATGCAGACCTTGGCTTCGGGCAACATTCCCAACAATGTCGGTGTTCATTCCTCCCGGCATGACCAAGTTACACCGGATGCCCTTGTTTCTGTAGAAAGCCGCGGTGGCTTTAGTGAGGCCCTTTACGGCATGTTTGCTGGTAGTATATGCGGCACCTTTGAAGGTCACGAGTCAGTATAAAAGTATGTACAACGCGCGATTTCGCCAGCTGCGTTCATCCTGATTCTACTCACCACCACACCATCCGTGCTCGCTTGCCAACGACCCTATATTGATGATTGATGCATCTGTTGCTCTTCTGTCTAGGAAATGGTTGACAGCAGCCTTGCTCAACAGAAAAGGTCCTGTGATGTTGACGTCCATGACCTTAGACCACAGTGCTTGGTTCAGTTGCCCCACCGGCTCGAAGCGGTCAAAGATGCCGGCACAATTGACAAGGACGTCAAGCTGGCCGAAGTGCTCTACCGTCCTGGATATCAGAGATTCCACTGCTCCGGCGTCCGTGACATCGGCCGGAAGCAACAATACGGATTCTTTCGATTGGAAATTTGCTGCCACAGAGTCGAGGAGGCTTTCGCTGAAGTCACTGACAACCACCTTTGCGCCTTCGTCTAGCAGAGCGAGAGCGATTGTTCTGCCTAGACCCCCAGCCCCTCCTGTTACTAGGCAAGTTCGTCCAGACAAAATGTTGCCAGCTGGTGCCATTTTGGAGAGTCAATGTTGAGCTCTGAGAGGTTGAAAAAGTTTCTTGTTCTCTTCGGAAGGGTACTAGACGACGTCTAGATTATATGGACGGCTAGCGAGCTATTGGAGTTTAAGGAATGAAAATCTCCCTGAACGCTGGTATATACTCCAGATTCTGACGGTCAAGAACTTAACGAGAGACATTGGACTTGAATTACCCCTTCACTCGCGAGACCGCTACAACCGTGGGATGTCTAATTCAGGGTCTGTAGAATGAGACCGTTTACATCCCCAGTCCTTGCCGGGACTTCGGACTGCCATGGAGTGGGTAGACTTGGAGATTCAACCGGGGTCCCTACATCGGCGACGTGTCTGATGAGCCCCTGTACAAAATTCTCCCGTCCTAGAGGAGATGGTCAAGATGTGTATATGATCACCAAGCACTTCGAAGTTTACGTATGCCTTGACTCTTTTTCCACGCTGTAACAGACTTTGAGCCGTACTCTTTTTCGGAACCAGTGCCACGAAAGCTTCTCCATCCAACACCAACATGTCTTACATCACGATGGTGGCCTACCCGGCGGTGGCTGATGCCAAATTCAACTTGCAATATTACACCAACAACCACATGCAACTAGTCACCAAGTATTGGACGGAATATGGGCTTTTGCACTGGAGAGTCATCACTTTCGACGCAGGCCCAGACGGATCAAAACCGTACAGCGTTGCTTCGACCATGACTTGGAAGTCAATCGAGGGGTTCCAGAAGGCCATGGCGAGTAAAAGTGCTGCCGAGCTTGTAGCAGACCTGGAGAACTTTTCTGATCAGCCACCTATTTTCTTGATCGGTCATGTTGCTGCCTCTGGGTAGACAGCTTCCAAAAGTGAAGGACCTATCGGAGGTGATGGAGCGAAACGGAGAATGAAAAACTGTAGAATCTACCTGGATCCTAGGGGACGTGATAACTATATAGTGCTACGTACAAGGAGTAGGTGGCTGGCCATCAAGGTGGTTGGGATGAAATAATGATCTACTCTGACAGGACACTCATCAACTGCGCCTTGAATTGCACCGCTATGCCGGGACGTAGGACACCAGGACACCCGGACATCAGGAGATTGTTGTGGAACTGAACCAGGTAGCTCATGAAAGCACATGGAGACTCCGTGTTGAATGCCAAATTGTAGATATAAAGGTGACAGCAACACTCTGTTTACGACCCTGCTTCTCCAGTCAAGCGCGCTGATAAATAGCTAGCAGTCTGTGCGCACTGCTCAGGGAATGCCACTCAGCAGCCTGGCGAGGAGCTGGGCGATGTGCATTTTATGTGTAAGCAAGATCCGCTCGCCTCTTGCCAATTGGGCTCGGCCTGAAATAGCAGATGTCGCTGTGTTCAATGCCGTGAATGCACCAGCCCAAAGAACAAGACTGGCGTAGTAGACCGCGTAAGGGACATGCGGTGCTTCGAACGCTAAGCTCGGCAGTTCCGTAGGTAGCGACGTGGGCCGAGTTGAGGAATGCTGGGATTGTCTCGCTGTATCGGTCAGAGTAGCTTCGATGCTGGCAATCATATTCTCCGCATGCCACTGAGCGGTCGCGTAATGCCTGTCCTTCGTCCACGCATTAATCTCTTTTCCAGCCAACCCTTTCGTAGCATCTCGTGTTGCCGATCTAGGTGAGGAATGAGCAAAGTTCTGCAGTACAGTGAAATTCGAATTCAGTATAATGCCCATCAAGTGGTATAGGACTAAATGAGACAGATTTCCTTGGTTATAGACCGTCCGAAGCCAAGTATCACAGGCCAGCTCGGCAAAATCGGCTCTCCATATGAAAAGGTCATTGGGAACAGTATTGTCCGTGTCGTAAGCATTCTGCTGCGGGTATGTGGCAGGCCATACAAAGGAGCTCAGAAAGGCCAGGCTTGTTAGACCAAAGGTGGTGTTTCGGCCCAAGTCAACCGTGTGTCCACCACTCACGAGGCCGGCTATGATATTATGAAGCTTAGAGATGCGACTTCGATTTGTGGGCGTGCGTATGAACGTTTCGCTGTATTTCCGTGCGAGAGAGGGCGGTCTTTGCATGATGACAACTCGATAGCAATCGAGGATATGCAGAGCTTCCAGGAGACTTTATGCCCTTTGTTAGAAAGGAGCTCATGTGTTGGTGCATCGAATTATGTTTATAGCTCACCTGGCGTTATTCTTGTCTACGTCATCCGTATGAGTAGATGATTGGCATGCTTTGCTATACTCTTGAACAGACTGTAGCAGTGGCTAATTAGAATGTGAGTGCAGAGAAATAACAGAAGCACGCACGTGAATGAGGTTGCCGTGAAACACCTCAAGGAACTCGTAACTCCTTTTGTCACCACTGCAGAGATCGTACAAGGCCAATAAAACGAACTAGTCTCAGTCATTATTGAATCGACTCATCTTTTGAGAGACACAAACAGTCTTCACCACGGTGAGTTTATCTTCTCGGCATAAAGAAAGCTCGTCTGGACGATTTCGAATGCTAACCTAGAACAGATGAGTAAAATTACACCGAAAGGTTTTATGCATACAGTTGAAAGGACCATCCGCCGAGCATCATCGTACATTGACCTTGCAACTTGTGCACTGCCAGGGGTCGTGCAAAACAATCCACCAGTAGCAGCCAGAGCAAGTAGGAAAGCTGGTTGCTTTTTGGGACTAATGCCAGTCGTGTCTTCGAAGAGAGAAAATGTTTTTGGAATATGTCTTCGAAAGACGTTGTGAAACACTCGGATGATGTCCGTATTGTGGTTGTCGATATGTGCAGGAGCCGAGTAGCATACTTTCTTAACTTTAACAGGAGATGGAGAAGACGGTCGCGATTTCCGTTCAAAGTATTCTTGCATAATGGCGGTCAAATTGGTCAGCTGGGAGGGCATCTCATAGTCGAGGATTGGCATATGCTCCTCAAAAAGTTGGCCACTCCAGTCAAGTTCGGATTGGTCAAACCAGAACTCGCTGTTCTATGGCTAGTCAGTCCTCAGTTCCTGCATCAGAGCGGGAAAAACTTTCCATGAAAGGGACATGCCAAACATCGTCCACTCCGCGAGGATCATTGTCTTGGAGAGGACAGAAGTCATCAGAGCGGAGATCGGGAGCCAGGATGGACTGATCGCTTGCAACCTCATGATGTTCAGGGAGTGCCTCTGGGAAGAGAACAGATACATTCTCATCTATGGCCTGCAAAGGGTCAATAATGGCAGCAATGTTGATGGAAGCGTTGCTAGAAGAATTCTGGGCCGTTGCTGAGTTCAAGCTGTCATTCAGCTGGACATCGACATGGTTTACTGGACCCTGAAGCTCGTCGTCTCTTGTGCGGTCGGACCGAGAGGGTGAAGTGAGAGCAGCTGCCGAAGCTCCTGACGGCGGAAGATACTCGCAATGAGTTTTGGAAGCTTGACAGGTACCGCACGGCTGTGCCGCATCGCACCGCAGTTTTCGCCGACGACAAGGTCCGCAAGCGACGCGGACACGCTTGCGTTCGTTTCCGTCCAAGTCATTGCCCGGACTTGCATAGCACTTTTTGGCGTGGACATCTCTTGCATCGCAACGTTGAAAGGCGCGGCCACAATGGGGACAGGAGTACGGCCTTTCTTTGGTATCTATTGGCTCAGTATCGTGATATAAATTTGAATGGATGGTGTCTCACGTGTCCGGCGATGCCTCACCAAGTGTTCGGATCGAGCAAAACACCGGGAGCATATGTCGCACTATCTAGAGTTATGATTTTGTTTGATTGAGAAATCCTTTGGCCTGGCCATGCAAGCGACTTATCAGCGTACCTGCTTGTCCTTCTTGGTGCTCGACATGATACCATTATGCTTTTCAAGTACCATATCCTCATGTTGAAGGAGAGAAAAATGAAGTGAATGTAGTCTCGGGCCTGAATGGGGTTGATGTCTCAGTCTCCAGACTTTATTACCTCGCAGGTGCGGGGAAGAACCCCAGTCTCCGACCGGGGGTCAAGGCCGTGGGGTGTCCGAGATTGTGACTAAGTTAGTCGGTGGACATGGCTTAGTGGCCGGTGAACCTCAAGCCGCAAATGAATGCCACTCCAGAATACTGCGTCCTTTGATTGCGACTGCATGTAGCCCTGATGATGCAGCCAGCGCAAAGGGACCCAAGATCACTCAACCCGCGGCAGTGGCCAGGCGAACGTGATCCATCTCGATGGGATGTACATGATGCTAACGAGAATCTCGAATCATCATTCCTCGAGCGGTTCAGAGTTGCAATCCTCCATAGTGAGGGCTTTGACGACGAGGAAGACTCGGTCATGTCAGATTTGGGCGGAAACAGCTCAGAGGGTCCTTCACCGGTGAGCGAAGATTCTCAAGTTCAATAAACGGCAACTCAGTCCGGGCTTCAAAGGCTGATGAGTACATGACAGGATGTCTGCGCATATAACTACCCTATGACATTGCTATCAGAAAATACAAGGTACCCACCCGAACATGAATTGGTACGCCTACAAGAGGCATTTGTCACGAGAGCGAAACACTACATCTTTATCAGAGATATCGACCTAGTAACGTCTCCCATGTCGGCACTACCGCCTTATCTTCAACTCGCAATCGCATGTTTGTCATCCGCAACATTGTCCCCCGAGGATTCAAGCCTGTTCACAATGGGGAACAAAATCGACCAAGTGGATGTCTCTTCCGGCATCTTTGTTGCCGGCGTCAATCTTTGGTCCGTTATGTTAGAGGTTGACAATCGAGAAGCACGGCTTGTAGAAGCAGTAGTCGCAGTAAGTACACCAGTTCAAGGCCCCGGAAAAGGCCCCTAACGCACTTTCATAGGCATCATTCTTGGCTACATACGGACAGATGTCAGTAGGATGGAACAATTGGCGCAATGCCTCTACCATTCTGTGTAATGCAGTCACTGTACGTCTATCCGGCGACCATCTCTCACATCTTGCCAAACAGATGATCTGAACAAATAGGCAGATATCGAGGCGCTTACACCTGACCGACGAGTACTCACCGCTGTTCCCGCCTAGTGAGCTGTCAAACAGAGATATATGTATGAGAAGGTGCGTTGGTCTAACGAGATCCATCATCACCTTGACTGAAATTCGCGCAGTGCACTTGTCAGCTATATATTTCTAATTGACACTCTGCAAGCCACTCACTGCGGCCTTGCAGCCAACATTTCGACAAAGGAGCTTTTCATCAAATTACCTGGCTCGGACCATCAGTTCTGCGCGATTTACCATTCTCTTCTGCAAGGGAACCAGATTCCACAAGACGTACACAACGAAGAAGATGCTCTTCTACTGCTCACAGCTCTCCTCAGTGATGTCGTCTATGCGCAACGATGTCTCCAGCTGATGTCCTCCACTACCAGTGGGCTATTGGTGCATGGTTGCTTAATGCCCCGAAGTCCCTTTACGCCTTTATCGGCGGCTTCGGAATTTTCTCGACTTAACGAGGCCATGACTGCTGGGCTCTCACGATGGGAGCGTATCTTTGAAAACCATGTTGGCAAGGACATTCTCGCCTTGCAATGTTTTTGCAAATTACAGCTCATATGCCCTGATACCTGGAAACTGCCGCAGATGGCAGGCTATGGAGAGACGCAGTCTGAAGGGGAATGCCTCCGTCCCTCTGAGCGTTTCGAGGTATCGGACAAAGCTGCGGCACTCGCTTGGCAAGTCCTAAATTGCTGTCATCATCTACCATCGGAGAGTAAATTAGCTGTCTGGTTGCCAGTAATCGTGTTCCTATGCGCATTGACTATATGGCAGAAACTGCGCACCGAACCTTCGCATTATGGGAGCTTGAGAGTTCTCGATCTTTTCAGCAAGGAGATCGCAGGATACCATTGGCCTTGCAGCATCGAAATGGTTCGAACACTGGAGAGGCTGATGCAGAGTTGAGATGACCGGACAAGCAGCATGCGCGATGATTGTCAATAGCACCGAAAAAGCGTAGATGAACCAGTGAGGAAGGGATTTTGATTTCAATGGACCCAGAGAGACAAATTTTACTTTCCGTACGAGATGGAGACGGTCATAAGGAGCCTATACGCTGCGGATTCGTTACACTTTGGGTCGTCTCGATGGCCGTTGGACCCCGCGTTCATAATACGAGGGCAGTGGGAGACCTTGCCATGGCTTCATTTCTCGGGTTTCTGATATTTTTCGTACTGATGCTTCGAATCACCTAAGCCGAGCCCATCTCAATAAGGTCTGGTCTCTTGTGTTCTTTGAGAATTGTGGGTGGCTCGCTCAAAATGGCCGTCTCTACTGCCATTTCCCATCATGGGTTGACTTCTGAACTCGTTCCAAGCGTCACTGCGGCAATTGAGCTCTTGGGTCTGAGCGGCATTGCTCTCCAGCTCCTACTAGAAGATCTCGTCTGCGGACAGCCGACAGCCACAGCTAAACTACTCGGCGTCATACCGAACATTCTGAAGGCAGCAGGTTTAGCAACCAAAAAGGCCTACATTAGTGGATTTCGGAACGGGGTTTATTTGTGCAGCGTCTTTTGCATTTCTGGGTCTTGTCTGTAAGTCAGACCTATCTGTTGAGGTGTGAAATAGAAATGGTAATCATGTCATATCATCTATCTCGTGTCGGCTCTCCTTCAAAATCCCACTGAGGGATCTAACTCCTATTCCGATGCTCCACACGACCACGTCCTGGTCAGGGCCAGTGATCCTAAGAACAATGCCGAATACAGCAAGCGTCTAAAATAACAAGGAAGTGTACAACAGAGGCATCCGGTCGATAGAGTATGTAGAGCCCTAAAAGATGGCAGTCTTCTCGTACTCGGGGAATACGTTGGCCTTGGCATCATCGTGTTCTTTGATGATGGTTTGCTTCTTGGCTTGAGATCGCACGGTCAATTTGATAGGGAATTCGTGGACGCACGCAGTCAGGCCTTCTCTGTAGCCGGTGACCATACTGGTGTCAGGTTCAATGGGCTTGCCCGTTTTTGAGTCGGTAGCCTTTTCGATGTTGAATGCCCACAGGATCTTGGAAATGGCGTGGAACAAGTTGCGATCAGCGAGATGGATGCCGGGACATAGACGTCGTCCGTTGCCTGGGTGAGTACAGTGATGGATCAGTGGAGGTGAACAAGGAGGAGTACCAGTAAATATTGAAGCGGTTCACGATTGAGCATGGACCAGAAACACTCACCGTAGCCATAATGATCTCGGTTCTCGTAGTCGGCAGAGTTGGCGTATTCAGATGCGAGAAGGGTCCGGCCCTTGTAGTGGTCCGGGTCGAAGGTGTCATGGTTGGGGAACTTGGCCTCGTCGTGGTGAAGACCCCAGACGTTCAGGAATATCGTAGCACCCTTGGGGATGAGCTTACCATCGACCCATTCATCTAGACAGAATAGCAATTCAGTAATAGGCACGTATGAAAGTGTGAGTTCAAGTGATGGAATTTTCACCTTCGGAAAGTGCATGTGGCACAGAAAGAGGAGCCACTGGTCTCCATCTATGGCTCTCCTTGACAATGGCAGCTACATACGGCAGATCCCCGTAGTCGGACCAGTTTGGTACACGGTCGTCACCGATCACAGCGTCGATCTCGGCCTGGGCTTTCTGGACGACGTGCGGGTTTGTCACCATGGCTTGCATGAACGACGACAGGACCGAGGCCGACGTGTCGGAACCGCCCTTGGTGGTGACGCCGGAGAGCAATGTGATTTGGTGCGTGGTGAGACCCGTCTTTTCCTGCTGGTCGAGCAGGCGATCGACGACCGTTGACATGGGGCCCACTGCCTCTCGTCTCTTCTCGACCGTCTCGCGGAGTTTGTTGTACAATGAGTGCATCTCGTCGTGGACCACGGTGGCTCGGGTGACCCAGTTGCCCAGGAATCGTTCAGGGATCAGTTTCAAGAAGGGGAAGATGTCGACGGGCGGGGTGGCGCCAAATTCGTTGATCCGAGCCCATTTCTCGAGAAGCTCGTTGAGGCGCGTGATGTAGGTCGAATCGATTGATGGAGAGCGAATGCCGTAGACTGTATAAGAAGAAGTTTCAAGGATGTCAGCTCTAGGCACTTGGTGTCATCACGAGGCTGAACCGCAAGGTCACACCGTAAGAATGGTTCGAGATGAATGAGTAGGTAGAGCGTAAGCCGGACCAGGACTTACCGATGCTAGTAATGACACTGTTACTGAAACGCTTGAGGTGGGACATCCAGTCGTCTGGAGATTCGAGCATGTCGTGCAGCATCTGCACCGATTCCGCCTGTTGAATCTTGTGGTGATCGTTCTCGCACATCTTCTCCGTCAGGTCCTGGTGGATCAACTTCCTCATCAAGCGCCATGCTGGTGTATTGTTCATCCATAGGAGGTGGTCCCCTTCGGTGATGATGTGCTGGCTGATTTCATTTGCAGGGCGTTCGCTGGAGATGGCGCTCCTCTTGTCCAGAACCTGTTTGACAATGCGACGGTCTGACAGCACCACTGCCGTAGTGGGACCGAGCTTGAGAGTGTACATGCCTCCATACTGCTTGGCCCATTCTGTGAACCTGCGAGGGCGTGATTGTGTGAGTGATGAGGCAGCTGTTGATGGGACTAGGCTTGTCACTCAGGCGGTCAGCACTCACTGGAGATATACTTTATGCTTGGGAAGTTGATGTAGATTGCCAATGATTGGTAGTGTTGGAGGTCCTGCGCACGACCAAAATCCAAAATGTGTTAGCCCGTTTGTGAAATTTGGGAAAAGTGAAAGAAGAACGCCTGCATACACGCACCATCTGGAAAGTTACGACCTCTTCTACCGACGAAGAGCAGCACATAGAGAACTATGGCAACTGCAAGCGCTGCGCTCGCTTGAGACACGTAGAGAGCCATAGTCGTCGTGTTTAAGGTGCTCGATAGAGGACTCGTTCCTGGACACTGCGCTCAGAGGAATAATCCCTGATGATGGATAGACTCACACAGACACAATGTCTGTTTCCAATGGCTGCGTAACCGTAAGGCAATACTGATATACCTCGATTGTGTCATTCACCTTCAATCTCTCACACACACTCTCTCCATACCCCAGACCCCAGTCAATTCCTGCTGTCCGAGTCCGACAGAGGAGACCAAGCAGGATACCCGTCTAGGGGTTGATAGCCTTGTAACTGGCTCAGCCTATCTACCGCAAGGCGAGTATGGGGCCGTGGCAGAATACAGACGCAAAATATGACTCGAGGCTCAGCGTGTTGCGCCCCTCACTTTGGGGATAGGTAGTTAGACGTGCATAACCATTTCACTAGGTGCTGAAGCCTGATTGCCGATGAATGGGGATTATGCTTGAAAAGTCGGGATCAATGTTTTCTCGGCAAGGGGCAGGACGGGAAAGTTCAGTCAGCCATTCTAATCGTGTCCGTATCGTGCGTCTCGGCTACAAGAAGACGGGTAACAAAGCCAACCCTGTTCCCCCGCCCTGATCCCACATTTTTTCCCTTTGCCCACAATGTCATTGCCCCAGCCTCGGTACCCCAAAGCCCATGCGAGGTGGATACTGGGACACTGGGCCATCCAGCAAACGAATGACATCGGCCAGGATCATCAGGGTTTGCCGTTGGAGCCGAAGAGTCCATCATGGCCGACTGGGCATTGTTTCTTGTACATTGCCGAGTGTCGTTGGTGGTGCAGATAAGATATCCATGACCTTTGATGACCAAGTAAGAACGACGTTGATTATCTAAGATAAGTAGGTCTAAGACATGTCCGTCACTTCGTCAAACGACGCGGCTCTTCCCATTCAGAACGCGTCTGATCTGATCTGATCTAATCGTTCCCACTGGGCGGAATCTCTCCTTCGCTTCGTCCTAGATACTCCTTCAAAGGCTTTCCGGCAACTTCAACGGCCTGGGCGTCTTGCAAGATGTATACGACCCTCGTCCACTCTGTGCCGCTAGGGTTCCTCCAGGCGTGATTGGTACCTCGTTGAATGCACACATCGCCTCGTTGCAAGATTTGCTTCTCGCCTGAATCCAGAATCAACTCGATGGCACCCTCAACGACGATTCCATAGTCCAGACTTCGTGTGCGATGCATCATCGATTCGAACCCGGGAGCAAAGTCGACAAAACGTAGCACTGTGCCTCCCGGGTTCACGATGCCCATCTTCCCGGAGGCGAGGCGTTGGTCGTGCGTCAGGATGTCTACATCTCCGTTCGTCGACACGGGGAATTCAGACGTCGTGTATGGGACGTTGAACGCCATACCGCCGCTGTCGACGGATTGCCATTTCGCCGGCCGTCGCTCTTGAATCGTAGTCTCGCCTGTATTTGGATTGTGACCGGTGATGAAGGCAGTCAAACCGGGGAGAGCTTGTGCTAGTTGACCCTCTGTAGTTGGACGTGAAGCCATTGTTGGGACTAATGATGTTGCTGTTCGAAGGTTGTCTCTTCTGTATCTATCTCACTCCGTCTACTACTCGCGTACTGGTTTGGCTCAGGGCGACCACCCCCTACCTTTTATGATGCCATCCAAGCACAACCGAGAACGACCCCCGACTTGTGCTGCCAATCCATTCTCTTTCTCCTCCCCAAACGGAATGAAAAACGGTCCAGTATGTTTCCGAGGATGGTGGCATGCGCTTGGAGTGGTGGAGACAAATCATTCGGAACCCCATGTTTCTCAGCCGACAAATCCTTGTCTCATGCTCACAACTGCCAACTCCCATCCTCCAGATCGGCTTTCCCTGCTTAGGCTTCCCTCTGTCTTGAATTTTGCGACGGGATGTGAGATCACAAGAAGTGAGCGTGGCGGAACACCAAAACGGGATATATGACACTATTCATTTCCATCATTTAGATGACTGACCCTCGGGACACGTCAACATTGCTGGACTGAACAAGATGGGTATGTCATTCATTCTAGATACAAAACCTTCGCTCTGTAATCACTGATCTTTCAACCCCAGGTCTTACACCGGTACACTTCTTCTCGCACGGGTCCACCCGTATGCTCGAAGCTGAAACGGAATCTGGGGACTATTGGAGAAAGTGTGGTGAAGAAGCCATCGCCCATGGTGTCAAGGGTGTTGTTTTGATGGTGAGTTTCACCGAAGCCAGAGCAGTATAGCACATTGTATTGTATTTGTCGAGAACGTCTTTAACATGTCTTTGTTTCTAGGGTGCACACTGGGTAAGTTCTGGGTGGCAGACTTCGTTTGAGCCGCAAGAGGCAGGATGGTCCTCATTTATTGACCATGATGTGGATTGTTCTAGGCCTGCCTAGGTGACAAGATCGAAGTCGCGACAAATCCAAACCCAGGTAAAAGTCCATGTCCATTCGTCGATCCGGCACTATATAAGGACTGGAAACCCAATCCGGATCTGGCGGGTGCAGAGCGATGTATCTCCATGCTCGCCAACGAGGGATTCAACGTGGGCCCCAACAAGGACTTTGAATGGATTCATGATACGTACATGGTGGTAGGACTACACTTTCTATCCCTCCCAATGCCTGCGCCCATGGCACCATGTCTTTTTCCCTGCTGAATGTTGGCTGACAACTGTTGAATGGTGAGCAGTTGATCAAAATGTTCCCCGACGCAAGCAAGTGTCCTCCAACAACCATCGTTTCCATGAATGCCCGCTACGATCCCTGGTACCACGTCAAAGTCGGCGCGACCCTCCGCCCGCTGCGCAAAGAAGGATACCTCCTCATCGGCACGGGCGGTGCGGTCCACAACCTCTACCGCAATTACTGGACCGACATGCTCTTGTATCGGGAATCGCTGGGCCAAGAGAAGCCTCCAGAGCCATGGGCGTTGAATTTTCGACAGGCCACCGAAGACGTTGTCACCAGGAACCGCGGACCAGCGTTGAGAAAGGCTATGATTAGGCTGATGCAGCATCCGGCGTATCGTGAGGCCCAGGCAACGGATGATCATTGGATGCCTGCGCTGTTTGCAGCGGGCGCGGCTGGCGATTTTGAGGACGAGGCAGAGTCCAATATCCTAGCCGCCGAGACGTGGGAGCTGAGAAACATGTGCAATTCGCAGTTCACATTTGGCACTTATACTGCCACTGAAGGAGATATCGTGTCGGAGAGGAAGACCATAGGTATGGATAGAGTGCCGAGGCCAAGAATGGTCGCTGCTACAGCTTGAGTTGTCGACAGGCGCCGCGCCAGATGATTTACCTGAGTTTGATGATAAGAGAGACTGTATTTGGTACTGGAATTGTGAAGGTGTATTCACTCGGATAGTTTGGGGAATCCGAACATGAACAAATCACAAAGTTGACCACAAGATTCGTGAACGATTCGGTCGTCCATATAGACTAGCACCGCTTGACTTGGCTACTATGATGGTGGAGTCTTGATAGATGCTCAACAGGACACCGTTTGCTGTAGGAATAAAATGGAGCAAACTCAAGAGCAGTGCGGATATGGTGTGGTATATGGACAAATGATGCTAAGTGGTGTCCGTTTCGAATATATCACCTCCTCCATGTTCGAAACAACGTGTATGCGCTCCCAGTTAGAACTATCACAGCCGCTGAGCCAACTACCATGAATGCCTGATCAAAAAATCCCGTAGCTCTTCCATCGGCTTGTTTGATCGCTGGAAGTGGCGTCTCGGTAATGCTCCGAGCCCACGATTCAAGTCCTTTTATGGACCTGGACTTTGTGACCTCCTGAAAAATGCTAGTCAGGTTGGAAGGTTGAGCAAGCCGGGGCCGTGGCGACCGGAACAGTATCGACAGATAGCGTGGTGATGGACTTGGAGCTACAGTGCGGTGCTGTGGTGCGAATGGGCCAACTACCAAAGGCAGGTATTAGTAATTTTGAAAAGGCGGCCTCGCTGACACCGAGGACTGGGTTGACTTACCAAGCAGTTCCGTCGGGATGTGATTCGCGCAAGAGATGCGTGCGTCGGTGAATCTAGACAGATAGTTCGCCTCGGTCGGGGCAGCAAAGACGTACGTCGCCTGTAACGGCGTTTGGAGACTGTGCCAATGTCAATCGTTGAAGGTTTGAAAAGAGATGGGGAGAAGCAATGTACCCATTACACAAGTCAATTGCATCGTCGAGGCTAGTTGTGCGACAGATCAAGACCACTCGACCTTCCATACGGCGACCTAGTGGAGATTTCTTCCTGGTTGGTAACGCGTGTTAGACTCGAGTATGATACGTTTAGCCGGTCCATGATCCCATCACATACCGGTCTTTGACATCGACGATGGTACAACTCGCACCTGACATGACGACCCTGACGCCGTCGTTGCCCTCAAGCTCCTTTATGATCTGACTCGCTCCATCAGACTGAGCTTTGGGGCTCTGTTGACTGACTGCAGAAAGACTGGGTTTGGATGGTGGTGTTGTGACGGCTTGAACGAGGTGAAACAAGAAATCTTCGGCGACAAATTCGTTGACCAGGACAATGTCGGGAGCGTATGCTGCGCGGCCATTGAATGCTACTCGTGACGTGCCAATGATTGATGCTGCTTCAGGCACATTGCTACTTCGGTCAACAATTGCCACTACCTTCGCAGATGAGGTGTCTTCCTCGACCTGGGATACAACTTGGCATTTCGACAAGAAGGCCTCTGGCGGCCTTGTGCTGCTTATCGCAAACACGTCTGCATCCAATGTCGACGGCAGAATCTTACGAAGTAGCCCCGACACGTGGGTCAAGGTCATGGGGAGCTGGGATAGATTAGTAAATGAGGAACACCTGGCAGACTCGTAACAATGAGGAAACACATACCTCGACAACGACACAGTTCCCGGCAGCCAGGGACGCCGTTAGGGCAGAAATGACCGAGTAGAACAGATTATGCTTGGAGGGGATCAAGTAGATGATGCCTGCACTTGTAGTTGCATTTAGGTTCTCCAGGGAATGTTGACTATTGATATCTTCCTCGAGATTCAGTTCGTCGTAGTGTGTGCGCAGTTCTGATATGGCCAGTGTATATTCCAGAGTAACGTCTGCTTCATTGTGTCCCGTATCTGCCACGATGGCGTCTTTAATTTTGGATGCCGATGCTTTAAGGGTGCTGTACAAAGAATGGAATAACCTTTGTCGAAATAACACAGACTGTGCTCTCCCTTCCAGGCAGGCTGTCTGTATGCGAGAGAAAGATTCTTCGGCCATCTTCTGGATTATTGAGTCTGATTACCGTCGAGGAGCTTCAGCAAGTGTCGTTGGTGTCTTTGGCTTGGAGTCGCAAAGCAAGCTGGGCTTTGCTAACATTGCGCTTCTCACTGTGACCAGAATGGTAGCTTGGATCGCATATGCATCTTCCGTTTGTGTTCTCTTCTACGGGAATTTCTCTTCTATACGGCAGATCGACTACTCGTGATAATCCGAGGTCAGCTCAGCGGCACCTCTACTGTCCACCATGCAACCTTCGGAAGGGGTTCCGCGTCGCAAGCCTGTCGGCAAGTTAAAGTATCCATGCTGGGGTACGGAAATTGCGACTCAAAGGGGGTTACGGAGCAAGAAAGACCGCGACGCGTACCCGGCCCTAAAGGATCCCCCGGAATCTGGATTTTTTAACCCCAACCATTCCGCCTTGGGGCCTAAGAGGATGATCTAATGCCTGAATTGCAGAGGTTCAGGCTCAACCCATGGGTCAGGTAACTCCGTTATTGATGCCCCGACACCGACAATCAGTACTGCGTGATCCTTACCTTATCTTGTCTTGTCCAGCTAGTTAGAAGCTGTGTGGACTACGATCTCGAGACCAGTTTTGGGCGTGTATTTGTTTCTGTCCACCATTGATGCCTTCAATTCTGTGCTTTTCCCTGGAGAGCTTCACTTGATTCCTCAAGATGGCCAACACAGAAACAGTGTTGGAGCCGACCACCCTCCGCGAAACCCTTCGTGTCTACAATGTCCATGAAAGTGGACAGCAAGAGGCTGAAGCAGAAGCTAGAGCTAAGAACGAGTCGTCCGATCAGCATCCAATGCAAGAGTCAAGACAGCAAGATACAAGGCCCGCAGATCGCGAATGGCCTTCGGATTGGCGGAGGATGCCACCTTATCGAGAAACAAGTCGCGTGCATCGAGTCTCTGATCGCGCTGCGGGACAAGACGCCGTCGAGGGTGTTGTGGTAATGACCATGTTCAGCGGAGTGTGGCTATTGGGGGTAAGTGACGAGTGACACACGGCACATTCCTCCCCCTTGTCGAATGACGCGAGTGTATGAACATCGGACTGACGAAGATTACTTGCCAGAATATCAATCGGCTGTGGCGTGCAACGGCCGGGAGATGGAATGACCAAATTATGAGATATCAAATTGGAGGAGAGTGGTAACGTAGTGGAAGCCCAGGATGGGTGCCCCCTACCTTCAGAGAAGACTGAACACGAGCACGATCACGGATTGCTTGATTAGGGCTGCCAGTGTCAAGCTTGGGCAGAAACAGTATCCACAATGTATGGTACTCCTTTGATCTGGCCAAATTAGATTTCTCTTTTTCACCTAAGTTTCTATTATTCTGGGTGGTGCTGGGCGGTTAATGTTATGAACGCTCACACATTCTTCGCCGGAATCAAGGGCATCAACAACCAGTTCTCATAGTCTTTCCCAAAGTGAACGTGGTTATTTCCAGCAAAGACCTCCTCACTTCTGTCCTCTTTTGAGTTATGCTCGAACAGTCCTGCACCTTGTGTGTCACCTGAGGAAACCTCAAAGACAAGGCGATCGCCAGGCGACATGACTACGTTCGTAGGCCAGATCTCGACATCCACCGGGTACACCTCACCGGGGACGAGTCGCGAGTAGTCAGTCGACAGATACTCTCGGTGCGGGTGCCACGGGTCTTGATGTCTTGGGCTCTTCTCGTTGACCTTGCGCAGACTTACGCGGAGCCATCCTTTGGTGATTGGAACAGGATCGCCCACTGTGCCCGTGTACAAAATCTCTTTTCCCTGGGAGTCCAAATGCCGGACAGTCAAGAAGAGGTCGATGTCGCTTGGCTTGGTCGTCGAGCCCTCTTCAGGGGTGACAGAAACGTTCAGGTGTGCAACAACATGGCCTGTGAACTCGGTTTCTTCCCCGAATGGCGCACTAGCGAATTGGATCAGGTGCTGATTCTTCAAATCTCCCAGTGCCTTGTAAGAGAGCTTGCCCTCCTCGTGACTGGGTTTGTCTTGTAGACCTCGGGACCATGTCATATAGTACTTGGTGTATTGCGTGCCAGGGAGAGGCCATTGAGAGTCGTATTTCGTTGGGTAAGCAGTTTCGGCCGCTGCGTCGTTGAACCCGACATCCCCTACCCTGACCTTGTATCCGACCTTGGGTTGTTCTCCCCTTGCCCACCCGAGAGGGTCTATGCCCTTGAGGAAAGCATCCAGAAAGCTATGCTGCAAGTCGACACATTCCTTGGTGTAAAAAGGCAAGTCGTGTCTGCCCGTTACAAAGCGTAGGTATTTGTGTTTGGAGCTGGCGTTCATCCAGCCTTCGACATTGCCTCGGAGATGCAATAGAATGCCGCCCCAATTGCCAACCGAAAGCATGGGAACCTCGATATCGGATATTTTGTAGTCCTTGGTGGCATAGTAGTCGTCGTCCAGAAACCGGTTCTGGACGTTGTCGATGTTTTGGTCGTGACAGTTGGCCCGGAGCTCTTCTTCAGGTAGATTGCCTTCAATGGTGTCCGGGCCCCAGTTGCGGGCGGCTCGCCCTGGACGGCCATACTGATTGACGATGACCTGAGATCCATGAATTAGTATAGCTGATCTGTTGCACGAATACTTGATGTGCTTGCCTGACGGTTCCACCAGAAGTCAATAAACGTATTACTGAGAATGCCACCATGTCTGCATCTATCACGGTAGTAGTCACTCATGCCTTCCCATGGCACAATGCAAGCCAGCCCCTTTGGTCGGCGCGCTGCTACCCGCCATTGACTGCCTGCATAGTAACTAATACCAAGCAAGCCGACTTTACCCGATGACCATGGTTGCACGGCGACCCATTCGATAACGTCTTTGAATGCGAGGCTGGTATCCCTAGACATGGTGTTGAGGACACCTGGCGACTGACCTAGACCAACCTCATCGGCTCGGACAATAGCATACTCATGCTTGGTCCAGTAACCAGGATCGGGAGTCTCCCATGCGGAATGTGGAGAGTGGTGCTCCTCAGGCACTTCGCCGAAAGACGAGGCATGGAAACTATAGTTTCCAGTAAGTACAAAAAAGGGATCCTTGGGAATGTCCAGTGAATAGCACCTACACAGAGTAGTGAACGTCCTTGCCATATGGTCCATATGTCACCAGGACAGGGAACTTAACACCTTCGGCTGCTTTAGGTCTGAAGATATTGCAGCGCACAATGCCACGACCTTCGCTGAGAGGAATAGTTGCATTCTCCTCATATATGTACTCGAAAGACGTTGTATCGACCTTGTGAAGGTCGCTGCGTATCTTGTTTGGCATGGCTTCGAGTGTGTATCGTGAATGTTGCTGAGCACTACCTTTTGTATATGAGGGGATTGTATACGATAATTACCCATACGAAAGTCTGTCCGAGAAGCTCCCTAGGACCAGTATACTCTTAGTCAAACGAGGTATCTCCAGATGTTCTCTAATAGTTGTATTGAGTGGTGATTGGACTGGAGCATGTGCTAGTCGCGGCCCATGTCTTTCCACACGTCACCGGGACCCCAAGATCACCACTTGCGCCATGGGCCGGACTGATACGACTGACCCGGACGGAGAATGGCAAAACATTCGGGTTGGGAATCAACTCTTTTCCGAGGTTGTGCTAAACCAACGATGCAGCTCACCCGCCTAACTCAGGCATCCTCTGCTGGGAGGTAGAAGTCTTGTGAGGACAGTTTAGAGGAACGTTAAGATGTATTGGCCGGTTCACACGGTCTCCTCTCAATGTATTCACAGTTATCGGCCTGAATCTTGAAGTCCAAGTTTATTCGGATTTGAGCTACTTGATTTCGTTCAAGACACGAGCCAAAAGTTGAGCAATGTGGACTCTGTGCAGAGACAGAATTCGTTCGCCTCGTGCGATGAGAGCTTGTAGTCCTGACGGGCTATGGCCACCACTCTCCTCGACAACTGCACCGCACCATAAAACTAGGGTCGCATAATATACACCGTATGGGACGTGAGGAGCCTCGTACGGTAACCGTCGAGGCTCGGATGCCGAAAATGAAGCGCGAGAGGGAGGTTGCTGGGGCTCTCGTTGGTCCATTTTCGTAGCAGATGTGAAGGCTCCCTCTATAGATATGATCAAATTTTCAGCGTGCCACTGTGCAATTTTGGAGTGCCGATCTTGGGCCCACGCGTAGACTTCTCTGGCCGTGAGACTTCTCTTGGGATCTCGTACTGCGGACCCGGGTGAAGAGTGCGCGAAATTTTGTAATACTGTGAGGTTTGCGTGTAGCATAATGTTCATCATGTGGTAGACCACAAGACACGAAAAGTCTGCCTTGCCTCGTCGAGTACGAAGCCAATTGTCGCACGCCAATTCAGCAAAGTCGGGCTTCCACAGAGAGAGGCAATCCACAGAAACCTTGTCGGCACCATATGTATTCTGGCGGAGATATATGGCAGGCCAGAGGTGACTTGTAAGAGAAGATAGGGATGCAAGGTCGAACTCGGTGGTCGTGGATGGCATTGATAAATGCCCGGTATTTGTGAGGTTGAACACTTCCCGGTGTAGCTGAGTCAGTCGACTACTGTGTGCATGATGGTCAATGTATGAATCGATGTGGTGCCACGACAATGACGGCGGACGCTGCATGATGATCGCTCGATAGCAATCGAGAATGTATAGCGTTTCAAGTAGCCTGTTTGCCATGGTTTAGCCGATTCATGTCTTGTTCAGCCACTCATTCCTTACCGTGCTTTATCGTTGTCTTTTGTTGCAGATCTCTTACATGCCGTGCTATACTCTTGAACCGACTTGGATGATATTAGCTTGTCAAGTCTTGAATCGATTGGGGGCAAATGTTACATGGATCAAATTACCATGGAAGGCTTCGACAAATTCATAACTTCTCTTATCGCCACTGCAAAGACCGTATAGCTCCAGGAGGATAAACTGAATGAAGTTAGGATATATGCTGGCCCGCTCTAGATATAAGGGCAGTTTATGCGTACCGTCTTGACCACAGTAAGCTTGTCATCAGCATTTGCCGACAAATCGTCAAGAGAACTTCTGGCGTTGAAGGACGCTAATAGTAACCGTCGTGCATCGTTGTACATGGACTTCGCGACTTCGGAGCTGCCAGGAACATTACAAAACAGCCCGCCTATAGCAGCAATGGCGAGTGTGTACTCGGCTTTGCTTTTTCGGGTCACCGCACAATCTTCGAAGAGGGAGAAGGCCTGCGGGATATTTCGACGAAAGATTTGTAAGAATACTCTCACAATATCTCTGTTATGGTCGTCCAGGTTTGGCGGCGCCGAGTACCACATCTTGCTAGCTTTGTTGAGCGATGGAGATGGAGCACGGGATTTCCTATCAAAGTATTCTTGCATGATTGCTGTGAAATTCTGCATCGAGGTAGAAAGAACATGGTCTAGAAGGGGTGAGTTCGAATCCAAAAAGTTGTCGGTCCAGGCAAAGTCGGATCCGTCGAACCAAAACTGGCTGTTCTGTGATGTAATTTAGCGACACCCAGCGTTGCCGGGATATACGTACCATATTAGGCATCTGCCAGAAGTCGTTTATGCCGTCGCCGTCTGGAATCGTGTAGAGCATGTCCTCTTCAAGTGACATGTGGTTGTGGTTTGTAGCTCCCGGATCATAAACCGGCGCTGCTGGTTGCTCGTGAAACTGCAAGGATATCGTGTTTGGGTAGCTTTGAAGTCCTTCCATGGCCGAATCCAACGCTGGCGGGACGTTCAAGTTTGGGTGCTGTGTTGCGAAGTCAGGGCCTTGCGGTCCGTCATGGTCCGGAGACGTGTTTGGAGTGAGGCCGTGACAATTTGATAAGCTGTTAGCTTGATCTTCGTTCACAAGTTCGGCATGTGAAGACATGCTGGGGATAACAGAAGACGCAGTCGACGCCGTATAGTGGCAGTTCGAGGCGCCCGACTGGCAGGGACCGCATGGGTCGTTTCCATCACAGCGCATTTTCCGCTTACGGCAGCTATCGCAAGCAACACGAACCCGCTTGCGACCAGAGCCTGGTATACCGGCATCGTCAGCAGCATGATCCGAAGGAGCCGCATGGCACTTCTTGACATGAACAGCCTTCACATCAGACCGTTGAAAGGACCTGCGACAAAAAGGGCAGCTGAATGGCTTCTCTTTAGTGTCTGACCACGGGAGAGGTTAATTTAACGCTCCAAAAAAGGGACTCTTGCACTTGCGGGTTCGTCGGTGCCTTGCTAGATGTTCGGAACGTGCAAAAAGTCGGGAGCAGATATCGCACTGGATGAGATGTCAGCGCGGTTTGATCTCCCTGGGAAAAGCTTCTGGACGGGGGTGGCTATGAAGATGCAGTAGGCATCCAACCGACCTTCTTGTCCTGACGAACTTCATGAGATGTATGATTAACGTCGGCCATCAGCAGACATTGAAGCGCGTGTGTCCGGAGTCAGTTCAGGAAGGGGGAATGGGAATGTGGAGAGATGTGTGAGAAGCTGGGGAACCCGGAATCTAGTTAGAGGCTCGTCGCTAGCTTTAAGACAGTACTGTAAAGATATGAGGGGAGTGTGAGGAAATGTGTGGGGGACGAGAGAGGGTGGACTACGAGTCCGGCGATGATGGTGACGTACGGTTGCTGTACACAAGCAGTTCACGGAGGGGCCCTCAGGCCTACTCGTCCTCAGTAAGCCATTGCTTAGGCGCACGAACTGAAGTTAACTAGTTAGTTAGGGCGCCTGGAGGGTTACCCTGAGGGACCGCCTAAGGCTTGCTAGGCCAGCCTTATCAAACGCCCACGACAGCGTTTTAGGCTTTCACCACCCCCGCTCGCAGGTGACATGGCTTGCCAATGTGTCCGCCCCCACCCCCCTTCTATACTTCCGAACGAACGCTTCAGGGAGCCTCCTCCGCCCCTCCCCCTCCTCCTCCTCATCATCATCAAATCTACACGTCTTTTTACAGGCTCCAGACATGCATCCCGCCACGGTACCTGATCCAGCCAGGCTCTCCGGCTCCCGACAATGGCCAGGAGAACGTCAACCAACTAGGTGGGATGTCCACGATGCCAACGAGAGTCCGGCCGTGACATTTCTCGATCGCTTTCGAGCTGCCTTGCTTCACAGTGAAGGTGCCGAAGAGGACTCGTTCCTGGACTTAGAGTCCGTCATCGATAGTTCAGAGAGTCTGAGCACGGTAGGTATCAAGCCTATCCTTGAACAGAAATCTCTTACGAATGGGTGGACAGTCGGTCAGGTCATACACCTATCCCATGGTTCTCTTATCAGATGTACCGACGACACCATCTGAAGACCAGTTGGCGCGATTGCAGGACGTCTTCTACGCCACCTTCAAGCAACACATCTACATGAAAAGTATCGACCTTGTTGGCTCTCCCTCGGAAATGCTGCCACCATATCTCCAGTATGCGGTTGCATGTGTAGGCTCAATGACCTCTCCGAATGTTGACAATGTCTTCACCACCCCAAACGGTACCATACAAACAGACGCTGCGGCGAATCTGTTTATGGCCGGGGCAAACCTCTGGTCAGTCATGCTGGAAGTCGACAACAGGGAGACTCGTCTGCTCGAGGCAGTCGTAGCGGTAAGCGGGAGCGGTCTAAGGGCCAACAAGCATATCAAGGCTAATTCAACTTCAAAGGCGATTCTGTTGGTCACTTACGGCGTGCTGTCATCAGACAGGACAGTATGGAGAAAATCGTCTGGCCTGTTCTGCAACGTCGTCACTGTGAGAGTCCTGTGATATGTGATCGAGGCCAGTTAAGATAACAATGCAGATCTCGAGACGTCTACATCTTACCGATGGACACTCCCCGATGCATGCACCCAGCGAATTTTCGTCCAAGGATGCCGGGATGACAAGGTGTGTTGAGAGGGAATTGGTCTTTTCGACCATTTACTGATGCCGGTAGCTCCCTCATCTCTTATATGCTCCTTGTCGATGTCATGCAAGCCGTCCATTCTGATCTGGCTCCGAATTACACCTCAAGTGAACTCTTGATCAGGATGCCTGGGTCATGTCACCCATTCCGTACCATATATAACTCACTGATCCACGGCTACGATGTGTCACAAGACGTCAAAAACCGCGAGGACGCGCTTCTTCTCCTTACTGCTTTACTAGGTGACATTATATATACTCAACGGAGTCAACCACCAGATATGTCGCGCCTTGATCCTTCAGCCACGCTTACGCCTGCCGTGCTACGCAATCCATACGCTCCAATGTCTTCGATCTCACATTACTCCAGGCTGAGCTCTCACCTAGCCAACGCTCTTGCTCGTTGGGAACAGTACTTCCAACAACAGGTGGGCAGCGACATACGAGCCCTGTACTATTTCACCAATGTCTCCCTGATGTGTCCAAATCTTTGGGAGCTCCCACAACTAGCTGGATATGGTACTGACGACCATCTCGGCCAACAAGCAGCCAATAGCAAGTTTAATATACCAGACAAAGCCATCGACCTTGCTTGGTTAGTGCTTGATAACTGTGACAAGGCGTCAAAGTCTCCAGAATACAAAACGTCCATCTGGCTGCCTATCATCCTGTTCATGTCCTCGTTGGTGGTGTGGAAAAAGCTTCATTCTCAGCCCGCAGCCGAGCTGAGATACGGAACGCTGAGAGTTCTTAGTATGTTCAAGAGTGAGCTCGCGAAACTTCCCTGGCCGTGTTGCTCAGAGATGGTAAGTACGCTGGATAGGTTGATGGGTAATTGACCCGATTGTGTAACTGTTATGGAGGACTAGATACCCAGGATGACGAAGGAGGATAGGCACTACTAGTTGAGATCATATATCTCTCTGCTTATGTGATTCTGTATAGGTTTATAACAGTTCAGCTTCGCTCTGTGTGGCCTACATACTCGATACCCTCATAGCAGTAATTACATACGTGGAGCCATCAAACCCAAAGCCAGGCGCACTTCCTGGAGATCATATTCTCTCCAAATCCATTGCCGCTTGTGTCTGAGCTGATTGGAAGTCTCAAAATAGCCCCGAAAGGTATGTTGCGGGAGATGCACTATGACAAGAACAGTCAGCCAGTTTATCTCGCCAGCGTATTCGTTCTCACGCGCTACACCATAAGGTATGAGAGGGGACGACGAAGTAGCGGGAGATGGCAGAGATGGGGTCCCGGAAGAACGGAAACCCCATCTTTTCCCCGCGCCACCACCACGAGTGAGTTACAGCACCTTTGACGATGCGGGCGACCCCAGGGTGTTCCGGCTAACAAACGCCAAATCTCCCAGTTTAGTGGCTTGATCGCCACATGCCCAGTAATGGGGCTTTTGGCCCACTGGTGCTGCCGTATCACGCGGTCTTTGGCGACTTCGGTAGGGTGGCCAAAGCATCCAGGTGGTAGGGGGAAAATACGGATTGACTTGGCATTACTGGCCCCAAGGGTCTCAAGCGTCTTGGTGCTCCATCCCGCAAACCCATGGGGTTGTGGAAGCCCCGATTTCTCATCTTACTGTTTACGAGAGGTAGAGCGACAATGGAGCGGCGGCTGACGGAACGCGGACTGCCTTGCTGAACAGGAACCGGAAAATAAAAGGGAAAAGTCGTCAGATTCAGAATTGCAGATCGTAGTCTCTGTGTGTTGTTGACGCCTCTTTCTCTAACGCAAAAACCTTGTGGAAGCTCCAGCAGCAGAACAACATGGCACATGCTAACGGTGTCAACGGTGTTGGACATGACGACGAAGGCATCGAAGTGTTTACAGATTACTTAATTGTCGGCACTGGTCCAGCTGGTGGCGCGTTGGCATGTTTCTTGTCTCAACACGGTGAGAGGGCAGAGCAAGCATGATGTGAGAAAGCCCTACTAAAGGGTTCGTCATAGGATTGACTGGCTTGATTGTGAGCCAGGATCCCGGCAACGCAGATACACCGCGAGCACATATCACGAACATGGCTGCCATTGGTAAGACCGATGACTGTTGATATGCGAGACAGGCCCCTAACATGACACAGACTGCCTTAGAGACATCGGCTTAGACAGAGACTGCTATATTATTGGAACTTCGGGAGACTCGATGATTCACACTAGATGGTCAAATAGTTTTGCCGGCGAGGAGTACGCACGGATATACTCATGGGGCAACGATCCGAAACGAAAGGTATATCTCCTTTACAGAACGCAACACCATCTAGGTCCTGATACGGACCCTGCTCTGACGTGTTACCGTGCAGGGCGACTACGAGCTCGCGAGCCCTTCAGACCCGTTGGACTTACCTCAGACTCTACTTGAGCCTCTGCTGATAAGGTATGCGACGCTGAACGGATTCAAGTGCCGCTGGGACACACGATTTGTATCGTACGTTCAAGAGCCTGCGGGTAAGGGTGTCACCACCACTCTGCACGATAAGATCAGCGGCCGTGACTTCAAAGTGCGGTCCAAGTTTCTCTTTGGCGCCGACGGTGCCCGCAGTCCCATTATGCAACAGACGGGCATCCCAATGATCAAAAGACCTGGGCAGGGTTTTGCGATCAACATCCTCATGGAGGCTGACCTTTCTCACCTGATGGAAAACCGTATGGGTAATCTGCATTGGCTCCTGACCCCAGACAAGGAGCACCCCGATTTTGCTTGGATTGGATGTATCAGAATGGTCAAGCCGTGGTTCGAATGGCTGTGCATCATCTTCCCTACTGCGGAGGCCGAGAGAAAAGTCCGGACTCCTGAAGAATACATTAAGCGTGTTCACGAGTTCATCGGGGATGATTCAGTCGAGGTCAAGATCAAGGGTATATCCACCTGGATGATCAACGAGACAGCGGCCGAAGCATACTCGAAGGGCGATGTTTTCTGTCTAGGTGATGCCGTGCACCGACACCCGCCAAACCACGGTCTGGGTTCCAACACATGTATTCAGGATGCTCATAACTTGGCATGGAAAGTAGCCATGGTCCACAAAGGTAAGTAGGGATTGAGTGGGGCGGAAAATGGGCGAGAATTCCAGGACGTTGCTGACACGCGAGTTATATAGGATTGGCTGGGAGAGGCTTACTCGACAGTTATAGCGCCGAACGTCAGCCAGTGGGACTGGACGTTGTCACTCAGTAAGTGCAACCAAACCGGCGTTTAATCTTCCTGCCAGACCCAGACAGGCAGGCTGACAATATTGGGGATTTCCCCCTTTCCAGAGCCAATGCGTCTCTTCGCAACCACAAGAAGGTCTGGGAAGTTCTCGGCAACCTGGAGCCAACCGTCGAAAAGCGTATGGCAGCATTCAACATTCTTAAAGAGGACTCTGATCGGGGTCGGAAACGCCGGCAAGATCTGGAAGCGTGTCTAAAACTCATCAACCGCGAAGAACATGGTTTGGGAATCGAAATGAACCAGCGATATACATCGTCGGCAGTGTACAAGTCCGATCAAGGTCCAATGCCCAGTTTCGCCACGGATCCGCTCGAGCATTATCACGCCACCACATACCCTGGCGCCAGACTGCCACACGTCTGGCTGAGTAACACTATCCCATCAAAGGCCCTATCCACGCTCGATCTCGCAGGAAAAGGTAGCTTTTGTCTGTTCACGGGCATTGGAGGCCAGGGCTGGAAAGACGCGGCGGAGAAAGTTTCGGCGGAGCTATATGTTCCCCTCACTGCATACTCGCTAGGATGGAGACAAGATTACGAGGACAGGTACCTGGATTGGGCCAAGGTTAGAGATGTCGAGGAGTCCGGTTGTGTGCTGGTGCGGCCAGATTACTTCGTCGCGTGGAGGAGCGAGAAATGGGAACAAGATGGTGAGGAGAAGCTGAGGACAGTCTTGAAGTCGATTTTGTCAAGGACTTGAAGCATGAATAGATATTTCGTTCAATGTATAGCGCATAAAATCCGTTGAGTGTTATTGGATGTTGACCCACAACCATGTCAATGAAATCTCTTTTAAAGGAGCTGGGAAGAATTATTCAGCTCTCCAAGTGACGCGGGCACGGTCGCCCGCGATACCGAGTTGGCTCTCGCATTCGCTGATAAATCCTCTGTTGCATACCCGTGAGTTTATTTATATTCAATGTCGAATAGGAAAGCTTTGCACTCGCTTGAAGGCACAACAAATTGATCGATTAAACCCTAAATTCACAACCTTTTTCGTTGTTGAAAATCATTTGTTCTTGATTTACTTTCAATCCCTCAAAGGACAACTAGTTACGTACCGCCTCGTTGGTTTAAGGGAACACCACAACTCCATCAACATGGTTCAAAATAAAGCATTCATATACAAATCAATACCCAATGGGATACCAGTTCCTGGAAAGAACCTTAGCATCGAAGAGGGGACCTTTGACGAGACAGCGCCGCCGCCGAAAGGCGGTTTCACCACCAAGAATCTATATGCTTCTTATGACCCCGCCCAAAGAGGCTGGATGCGCGACCCTAGCATTAAATCTTACTCTGACCCAATGATACCCGGCGAACCTGTCCTCTCTGTTCAAGTTATCGCAAAAGTGCTAAAGAGCGACAACTTCAAGTTTCCTGAAGTGGCCATCACGATTCTATCGCGCAATTTCACCGAGGAATACTCGTTTTTGAATGAGGGCGCAGCAAAGAGAGCCGAATGTATCACACTCACGCCTGGCATACCTCTGACGGCTCATCTCAACGTGCTTGGCGTCACGGGCTTAACAGCCTATGGCTCTTTGATGGAAATCGGACAGCCGAAGAAAGGAGATGTCATTCTTATCTCTGCTGCCGCGGGCGCGGTAGGTCAAATGGTTGGCCAGATTGCTGTGCGGCTAGGTTTGCATGTATGTTATATCTCATTGCTTCGTACCTCATCCGTCTCTTCTGAGATTGATTAACACTTTCGCAGGTCATTGGTTCGGTCGGAGATGATAAGAAACTCGACTGTATCGTTCACCAGCTCGGATTCGCGTCGGGATTCAACTACAAGAAGGAAAATCTTGCTGATGCGATCAAGACACTTGCTCCCAACGGCTTGGATATCTAGTAAGCAAACCACCATCGCTGCCCTTATACGTCGAGCCATGTCCCACGAGAGGGAAGGTATCGCTACTAATTACCCTTGTGTGCAGTTTCGATAATGTTGGTGGAGAGCTTCTTGACGTTGCATTCACAAATGTAGGAACAATTTCGTGTGTTTATTCTATTCTCTTTTCTCTCTAAACGTGTCCCCGTGAACAGATGAAAGACTTCGGCCGCATTATAGCGTGCGGCACTATCTCGACGTACAACAACAGCAACGACTCTACCCCGTACGGATTGAAGAATTACAGTTCCGTCGTTCGCAGACGGCTTCGATATCAAGGTTTTATCTCCTTTGATCCAAATATCACAAAATGGAAAGCCGAGCGGGACAAGAACTTGTCCAAATGGATCCTCGATGGGAGTTTCAAGTCGATCGATTACATCACAGACGGTATCGACAATGCCATTGATGGCTTCCTGGGTATGCTGGACGGCAAGAATGTGGGCAAGAGTATTTTGAAGATTGCCGAGGAGTAAGTGATATGCTAGGAACAAGGACCTCGACGCAAAGTAGAATGACTGAGCTACGGCACTCCATTGGAGAACCGACTTGTGGTGGCTTACTAATTACCAGCAAGCATGGTCCTCCCCTTTGATCCGTTCCACCACGAAAATAGCTGGCATTCGCGGGGACGATGGGTGAGCTCCGCGTGTCTGATCCTTGCGCTGCTCTGACGGGGGCGGTGTGCCGGTGTTGCCCGGGGTGGGGGCGCAACGCGGCAAAGGACCAGGCCGTGCTCCTCGAGGCTGATGGTTTGACGGAAACGAACGGGGTAGTAATTTACAATGTCTGAACGTTTCGCCTGGCCTGCACCGGCCGAAGTACTTTGCAGATTGTTATCGCCGTGAAAATGGACCTCGGTATCGTCTTCATTAGTTTGGTAAAGACGTAAAGTTTCGTCGCGTGGTCCATCGGCGGTCTCTTCTTTCCCTTCGCGTTATAACATCGAAGAAAACCACCCATCCTTCCGGCTTCCAATAAGTGCCTGAAAATACAGCATAACAACGAATAGAAGACACCTGAAGTAGAGATGGCATTGGCAACCCCTCGCCCGATATGGACCCCCAACTCTCCTGAAAAGACCGCGATCACTGCGTTCCGGCACTATGTCAACCGCAGATACAACCTCAATCTTGTCAGCTACCGGGACATACACAGTTGGTCTGTTAACGATATCCAGGCATTTTCCGAAGCGGTTTTTGATTTCGTTGGCATAAAAACCTCAGAGCCTTATGTGAGGGTAATAGACGGGCTCGACACCATGTGGCCTCCCCCACGTTGGTTCCCTGGTGCGAAGTTGAATTATGCGGAAAATATGCTGCAGCCAGGACTTTCATCGAAGCCAAATGGCATTGCCATAACAACAGTCGACGAAACTGGACCCACGAGCAGCACTGACTACACCTTCAAGCAGCTCGAGCTTCTCACAGCTGCATGGGTCGCGGCGCTCAGAAAGCTGGGAGTTGGCGTAGGCGATGTTGTCGCAGGTAAGTATCTTTTGCTAGGGTGGCTCAGGCGACGCTCTTGGAGCATCCTAAATACCATCAAGAAGTCCTAGTAACACCGATTGGGTCTGGTGTGTATTATGAAGCCCTACCTGTACTGACTGAGAGGGATGTTACTTTTAGCTGTCCTCCCTAACAGGATCGATTGTCTCGTCTTGTTACTTGCCACAGCCTCCGTTGGAGCCATCTTCTCTTCAACGTCACCTGACATGGGCAGCAAAGGCATCCTTGAACGTTACCGGCAGGTGCGACCAAAGGTTTTTGTATGCGACACACTTGTACACTACAGCGGCAAAAAGATCGACCTGCGAGGACGATTTTCCGAGGTCGAGAAGACGCTTTACCGAGAGATCCGCGAACTGCAGCATGTAGTAATTATCAACGGGCCCTTGATTCAGGGTAGCAGCGCCATTCTAGCTTCCAAACTTCTTAATCTGTCTGACCCCCCGCCGATACAATATGAGCAGTTGCCGTTCGACCACCCAGTATACATACTGTATTCATCAGGCACGACAGGACTCCCGAAATGCATCATCCACGGGGCAGGACGTGCATTGATCATGCAAAAGAAGGAGCATATGCTGGGTAACGATATCGGACCGACCTCAACAATGTATCAGTATACTACTACAGGGTGGATGATGTGGAACTATTCGATCGCTTGCCTCAGCACAGCCGCTCGCGTTGTGCTGTATGACGGGAGCCCATTATATCCCACTCCGGCCCACCAAGTCGGGTTGATCCGAGGAGAGAGGTAAGTTATACCCCAATTCCGGCTTGATCACGTCCAATGAGGAATCTACGCACGGCTAAAAGCAGTGCCATTACCGTGATATGCAATAGTGGAGAGTCAAGACATCATGGCTGATATGAAGATTCCCAACAGAGTCACCCATTGGGGCACAAGCCCTAAATTTCTTACAGCCTTGAAACAACACGGGCTTCCACCTGATATGAGGATCGACTCCCTTCAGCATGTGTATTCAACGGGCTCACCCTTGAGCACTGAACTTCATGAGTGGTTCGCGGCCAATTTCCCAAGAAACGTGGGCCTATTTAGTGGCTCTGGGGGGACGGATCTTGTTGGTGGAAGTGAGTTACCCCCTGCTCTTTATCACATGTATAGGGCAGGACCTAACTCTGTGGTTCAGTCGTCTCTGGAAGTGTCATATCGAACATCTATACCGGTGAGATTTCAGGTCCTAATCTGGGGATGAAAGTCGAAATCTGGGATAGTAATGGCGTCAATATTGAAGAAACTGGAATGGATGGCGATCTGGTCATCACGAAACCTTTCTTCACCATGCCTCTTGGATTCTGGGGCAAGGATGGCGAGGACAAATACCGCAAGGCATACTTCGAGCAGTACCCTGGGGTATGGTATCACGGTGATCTCATTAGGAAAAACCCCCAAACCGGTGGCTACCAGATCCTCGGTCGGAGTGATGGTGTGCTAAACCCTGGAGGTAAGTATCTCCGCCAATCAGCTAGCCCCTTAAGAGAGAAGTGATGCTAAACGTCCCGGACAGGAGTGCGCTTTGGAAGCGCTGAAATTTATGGCGTGCTCGAGAAGATACCCGAACTACAGGATTTCATATGTGTCGGGCAGAAATTACCACCCAACTTCTCCGATGAACGCGTTTTGCTTTTCCTTAAGCTATACCCAGGAAAGCACCTGGATGAGGCATTGCGGCTTCATATCAAAAAGGCAATCGCGAGTTCTTTGAGTGCCCGGCATGTACCTGAGCAAATACACCAGGTCCAAGACATCCCGTATACGGTGAACGGAAAGAGAATTGAGAACTTGGTGCGCGACATCGTTGCTGGAAAATCGGTGGGTCCCGCGGCGACCGCCATCAATCCTGAATGTCTTGTGGAGTACAAGCGCTATATCCTTCCGAGCCGGAAGGGATCGGACAGCAAGCTATAGCTATCGAGCTGAGGAATCTACCGCATTGGAAGGTTTGAATCTGGGCAACGTGGTCTGCCTAGTCGCCATATTGAGCTCGCCATGTTGAGAAATTATGCAGGGCTTGTTCTACGTACTCTCTTAAGGGGATGTATTTTCTTAGCCGTCTTGGGTCTGAGCACAAGGTGGAAATTCCCCTTTTACCATGCAGGTTCCAAAGACATATCACCAGAAAAGCGTCTGGCCTATTCACCAACCGCCTATAGGTGGCCACACATAGAATACAAAGGTTAACCTAGTCGGCAGGCTAGGGCCATAGATACCGTAGCATACCGATAATATCTAGTACGATATCGATATTAAGCAAGTACGCAAAGATCACACCCCTTGAGCATTCGAGAAAAATTTAACCAGTTACAATATCCTGTCCAGCATGGGAGGGGATTTCGATGCCAGGTGAAACAGTCTGCAGTGTGCCAAGGTCAGTCATGTATGGCAGGTACGAGTCTGCGAAGTATTCTTTGAACGAAGATGCATCATATGCGGTGTCGGAACCGATTCTCGGAGGATTCGTTCCATACGTTGAATGGTCCCCTGTGGGAAAGAAGACAGCGTAACGCTTCGTACAGCAAGTCCGGCAGGTATAACCCATATGAGGGAGATGGCGTGGTGGGGAGTATGTCACCAGCGAAGTCTGCATTGCAGAGCGTGACGTGCCTCGCGAGCACGTAGTTCAGCTGGGACCCCATTGTTCCGCAGCCAGAATCACATCCCTCTAGCCGGAATTGTGTTGGAAGTGACATTTTAAAGGCGGCAATGTCATTCTGTAGAATGGTTTTCTCATCCGGGTTTACACTTCTCGTGCCGTCACGGCTCGATTCATGGACCAGCGACAGCAAGTATGTGGAAACGAGATACTATGCTCTCGTATTGCGTGTTTCTGTTGCACTGAGTGACATAAAGACGGCCCCTGGCGTCGAGGTCATCTTCCCCATATATACCTCGTTCCCACTGAAACAATCTTCATCAGAGACCGGCATGCGGACTGGCATATGGCGACGGCTCATGCCAAAGGGGCTCTTCAGAACGATAGAACCGAACGTGTCAAGCTCCCACACCGCCCAGAACAGTGCTGAAGGCCCATATCTTCCACTCATCCTCTTCCCGAGCAATGCACATCAAGCCAGAACAAGAGCTGATAGTCTTGAATACGAAGCGTGCTTGTATCCACGCAAGATCGGGCACCACCTGGACGACCATACTTGACTTCTGCATCAAAGCAAAAGCCCTTGGATTCAACGGCCGATGGGGCCTTCCCTGTTGTTTGAACCGAATTGCTGCCATGGAATGTTCGCAACCGTCCCGTCATCGCACAGAGATCGCGCCATGCTACCGCACCGGCCAGGACATTGGTGTTGCAATCAGGAAATGCACGTATCACTTGAGCTGCTATCTCTGCTGCATCCACGTCGCTGCTGATGGCGCCCGTCAAAAGCTTTGCACGGAGTTTTCCGAGGGCAAATGCCTGTGTTCGTCCTGAATTATGTGACTCTACCACTGCCGTCATCGTGAGGCGAGTGGGTTGAGAGGATTGAGAGCAAGTATCTTCGCAACACCAATCTTCTCAATTCCCTCGAGGTAGCTCGGGCCTCATAATTCCATCTAGAATTAGCGACAACGGTGTCGGACACCGCGGTCCGCGGTCACGACCCGGGATGCTACGGCAGACCTAGAAGGCGAGAAATGAAGAATACCCTGGTCACCGTGGGGATCCTAAAACCCGGAGATCGGAAGGCCGGAGCCAGCTCTTGGACCTTCTGTCAACTCCTCACTTATTATCAGGACTTCATATTGAGTAGACGCCCCTTGTGAGGGCTTTTTGTTTACTAGCAACTTCAGCATACAGCAGATACGATGGAAGGTGGCAACACGGCCTCATGGGCTATATCGTATCTTTCCAACCCAGGAGCTCTCATTCGAGCTTTGCCAATTGCTCTGGGCTTAGCGGCTCTGGCTTGGCTAACTTACGTTCAGTTTCTTTCACCAGTTGCGAAGATTCCTGGCCCGTTCTGGGCCAAAATATCGAGACTCTGGCTTGCCTATCATGGATGGGTTGGTGATTTTCATACGACATTGCTAAGACTCCATCACCAATATGGTGACTTGGTTCGTGTGGGACCAAACGAATTGTCGGTTTGCAGCGGTGAAGGAGTTCGCAAGATCTATGGTCTGCTTAGCTGAGATCCGAAGTTGTTTTGAAAAGCTAACAAGTTTAAACAGGTATTGGAGCAAAGTTCAGCAAAAGCGAATTCTACACCCCGGTGCAAGGCAAGCGGAAATTCGACCTCTTCGGGGAAAAGAACGAAGAAATTCATCGGCAGCAACGTCGCATCGTCAGTAACATCTATACTGTTGCTGCAGTAAAGGAGCTGGAATCGCACATCGACAGTACAGTCGCGCATTTCGTGGAACAGCTCAAGCTTCGGTATAACCACACGATCGATTTCGGCGTCTGGCTCCAACTATTTGCCTTTGGTAAGTACACAAGGGCAGACTAGTTGAGAAACTAATCTAACAATGACTAGATGTGATTGGAGAAGTTACCTTCTCACAGAGATTCGGCCTCCTGGATATAGGTGAGGAGACCGATGCTTTGGTGGCCATCAAAGAATCCATGAAGTCGACGTCCTGGCTGTGCCAGATTCCCCTTGTATACCACATTCATGAGACCCTGAAACCAATTATTGGCGACCGTATTGCCGCCAATGCTAGGAATAGCACCTTGCGCGACTTTACCGTCAACCATGTGCGAGCGCGCGAGGGGCGAGAGACGAAGCATAGAGACTTCGTGTCGCGGCTGTTCGAGATCCACAAGTCCAAAGAAAATGATTTCGACGTTAATGACGTGATCTCAATGGCTTCGAGTAATGTCGTGGCAGGATCGGATACCACGGCAATATCTATGAGAGCAATGTGTAGGTCATTTGCCGTTTTGCGCACACCACAGCTAACAAAGAGGCAGTTCACTTTCTGTTGACCCACCCAGAATGCAAAGCGAAGCTCCTTGAGGAGATTGATGCGTACTACGACAGCGACGAAGCCCAAAAACACAAAATCATACCATTCGACGTAGCAAACAATCTGCCATATCTCCAAGCCGTGAAGTACGAGTCTATGCGCCTTCATCCTGTTGTTGGACAGACCCTGCCAAGGGTTGTGCCTGCAGGAGGCTTGCAATGTGGCAACGAGTATATTCCAGCAGGAGTAAGTGAACCAGCTCCTTGAATCGCCATCAAGATCTGACAACACCGTTAGACTGTTGTGGGAGTTTCGCCGTATGTGGTTGGCCAGTCGACAGAAATCTGGGGAGACGATGCTACTGAATTTAAGCCAGAGAGGTGGATGGGTAAGAACAGAGGCGAACTTCGTAAGTGTAATTTTCTGGCGCAGCAGAACGTAGATTGCTAATTGTGTCGAAGAAAAGTTCTGGATGCCATTCGGTGGAGGCTCCTGGACATGTATAGGGAAAAGTAATTCAAGTTCACACAGTGCAAACAGGGGACTCGATGGCTGACAAGTTTACAGATTTGAGTTGGGTTGAGATGAGCAAGGTGAGCACCGACTTCTTCCTTCATTGAGAATCAATGTACTGACGTTCTTTTCAGGTCTTGCCCACCTTGTTTAGGAATTTTGATATCAAGCTTGCACATCCAGAGAGGGAACTGGACTTCCAGTGCTTGTACGTCGTCTTGTCTAGAGCCGATACCTTCCCCTCCAACTGACCGTGCTAGTTTTTTCCTTTTACAAACCGGTCTCGATGTCATAGTGACGCCGCGGAAGTTTACCACAGATTGATGATCTGCCAGAAGTGAAGTGTCGAGTCGAAGAACTCTACTTTGAGTGGCGGATCACGACGCAGTCCGCCGGAAAGTATGTCACATGGTCGAATAGCGAACTGTTTTGGAATTAGTGTTATGTGATGGGTAGCGGTGGCAACGTTGAACTTTCACGGGCCGGTAGTAACGGATCTCGATCTACCTATGAAATATTTCAAGACGCCCAGATCGAGTTGCGGAAAGAGCGTCGCATTTCAACTGCGAGAAGTCTGAAGCTGAGAGAATCTATGGCTTCTAGTGTATGTAGAGTCAGGGCTATGCGGGATAAGGAATGATCGCCATGACTTCGAACTAGGATCTTCTCCAAATGACATGTATACGAACATGAAATTTTCAGAAGAAATCTCAGATCCGGCTGTGGTCTTCGCAATGCTTACCACACTATGAAACATTCTCTGAAGTAAAAATTGACCTCGAGTCACCCTGCTACCACTCTCCTGAGATGACTATATCATACATATCTCGACATTTCGGTTCCGTACGTAAACACTCCCAACTTCCAGAAATCTTTGATCTGTGGAGATCTGTGGAGAAGGCTGATATGCTTAGAACGTGTGCAAGGCTATTTCTTCGTTTGTGGCCCAAGCAGTGCAGCCCATGACCCGTAAAACTAGAGTTCAAAGCACTGAGGAAATCTCCCCATTTTGCGTATATCCTTTCTCCCACTTCTCGTATATGTTCTCGGCGCCAGCCCAGACATCATAATCCAATAACTCCGTAACATAGTTCATGTCACACCATGTGTGCCGCGACTTCTCATTCGTATAAGTGTGTCGTTTCAGCTCTTCATCGCGTGCTTGCTGTGCCGGGCCGTCTGGCATGTGGTAGAAATGTTGATTGCCGATGGCACCAAGTACATTGGTGGTTGTTCTTCTCTTTTGGCATTGCTCGTACAGGCCTAGAATCTCAATTATGGAAGATCGTTGCTTGTCACGACGAATAATGTTGTTGCGGAGACTGCTGTTCAATTTACCCAGCAGAAGACCAAGCACTGTGCCATCTTCGGCCGCCATAGCAGCGCCTTGGGCTTGGTACGGCAGTGTAGGGTGACAGGCATCGCCGAGCAATGCTACAGTGCCCTGTTATCACGAAGCGATTAGTGCTTTTCCGGCAGCCGGATCTTCCGGGGTTGGGGTTGTCATTCGTACCTTTGTCCAGCTCTCGAGCTCGTCATGGTGCATAAGCTTCCATTTCAAACAGGAAGATATACAACTAATGATCTTCGTGAGACTATGATCAATGTGTCAGCAGCTCGGCTTTGTGGCTTCAGTCGTTTCAACTTACACATCATCCCAACCAACAAAAGTGTCTCTCATCTCATCAATATCACCTTTTTCGGTCCGCTTGCCTTTGGCAAGATTGTCCGGTCTAACAAGTACCATGTTGAATTGCGTTCCGTTCTTGACTGGGTACAATACGCTATGCTTTTCGGGGCCAAACCAAACATTTGACTCCATGCTGCTACATAGCGATACCACACGTGGATCATTCAAGTCTTCGAGCTGCTTTCTTGTAAAAGTTGCCCTGTATGCCAAGTCTCCGGTCTCATAAGGTTCGGATACATGTCCCAGCATCTTAGATCTTGTCGCAGACCACAAACCTTGAGAGTAAACAGTGATTAGTCTATGGAAAACGGACACCGGTTGATAACAAGAACCTACCATCAGCACCAATAATCACATCCCCAGTAGCCACCTTCCCATTTGCGAGGTACAGCTTGCCGGCCTCAAAATCGACGTTTTCAACTTTTGAGTCGAGATGAATGGGGACGCCTAGTTCCTTGAGTCTGTTCATGAGGACATCTAAGTAATCGGCTCGATGAATCAGACTTGATAGATGTTAGCCGTAGGGACAGAGTTCGGTCAGTTCACAAAAGCTCACATCCATGGACTGTCATGTTTCAACTCTCTGCGGTTGAGTACTGCTCCATCCTGGTAGCGTCGCATGATTATTGCCTTCACCTCATTACCCGCCGTTTTCATCGCTGGCATCAATCCGAGCCTGTCGAGGGCTCTAGTTGCATTGGGAGGAACTTGTATGCCAGCGCCAATCTACGAACCAAGCAACCTGTCAGCGAAAAGTTCGTGGCTAGATATATGACTTTACACTCATGGCTGATCCGGGCCTGAACCAGCAGAATTTTGAGCAGAATGGTATATACCTACCGGTAAGATTTCAGGTGCCTGCTCAAAGATTTCGACTGATAGGCCTTGCTGGCGGCAAGCAATTGCACATACCAGGCCTCCTATACCGGCTCCGATAATGCAAACGTGCAAATTCTGGGAACTCATTTTCGTCTATGGCTGAAAATCGGCAGTGGGACAGGGGTAGGGTGTTGGCGATGTGTAACAGGACGCGAACAACGCTGAAAGACGAGTTTACAGGTTTTTGTTTTTGGCAACGGACCCGACTTCGACCAGTTATTTTAGGGATACTACACAGTTGGTTACCTATTCCTAGGAGACCGTAATCTGGGCAACCTCGGCGCTGGCGGGTGGCCCGGGGTCTGTACACCCCGACTTTAGTACCCACCGCCCCACTTCCACGCTGTGTAGACTACAAGCACAGATTCAAAATGGGGACGGCGAGGAGCGGCGTGCGAGGAAGAACGCCGTGGTCTAATGACCACCTCGACGTTGCAAGCCCGGAAAGGAGCCTACCCGGGTAATGTTCAAAGAAGCTTGATTTTATGCCTAACTATGAACAACGCCCACCAGACTCCCTTGCTTTGAAGTCTCTTAGACCGTCCATGTGCGGTGTGGTGCGTCCGCGTCTCGGTCGGATTACCGGTACCGTTGTTTGCCGAACGAATCTGCCAGCATCCTCAGTGTTTCCAATCTCAAAACCAAGCGGCATTTTTGGTCCTCACATGTATCTATCCTCTTCATTAGTGTGAGCGCGCAGAAATGGCCAAAATAACGTCTATACTAACAATGGAGGATCTGAGCGTCCGAAACACATCGACGGACTTCCAACACTTTGTCCAACCCTGCTTACGAGGTTCATCAAAACCACCACCACCAAAGGGATTCAAAGCCGTTACTCCATAATTTGAGATGAACACTAGCTTTTGGAGCGTCTAGGGAGATACCAAGGAAATGCTCTCCAGCGCTCTTCAATACATCCAGCTTCAAAGGTTAATCTTTGTGCATCCTAGTCTGTATGCCTCCGGGCAAGATCAATGTGTATAAACAAGTCTTATCTTGGACATTCTTCTCGTTCTCTAGATGTTACCGGTGATTCTCACATTGAGAGTAGGCGTCTACCAACGTAGCAGGTCTTTAACCCACTGCGCTTTTAGGATATCCTTAATTACCGAGCATCTGGACGGAATGAGATCCTGTATCAAAATGATGAAGGGGACATGCTCAAGGTTCCTTCGCTACATTGTTGACGGGAACTCTTCTTTCTTTCTTTCTTCTCCAGCTTGCCCTGGTTAGATGATCGATCACAAAAGCACCTCCTGACTGCCAGGGCGAGCGAGCGCTGCTGTTCCTGAGACTACATGAAGAAAAGACAGGTAGATGAGATCACTTGAAGCAAATGATCAAGCAGATGATCTCGACTCAGCCCGCACCCAGACATGCGCTATCGCGGATATTTCAAGTTAGAGACATCCCGAAAAAGGTGAACCGGAAATGGACCGAAAACCTTGTCTGCGACATCATTGACGGGTGGTTGGCCGGCGAGGCGCACACAATTGTCTATCCAAAGCGCTCGTAAGAGTGTCATCCTCTTGTCCTCCTAAAGAACGTGAGCGCGATACCAAAGGTGTGATAGAACATTGGTCATCAGCGAAATCAGCGCTATGCTATGCTCGTAGCCTGCTCCTCAAGATTCTTGCGCCTGACCAAAGATGTCTGAGAAAGCGAACATGGAATCCCGATCTGAATCATTGTTGGGTATCATTTTAAGCATTTGGAAGGAAGGTGTTATTTCAAAGGAAATCCTGCTGTTTTGGTCTGCCATAATAACATCTGGGGGTTGATGTATAGCCAGTAGGTCTGGTCGCATTTGGTCTCCAGCACTGTGGGTACCTGTTGTAGATTCACGCCCAAGGAAAGCTGCAAATCGTCGGCGGAGTGTGGGCATATCGGCTTCTGCTTCAGTATCAGGATGGCGGAGGACCCGAAAAACAGCTGCACGTATTGGTTAACGCCAAAGCGATCGCACTAGAAACCATCAAGACTTACTTAAAATCTCCTGAGCCAATTCCCAATTCTGTGCGAACCGGGCTATTGATAGCTCTGCAGTATCTCCTACAGCATCGAAGGAAGCTTTGGTCTTCGGACCCAGTCGCCCTCCATCCGTCTCAAAGACTGTAGGCAAGATGTTGCAGACAAAAAATGGATGGGCAGCAGCCATATACTCTGGGGGCCACCGTGCGACTACTTGTGAGAATGACACTGCGCGCGTATTTCTGGGCGTTTCGGCTCCGTCAATGATTGATGATAGCGGATTGGAGAATATCCCCTGATCTTGGACGGTAGTATCAAGAAGGGCGTATGCAGTCGTCAGCATCAAATACGTCCCAAATACCCAGTTGTAATCGGCAAACGTGTCTGGTTCAAAAAGAGGTGGCTTCCTGAGGATATCGAAAGCAACCGGCCAAGAGAGCTTCAAGCAATTGAAGGCTGTCTCATAATCTAGTAATTGTTCGTGTTCAAGTGGCCTTTTCACGCTCAGATGCTGCATGAGGAGCGAGAGCAGATGATTTGCTATCAGGAACCAAGCGCGAGGGTTTTGATTTTCTGAGCCCTGCAAAGATGTCCAGGCTTCTCGCGGGACAGTCTGAAGTACGTTAGACTGTACATTTCGTCCGGCAAACCAATCGTTATCTGATAGAGGCAGCTTAACTGTAAAAGCGTGTCGATCCACGGCAAACGGTTTTCGGGTCATCAACGACCCAAACGTGTCCAGCTCCCACGTTAGCCACCAGGCTCGTCGCATTTCTTCAACATCTGTTTCGTTTACATCTTCCTGACTACCCGGAGTGCCTTCTTCTCCACTGTCGATCTCGGCTAGTTGCAAATCGTAGGATATACGGACGCAGACTCCAGTCAAAAGCCAGGCTGAGGTATTCAGCTCGGCTGTGTAGGCGTGGAAGGCTAGGACTATGTAGCCTTGTAGATACAACAGGTCTGGGCTCTCAATGTGTCGTAAGTCTGAACATATACTGTGCGCCGTAGTTGTATAGATTGAGCCTCGTTCTAGCGGGTTGATATCTGCCAGAGCCGGGTGTGTTGAAAAACGAGCGGAAAGTCCAAACATTCCCGTTAATAGCATGGCCATTTCCAGAGAAAGACCAGCTAGAGCATCTGAGCCTTGTCTCAGCTCCTGATGGGCACGGGCGATAAATCTTGGCTTGTGTAGAAGCGGAAGCCACGGTTGAATATGATCGAAAAATGTTTCGATAAGATCCATGGCTAGGTCGAATGATATGTGTGGAAATTCGGTTGGATGTGAGAGTAAAATTACATTATGACTTGGATTCTCGCTGCTGAAAGTATTGAAGGCTAGATTTAGAGCAGGTCCATCAAGCGAAGGGGGCAGCAACGAAGACCCATTTTGTTGAAAATTATCAGGTACAGGGTCAGAAGGCAACAAGACGTCCGGACTGGAGACTGGGCGCTCAAGCTGTGTGGTTAAAAGATTCTGAAGCGCAGTCGGATTTCGCAGAAGGTCCAAGAGCCAGACCAGACTGCCCTGAGCGGGCTGTGAATTGGATCGAGTCCGTTTCAAAGAGGTCCTTGGAAGCTTGTTGGGGGCAGGATAGGTACAGGTCCGTTTGGTCCGTGTGCAGAGTCCACAGGCTGGCTTTTCCATGTCGCACTTGGTCTTCTTACGCTTACTTGGACATACAGCAATTAGTCAAATTCGACCATCGTTGCCGTTTGATCTACTCACCACGCCTCGCAAGCCCGCATTGCCATCGGGTGCAGGGCCTGTGCCTCATCACGGGACGGTGCTTGATCGTCCTGTTCATTGACAGTAGCCATGCTGTATACTTGGTGCCCATTCAATTGTGGTGAAATGTCAAGATGAATTCGAGACGAAGTACAGAGTTTCAGCCCAAGCGCCGTCGTGCCAAGACGGAATAAGCTGCCCGACCGAAAAAGCCGCCTTTGTAACCTCCAGCAATCGAGGCCTACGTTTTCTCCCAGAGATGTCTCCAGGCCAGTAATGGGCGGTGGAAAGTGGCACAGCGCGATATATTCTCCATATACGATCAATACAACTTGAGGGTTTCGGTATGCATGTCACATTTCAGTTTCTCTCGTACTTCCTTACGCTACTGCATAAATGCTTCCACGGCCCATGAGCAGCAAGAGGGGTATATCTGGGTGATTGGGGAGCCAGTACAACGGATTGTATTTCAAAGGATTTGAGAGGGCGTCGGGCTGGCTAGGGGTTAATGCTTTCGCCTGGAATATTCTGTCAAGTCCCATATCAACCTCGCCTTAGCTTTTGGGCGGCGCAAGCAACATTTATCGAATTACAATACTATCCCCGCCCTGCTAACCCGCACTGACCCGGAAACCCCGGAGAGTGTCGGCCAAAGTCTTACGAGTCATCGGCGCCCTTAACGCAACGGACACGACTCGAACACTCGGGTTACCTTCCTGGTAGACACTCCAACCCCATAAGCACGGTAGTTATTTAACCCCTAAATCTAAGGGCCTTTGCTTTCTGAAGGCCTCTACCTCTACAAGACGACTTAATAGAGCCACACCGTCGCGATCAAGAACAGGAAAGCTCTGCCATCCTCACAATGAGGATGTGAGATTAGATGATTCCAAGCCAAGCCAAAAAACGATATTGACCATGTTAAGGGACTGGACCGATTTCCAGACGGAATACTTATCACCCGACACGAGGCGCGATTAAGACTTAAAAGAACTTGAGCTCCCCATCAGTCAAATGTACAGCTTCTCTACATTCATTCCCTATCAAGGCGCTATCGCTCGTGCCCTTCGAATGTGGTGATGACTCAACACTTTCCTGTTAGAGGTGTTGCTGCCACTGTCGTTGCTATTTGGGGCGTCATAGTCAAGGACACCATCATGTATCTCGACTATAGCAGTCTTTGCATCGACCATCTCCTCCTGGATGCTGTTGATTTCGATCTTGCTCCCAATTTTAACCGAGTATATATCCATGGTCTACCAATTCTCAAGCTCGCGGTCCACCAAATGAGCGTTCCATGCCCGCTCGTCAATGTCCTCTGATGATCATCATCCCTTCCTCGGACTTGGCCTTGACTAGATTATATCTTCGTAGGGTCTCCCCGTACCGCATTGGTATCATGATCAGTAGGAAGGCAAAGATAGTAAAGAAGGCCATCATTCCGAAGCACCAGTTGATACCCACCTTTGCGGCCCAAGGGAATAGGAAGAAGTTGAGAGCTATGCCGAACACGAGGCGGTAGAAGTTCATGATGCCGGTGGCCTCGTTCGCGTACGCTGGGGTGAATGCTTCGATCACGTAATTGACGACGGCTGGCACTCCGGCCACCCCACTGAAGGTGATGAGGAAGACGGCAAAAGCCAAAACCATATAATGCCAGTGATAGAGGAGACTAGCTCCGAAGATTCCGAGGCCAAGAGGATAAACGATCAAGATTGGCACCCACAATGAATGTAGGCGGTACTCAGCCTGCCACTTTCCTCCCCGACGGGCGCAGATAGCTAAAGGTAGCCGATCATTGACAAAGTGACCATATGCCTGGGCAACGAAGACACCTACCCACTGGGTAAAGGTGACTACATGAAACGTCGTTAGCTCTAACAGGTCGAATCACCGCGAAATGGTCCAGGATGAAGAGGGGTGTACTACTTACAAGCTGCGTTCCGCCTTGGAGAGAAGGCGTAGCCACCGGCCTCCACAGGTTCTTGGAGAAAGACGGAGAGGAGGGTGGTCACTGCAACCGACCATGAAAAATAGAGCATAAGTGGAAAACCGACCAGCATCGTCACTGGAGAGACACCGATAGCAAGTGGTAGCAGAGCCGCTCGGAAAGTCTGCGCGATGGTCTCTGGTGGTGTCGTCCGTCGTGTGAAGAAATACGTGGCCGTGAACTCTTGGAATCGAGTCTTTGGTCTGGGCGGGAATTCAGGTCCTCCAGGTCTTGTCCACCCAGTTTCTCGAAGGAATATTAGACATAATACTGCAACGACGCCCTCGACGCCAACATTGTACCAGAATTGAACCGTCCAGCTAGCATCCTGGACAATGAAGCCGGAAAATGTGGCACTGGCCACCGTTCCGAGCAGGACGCAGCATGTGTAGATTGCAATACACTTGCCCCGGTCGTGGAGAAAGAATACTTCGATGATGAACTTGGATCCCACTGCGTTGAATCTTGATCAGCTGAGAAATTCAGAACCAGTTCGGCAAACTCACCAACAGACGCGGCTGAGCCAAAAAGTGCTGCAAAAAGTCGAGACACCACAAAAGGAATATAGTCGTCACCGCTGGTCATCCTTGCTGACCAAATATTCATGCACAGCGTCAAGATCAATGACCAGAAGATAACTGCGCACTTTCCCAGCTGTCTCGCGACTGGTGTCCACAGCAAAGGTCCAACTGCCAATCCAGCGATGGCGGCAGAGAGCTAAAAACCAGCAAATCACCAAGCAATGTCAGTCATTATACCCTACGTTCATTCTTCTGAGAGAAGAGCAGATTCAGACTTACGCTGTAGGATACATCGACGGGGGATTTGTGGTACAGTTCAGCTTGTACGAAAAAGCCAGCTGAGTTGGCGAGGGCCTGAACGATACCAGCGAATGAAGCCAGGCACAAGATGGCCAATGTCGTGCTTTTCCTGGCCGTAGACCAGTTCTAGATCGAAAAAAGTATCAGCATCAATCGCCCAAATGTATGATGGGGTGAAAGTGCATGGTTTCACAAGAACTCAAGGGATGTGGCATTTTACAACGTACCAAGGGGTCTTCAGGATCGTCAGTAGGTTGTGGGACCAGTGCAATACCATGACGGTTTTTCCTGGTGGGCTGCTTTTCGAGATCCTCGCTCTGTACCTGCTCGGCAAATTCTGCTTCGCGAGTTGTCTCTATTTCCTGTCCACTCGCGACGGAGTGTTTGTCGGACTGCATCGTATTTCCTCCTTGGCAGAACAAGAGAATCTTGTGAGAAGTAGCGACAAAGTGTAAAGCGTAAAATAACCGTCTCCACGATAATCCAGTCTTCTGATACGCCCACGGCTCTCGCAGTGTGACCGATCTTGCAAGATATTGTTTTTGCCAAGGGTGTTCGAGGACTTGGCCAGATCTTATTCTTTCTAGGCACGGTCTTCACGGTCCGCGCCGGGCTTTGCCAGCAGGTTGACTCAACCGTTAAATGGGCTACACATGTACCCCCGGAGACAGGGGAGAGGTGGAACAGAGTCGGGGCACGCTTAGAGACCCCATGGCACCAAACCTTGTTGCTGCGGGATTTGTATGTGTAGCCTGGACTGCTCCACCGAACGCGGTGTACCGAGCCTGACCGTGATCCAGTCGCAATTTGTACAGTCTCGCATCCGTTATGATTGTCGGGGAACATAGTGTTCCTGAACAAGATTCATTCTGATGGTGTACACTCTGCTCTGTAGCCTTGATCCAGGTTATCCTTGGCCGGTGAGAGGCCGATGGAGTCAGGATCAAAAGACGAGGTGTTGCAAAGCGTTGGATTGTCGTGCGTAAGGGTTCTGTAAGTATTATGCAAGTCAGGCAGTTCGAAAAGAAGGCCAATGGTAACTATGCTATCCCGCAATGGGGAAGGTGCGCCGACCACCCGAACATGAACCCCGGCCTGGTAACGCCCCAGAGTTGTCGCAGCCCGGCGGGTGATCGAAAAAAAGTCTAGAGCACGGCTACAGAATGGAACAAAACGGATATTGGTTTCCCAGCCTCGTTTTATCCTTGAATATCAATTTTTCTATGCCATTCTAGCCCCTAACAAATCAGCCGGTTTTCTGATTTTAGCGCAAGGCTCGGAGGTTACGTCTCTCCGGTTACCTCACTGGCTTTCCATGGCCTGTCGTGTAGTACACACATCGGCCAGTCGCTCCTTTACTTCTGGTTAATCAACTCTCTCTGCATCGCTACAACCACATAAGACAACGGACCGCAATTTATTCCGCGAAGCCTCAGTCTAGGTGTTTTATCCTACGGACTTGCTGTTTGTGGGGTGTCTATGACTGTTATCTCCAATGCGTCGATCGAGAAAAGAGACTCTGCAGAGATATGCTGCGACACTCTTTCTTCGACTACGGGTTTGTTGTCATGTCGAGGATGACTTCTGCTCTTGAAAGCGACCACGTGTGAATTTACAGCAGACATCGACTCTGTTCGGGGAGCCCCGAAAGCTTATCTATATGACTTTTCGTGGGGACAGTGACTGAAATATTTGCCTATTGCGGTAATGCGAGCTGACATATTTGGTGTCCCGATAAGGCCGGTGAGGCTCGGCTTTGTGCGGCTTTCTGTTGCAACTGGACATACGAATCGATCATCGACTATCTAAGGCGAGAACGGTAGGTATATCTCGACGCATAAGATAGAGCATTTGAGTAAGTGCTCCGACATCAACATCAGACGAAACCGCAGACAAAAGTGCCAAAATGTATGGACAGACCTCTATCCCTGACGTGCCCGGCTACGTCTCTTTCAGGGCTGGTCACCGGATTCAGTCCCGCAAGATCTTGACGGGTGATGAGGCGAAGCCAACATTCGACGCAATTCCGTCCATTGATGCTTCTCAAATCTTCTCAGAAGACTTTCAAGAACGTAAAAGGCTCGCGGAGCAGATTGGGAAGGCCGCTCAGGATGTCGGCTTCTTCTATCTGATCAACCCGCCGGTATCTGGGGCGAAGATGGGTGCGTACAGGATACGAATCCTCGTCATGGCTTTGTCACACGATTCACGGCCTGAACTGATTTACTCCTCTAGATGCCGCCTTTGCAGCGTTGGCCAGATTCTTTGCCCTCCCAGAGGATGTCAAGGTGACCCGATTTGCCTCAGCTAGGTTTGAATTCGATTGACATTTGCCATGCAGATGAAGTATCATGTCAACAACAGCCCAGCTTTCAAGGGTTTCAATCCTGTCAACCCCGACGAGAAGAGAGCAGGCTTTGGATCAGCCCGAGAGACATTTAGCTTGGGCAGAGACTATACGGACCCTGAGCAACATTCCATCAAAGTCGCTCCACCTGGCACCGTCTCCCTCAATCAATGGCCGGACGCAGACCTCCCTGAGTTCCGTCGTGACATTTACGCCTACTGTATGAACAATTTGATCAAGTCGCAATGGACGGATGCTAATGAGCTTCACCAGTCACAGAAGTCTATGCCTTCGCAGCGAAGCTAGTACAGATATTCTCGCTCGCTCTCGGACTCGAGGAGACAGCGTTGGACGAATTCTTCAAGTTTCCTTTTACCGACATCACCATCAATCACTATCCACCACAGGCCGGTGACGATACATACAGACAGGTCCTGTTTCCTCACGCTGACTATGGTGGTGAGTATCTACTTCTTTTGCACGAGTTGCTAGTGCCTCGAAATTCCAAACAAACTGACCGTGGTATTTGTACGCAGCTTTTACACTACTGGCTCAGAGTAGGTCCAGTTTCCCGCCAAACGGAATGATTTATGCTAATGTGTCGGCAAAGAGGAAGTCAGTGGACTGGAAGTGTTGAACGCCAACGCAATCTGGGTGAAGGCACCTGTCGTCGAACACGCCTTCGTCGTCAACACCGGGAGCTACTTCGAGTTGATATCAGGCGGCCGTTGGAAGTCGACTGTCCACCGTGTCTGCGCAAGGGTGAGGGTACATTCCGGAACTTTGTGTACTCGACTGACTATCTCCCAGGCCAACACTGACCGAACCTCGCTTCCGTTCTTTTTCTCGCCGAGTCCTAACACCACCATATATCCGATGGTGGCTCTTGAAGACAATGACCTCGAGGATCAACGTAGGGACATTGGCAAAGAACACGTGCGGGGCATGATGGCTGATCGACCGAATCATCCATTTGTGAAGAAGCTCAGGGCGCTTGGCTTGGGGCCTGAGGAGTATACGTACGACATGATTTTGCAGCCCATAGCCTGATGCATCTCGAGCGTGGCAAGGTCTTTAGCAGGACTGCATACAAGGAGAGAATGTACTTCGTCGGGAGAAACAGAGAATATACAGGCCCCGTTCGTAGTTGTTCTCGGCTGTTCTGCGCATGATACGTGAAAAGAGATCGAGGCGCAAGACCAAAACACACCCGTTCAGACAATCTCCCCAATCGAGAATAATTTACTGGCCTGATAGGTAGGAACGCCTAAAAGTTTAGGCGCAGAAACATATAAGTCCGCCTAAAGAATAGGCACTAGTACCTAAAGCTTAGGGGGTCCTTAAGTCTCCCCTCAACTGTAATGTTTGATTTCAATACCTTCATTCTTCTATGTTCGCATACTATTATAGAATCTTCTGTCTCTGTTCTCTACGACGATATCCCTTGAAAACTTTGTGCTGCATTATCTTTCTAGAAAGTAGAGCCTAAAGTACCGTGAAGATTCTTGTCATTGCAGTGGTTGTAGCGAGCATTGTGATGTGACTGAGATCAAGGGCCTTTCATTTTTGAAAAGCTTCCTCTAAGCCCAAATAGGCTGCAATCTGCGTCGATAAGATCCCTCAGTGAAGGCTAACCTCAAGCAGGGCTAAACATCAGTCTCGACTTACAATATACTAACAAGCTTATCGCTTTTTGAGAGTGGGGGGCTCGCAGATCACCGTTATCAAACCCGTGGGCCATTTCCACAGAAAGACTGAAACAGCTTCCCGTTTTTTTAACGTCTGTTGTTATTGTCCTTTACTTATCCACTGTAGTTTGGCAAACTGAAACACCTTCCTATTCTCCCCGTCTGGTGTCTGGTCCTATTACTTATGGGCCATCAACCAACCAGTACCGGATATCCTCCCTATCGCGGTGTACGCCTCAGCATCGAGCAGTCGCTGCATCGGCAGGCTGATGCAGCCGAGCACCACTTCAAGCCGCCACGCCACCCACCCGACAGCTTGTCGCACATGTCGGCGCCGCGGTCGCAAATGCGACAAGACGCTGCCTTCGTGCCAGAGCTGTAAGGACAGATACGTTGAATGTGAGGGCTACGTGACCCGGTGGCCGGGTGTTGCTGCGCGCGGCAAACTACGTGGGAAGACTATTCCAATCCTCGTGGATGAAGAGTGTGGCGACGCGAGATGTCTCGTGAAGAGGAAAAGCCCATTTCCCTCCAGCACCACCACCAAAACGCAGACCTCGTCACCGCAGAAGCTTCCAATAAATTCTCAACATCAGCTGCATTCTCAGGAAGTGTCGAGGGTGCCACGCAGCCCATCAATTGAATGGATTCTCCCTGGAACTTCAGACAGCTTGGATCCTTTTATTGATTATTGTGAGTCCAGATTGTGAACTACCTGTGCTTGCTTAATCCTGCTTAGAGAGTCACACGGGTGTATCCTGACGGCATGCTGACCTTCAACAGTTACCTACGACCTCAGCGGGATTCCCTACCTCGGATCCAAGCCAGAGCAGAGCCCGTATCTGCTGTATGTCCGTCCTCTAACAAATCATGTGCCGCCACTTCGATATGCCGTGGCGGCAGCAGCAGCGTGCCATGTGGCAATCCGCTTTCAGAACGATTCCCTAAAAGCCAGGAGCCGCGAGTGGCAGCTCAAGGCGATGGAGCTTATGCGCCAGAGGCTCACATCGAAAGCATTGACGGCGGATTTTGGAACCGTGCTGACCATTCTCATGATGGCTCAAAACGATGTAGGTGGCAATCATCTCCTTGGACACTCCTTCGAGAGAGATCTTCAACGTGGCTGATCAAAGGGGTGATCTAGATGTGCACCGGCGACTGTGCCGAATTTGACACGCATCTTCCCGCTGCAAGGGCCTTTGTCGACGAACATGGTCAGAACCTCCCAGACCGAGGCTACTGTGAACAACGACTCGCGTGGTAAGAAAGAGAGCCCACCAAGCCCTTCCTCCCCCTTCGTTACCAGCTATCTTGGTAATTAACTCCCGCCTAGGCTCGATATCATCCGCTCCACAACGTCAGACCATTTCCTGACATTCACTTCCCCAGACCTGAAGAAGGTCTTTAGCCGCTACCGATCCGCCTCGGGCCACGCGCGTGAATGGGGCCACGAAGCCTTCGCCTGTCCGATCGATCTGCTGGAATACATTGTCGATGTCACCGTACTCTACAAAATCCAGCCTCGCGGGCAGCTCTTCTCCCAGGCCGCAATCGAAAAGGCATCGCTTTTCCTGGAGCGTGTTCGCGGTTGGACGCCTCGCCCGGGCTATTATTCGGAGCAGATGGGACATGTTGTCAGAGCGTGGCATGCTGGCGTGCAGTTGTATGTTATTCGGCTGTTCCGGCTTCATCAGCACGGCTGTGGCGAGGGCGATGCGGCGATCCAGACTACGGAACTTGTTGAGACGGTGCTTGCGCAGGCGAAGGCCGTGAAAACACCCAGTGCATGGAGCCATGCGTCTATATGGCCGCTGTTTCAGGCCGCGCTGTGGTTTGAAGAAGCCGAACACCTTGAGCGACGGCAGTGGTTGTTGGACTATTTCCAGATGATAATGCGGACATCGGGGTGCAACCAGCTAGATGTCGCCGCCTCGACATTAAAGACTATCTGGAAGAGCGGCGAGTATTACGATTCCGTAACTGCGGGAAATATAACAGGCTCTCTGATTCTGTGAAGACAGAGACGACCACTGAAACCGATTCTTTCGCCTTGTTTACTTTCTATACTTCTCCCACACCTGGTCAATCTCTTCAGATATGGCTTTCTTCACTTCCGCCGTGCTCCAACACATGTCCACTGCATTTTTGCATACCACAACCATGTCCTCGTCACTCAGGCCGCACTTATGCTTGACGACAAGCATATTGTTGACCTGCCAGTTGTCATCCATATATGCCGGATCATCGCTACCGATCGAGAACTTGACGCCCTCTTTGTATAACAGCGCGATCTTGGAGTACATGGCCTCCACGGGATAATGGCGTAGATACGCACATGGACAGAGAGTCAAGCCTAAGCCGCGCTCCTTGATGATCTTGATCAGGGCCGCGTCGTCGGCCGCGTCGACACCGTGGTCAATTCGGTCGGCTCCGTAGCCACCCACTTGACAAGCAGTTTCGCGGATGTGGTCCCAGACGTCCTCTTCGGCACCGTTGTCACAGTGGGCGGTCAGCTTGAAATAGCCGTCGGCTCGGGCTCGTGACCAGACGTTCTCGAACAGTGACGGCGGCAGCTTGTATGAGACCGAGTCAAGACCCAGCGCGATGATCATGTCGCGGTAGTCCAGCGCCGCTTCGTAGTGCTCCATGGCCGACTCCGGGGACTCGTCACGGAGGATACACATAATCCACGCCGACCTGACTCCCAGCTCTTGCTCTGCCTTTGTACTGGCCTCCTTGAACCCGCTCATAAACGTGTCCCACGAAACCCCCCGCTGCGTATGGCCCTGTGGGTCGAAGAATACCTCGACATAGCGCACATTCATGGCCGCTGCTCTCTCGAAGTAATTCATCGCCAGGTCGAAATAGTCCTGTTTCGTCAACAGGACCTTGAACCCCTCGTAGTAGGACTCGAAGAACGTGAAGGTTTCGTAGTTAGCGGCCAGCTGTTCCACACTCTCGTAGGGTTGACTGCTACGTGGGTTTATAAGCGTCATCTTGTTGCGCTGAGCGATTTTCCATCGCAACTCCGGGACCAGGGTGCCCTCGATATGGAGATGTAGCTCAACTTTAGGGAGGGCGAGCATAAAAGGGTAGTCGTCCCCTGCCGCCAGTTCCGCACGGAGTGCCTTGCGCTCTTCTAGCGGCATGAATTTCTCGTCAGCCGCCATTGTAATGGTGAGGTCCCTTGAAGATTGTCCAAATCCCTTGGGATAGTCGTTCTGCTAGGCGTTTCTTTTGCAAGTAGTGAATGAGGAAGGTGTTCGGATCTTCCCGTTAAGGTGCACACAAATCGTGTGATGAATGTTGAATACGACTCCGACAAAACGTCGCTGGCTCTCCTCCGCGCCTAGACCAGAGAGATGGTCCTGCTTTGTAGGCAGTGGCTTGGACGAGCTTTGGGACCACACCACGGGACATTGGGAGATGCCCGTTCAAATGGGAGTCAATGAGTTGTGTCAGGATTTCCAGTCTTCCAGATAACCCGGTTGCCGACTTAGGGATCGAAGCACGGCACCGGGCAGACTTTACCAAGGCGCCCCCAAGATGAGGTGTTGTACATCGGCATCCGCCGGTGACCCTCAACGATAGTGCACAGGCCGTCTTCGATCTCCATCGAATCTGCATATACAGAGTTGTTCTTGGGAAATTCAAGACGTGTCGGGGGTCTCTGATAGCAAGCCGCGGCGGTCATTGTCAATATTGCAAGCATTCGACGCAGATAGAAGCCTAATCGGGATAAGGGAGCCAAGACAATTCAGATACACGGAGCTTCACCGGGGTGGAGGCCAAAACTAATTACTATCCGCTTTCCATGATTAGATTTCCGAGCCGATGTCTTGGGGCAACGCGAAGGACAGATGATCGTTCTTTGAGGTCTTGGGGCGGCCGATGCTGGTGCACCACCGCATTGCCGCCAATGTGTATGAATGGATCCTTTATCAGGGTCTGGTCTCGAAGCCCATAAATACGGAGAATGCTGCCCTTGTCGGGACAATGTAGGTGTATTAGAAGGTTGGACATTGTGCTTCTGCCCTTTCAAGGTTCTCTTGCAGCGGCTCAACTTGGGCCAGCGCGACATCGTCACTGAATTCCAGTTCTTTCACTTTTCCGATAAGACGTCGACCATGAAGGAATCCGAAGTCAAGGTGGGCGCCACTGCCACAGACCCTCCTCCTTCCCTCGAGAATGGCGTTGTTGACGAGAACACCACACGCCTCGGTCATGGTGAGGTCGATGTTATCAAGATCCAGGAGGGCAATGCGGTACTGCGCAAACTCCGTGAAGCGGAGCTCTGGCTCGATCGCAAGCTCAAGATCGAGGGTATGGGTGCTGAACGCATTCCCGACAGCGAGCGACACCCTCCTCATGTGCTGAATGTGAGTGCCCCCGGCGATTGGGCCTCCCTCGTTTTGAGGGCCCCCGTTAACACTGAGAGCAGATGGTCATCTTTTGGTTCTCCTTGCTCATGTCGCCTGGCTACATCACTCTTGGAATGCTGGGGCCAACCTTTGGATTGTCGGTTAATAAGTCCATTGGACTGACCGTTATTGGAGCCGCCACAGGCTCCATTGTGCCTGCATTTACGGCTACTCTGTGCCCGGCTTTGGGACTGCGACAGATCGCCGCCTCCCGCTTTGCATTCGGTATCTTGGGATCGAAGCTCTGTGGCCTTCTCAACATTGCAGTGAACGTCGGGTTCGGCACCATCAACTGCATTGTCGCGGGACAACTATTGGCAGCTGTCAGTGATAACTCCATCACTGATGTCGCCGGTATCATCATCGTGGTAGCCGTCTCGTATGCTGTCTCATTCTTTGGCTTCCGAATCATTCACTGGTACGAGTCGGTCGCCTGGATTCTGATCTTCGTTCTCCTTCTCTGCGATTACGGCTTGTCCGCTCGGTACTATGACCCACATCCAGGACGATCACAGCTCTCGGGGCTCGACGAGACCGGATCAGCCCTGTCGTACTTTGCCATTATCTTTGGTGGAGCAGCGGCGTGGTGCTCGATGTCTGGCGATTACTACATACACTACCCGACTGACACCAATAAGTGGATGCTGTTCTCTTTGACGTGGACTGGGCTGGCTGTGCCTACGATCTTCGTGACTGTCCTTGGCAACCTGCTAGGCGGAATTATCACCAGTCATGAAGATATGGGAAATGTGTATGATACTGGTGGCTTTGGTGCGTTGATCGTTGCGACTCTACGGCCTTCGGGGTTTGCAAAATTCGTCGGGGTTATGTACACGTTATCATTCAGTAAGTGCAAATTCACCCTGCGTGGTTTTACCTTCCGTTCAAAGCGGTAGTACTGATACATAGGTGTGACAGTTGGAAACGAAGTCGCAATACTGTACTCCTCCTCGTTGTCGATCCAGCTCTGGGGCCGACATTTCCTCGCTGTTCCCCGTATCATCTGGAACACGCTCCTTGCCGCAATCAGTCTTGGGTTGGCGTGGGGTGGCCGACACGTTCTTCATTCGATCATCAGCAACTCACTCAGCCTTATTGGATACTGGACCATCTGCTTCGGCGTTATCCTCGCCATTGAGGTCTTCTACTTCCGTCCAAAGATTGGTTACGACGTCGAGGGTTGGCAAGACAAAGATCGGATGCCCGTAGGCCTGGCAGGAATTTCTACACTCCTGGCTGGCATAGGCATTGCTTTCGTCGGCATGGCTCAAACTTGGGTACGTTTGTGACAGTCTCGACATCAGATCCGCAACTTTCACTGACTTCCAGTCTAGTACATTGGTCCTGCAGCCAAACCAATCGGCGCATATGGTGGAGATGTGGGCAACTACTTTGTGCTCGTGATTGTGACCATGCTCTACCCAGTCCTCCGATCATTGGAGCTGAAGAAATTCGGACGTTGATGCGTCTCATGGATTTTCCTTTCAGAAAACGAAGTGTACTCGACAGGCTTTGGTCCCGGCGATTGAAAAACTCTCGATACCGAAATACGAACGCATCGTCATCCTCTCTTGTCTCTATCCTTCTTAGCACAACTAAGCACTGTTTGGTCAGCACCCCTCGTGCTCATCTATCGTTCGCCCTGATACCTTGACCGTCGTAACAAAATAAATGCATCTGTTGCCGCGGTTTAGCCTAATGGCCTTATTTGGGGTGGGCGTTTTCCCTGTTGCCCTAGGCAATAAGGGAAACTCTCAACAGGGAAGTATGGTATTTCAAGGCTTCACCAGCTTCAGCTATCTCGTCGGTGATAGCAAGCCTCACTCACTATTCTTGCCTTCACTATCATTTCCTTCTCTTGCTTGGCGCCATGGGTTTAATTTTCAATTCAACTGTTACCTAGGTAGGCTTTTCATTTTTCAGATCCTTGACTGACGACTCTTATCCTCTATCTCATCTTCTGCCCACCATCAGGTCAAAATGGCCTCCCAAGACTCGGCTGGCAAGAAGGACGGTAGCAGAAGACGTCGTCCTCGTGGTCCAAATCATGGCGGTCGTGCTGCTCGCGCTCGTCGCGAAGCTCGTCGCGCCGCTCGCGCCCTTGTATGTGGATTACAAGTCTACATTTATGTCTTTACTCACTGATTTAGGCCGACAATGTTGCGCCTGCAACTGGTTCGAACGAAGATCCTGCCGACACTACGCCTAGGACTCAGCAGGCAGAGAATGAGACTCGTGGGGCCCAAGAAAGCGACACACAACCGATCAAACAGTCGGCGGAAAAGACGAGGCGTGAAATGCGTCGTGAAGAATTGCGTAGCCGAGAAGCAGCGCGTCTTGAAGCAGCACAGCGCGAAGTGCGCCGTGCCATAACACGGCTGGAGCGCTTCCGAGAGGATCTTCTCAAGCAACACTATCCGGATGGATTTGTTCCAGAAGGCACCTATGGACACAGCGCAGCAGGGTATCAGAGGGAACGAGAGGAAGCTGTAAAGTTGCTTCTCATGCTTGAGATGGACGAGGAGATGGATCAGGGAATCAGGTCGTTGTAGCGAACTTCCAATGAGGTGACAGTCTCAGCAACACATCGACCAAGTACTTGATGAAGTTCACATGCTAGGCAGGAAATTGAGGCCAGTAGGCGGCGAGGTCGATAGCAATGAACAACATACCAATTCGTGAACAAACTCGAAACTAACAGCCGTTGCATGCGGATCATGATGACAAGGCTGCGTCCTCGGTCTCTCTACAAGTACAAGGCTGTCGCCTCTCGTAGTGGCCCGCATATAAAAACCCCTCGCCTTCGATGCCGCTTTGCCGACGCTCTCGCCCACTTTTCACAATCCCACGTCTTCTCATAGGGTGAAAATCCCACTGTTCATTCCCTACTCCAACTGGAACCCCGGTCAAGCTGCGCCTTGTGAAGGCTGTCTCGACGGATCGTACGAGATACCTACCTCATCTGCATGAGACCTCGCAGCCGCCTCGCAGCCCTACACCTCACCCTCTTTCTCTCTTTTCCTCGAGCGCAGCCAGTCCGACTCATGGCTCAGCACCAGCGAAGAGCCCTAGAGCCATGGTCAAGGATGCGAGCAAAACCCTCCAGCTGCCGAAGCAGCAGCTCCTCATCCTTGCGATATGTCGATTCGCGGAACCGGTGGCCATGACCTCGGTCTATCCCTACATTGTGAGTTGTTGAAGACCATCCTCGCCTGCCGGCTGCTGTCACTGTCGCTGTCGCTGTCGCTGACACTCCAGTACAGCCTGAGATGATACAGTCCTTCAACGTTCCCGACGACGACGTTGCCAGGTGGGCCGGGCTCATGTCTGCCATCTTCTCTCTTTCCCAATGCTTGACCGGCATCGCCTGGGGGAGAGCATCGGATCGTTTCGGTCGCAAACCCATCATCCTTGTCGCTTTGACGTGCACGATGCTCTCGAGCATCTTGTTCGGCTTCTCCAAAAGCCTGGTCTGGGCCTTCATTGCACGATCATTGCAAGGACTGTCGAATGGCAATGTGGGCATAATACGGACCGCCGTTGCAGAACTGGTTCCGCAGAAAGAGCTACAGCCTCGAGCATTCAGCATCATGCCATTGGTCTGGAACATAGGCAGCATTTTCGGCCCGTCATTCGGGGGCTCGCTAGTCCACCCCGTGGAACGGTATCCGCAGCTCTTTGGCAAGATCCGGTTTCTCAAGGAATATCCGTTTGCTCTGCCCAATTTGCTGATCAGCCTGCTGTTCCTGTTCGGCATCGCGGCCGGATTTCTGTACTTGCACGAGACTCTGGAAGACAAAAGGTCACGCAAGGACTACGGGCTCCTGTTGGGCCAGCTCCTCCTCACGCCGTGTTCTCGGCATCGGAAACAGCGACGACGAAGGGCGTGGTCATGGTCCACGGACGACGACGACGAGGCAGAGCCTTTTCTCCCGGGCGGCGACACAAGCGAAATGTCTTCGCCCATTGCTAAGCACAATGTTCGACCGGCCAAGCAGAATCCAGGCTGGTCAGAGGTCTTCTCCAGGCAATCCAACATCAACTTGGTCGTCTACACCTTCTTGGCCATGCATTCGGTCGCCTTTGACCAGCTCTTGCCCATTTTCATGCATTTCCCCGTCGCACAACAATCAGTGCGAGACCCTCCTCGGGCCCAGGCATATTCGCTCTTCCTCAAGTTTTCCGGCGGTTTTGGCATTGATTCAAATCGGATCGGCTTGCTCTTCACCGTCTACGGCGTCTTCGGCATGCTCATTCAATTCTTCGTTTTCCCGCCATTCGCAAGAAAGTACGGCGTGTTGAACTGTCTCAAGGCGTGTGCGTTGACCTTTCCGTTGGTCTACCTGGCGGTACCCTTCACCGCACTTCTGCCAAGCGACTCCTCCAGGCAAGGGGTAATGATGGTTCTAATGCTGTTCAAGGGATTCGCTGGAATCTTCGCTTTCCCCTGCTCGACCATCTTGCTCACCAACAGCGCCGCGAGTCTCAAGGTTCTCGGCACCCTGAATGGTGTTGCCACCAGCATTTCTGCTATCGGGAGGGCGGCAGGTCCAGCACTCTCCGGCGCCATGTTCACAGTTGGCGTCGACATTGGATATGTCATTGTCCCATGGTGGACGTTGGCCTTGGTTGCTATCGTCGGTTCTGTGCCAATCTGGATGCTTGTGGAGCTGGAAGGTTTCAGTAGTACCCAGGATGACGACGACGACGACGACGATGATGATGGCGATGCCTATGACACTGAAGCTGACGACGTATTTGTCACGGATGTTCAACCGGGAAAGGGTTCTGCAGCAAAGCCTTCTGCAATACCGACCAGCGCTGCTCAGTCCAGAAGGTCTACGACGCTCGGATCATTCTCGGATGTGTTTGAGGACGACGACGGCGACAACAGACTGCTGGCAGCTACACCCTCGCGCGAGGTCCATCTTGATCCAGGTCGTCATAGCCCGCGCTTGCACCGCGTCGCAAGTCCTATTGGTCTCGGGCCCGGCGTGATTCCCACTGGGGCGCGCAGGTACAGCAGTGATCTTGGGGCCACTAGGAGTGGTCTGGGTGCCGGCGGCACAAGTTATTACTGATGATGATGACACAGTCCGCGGTGTGTATGGTATACATACGTACACATGTGAGGTGGACGATCTTGATAACACATTGCATATTCTATATCGAGCCACGATCTTCTTGAATTCCCCCTATCTCCAAGCGTGACACCCATCGCGATATACTTCGCCGTGAATCCATACTCTAACCTAGTCCACGTGTGAAACCCGTTCATCAGCATACTGAATGATCCCGCCCACAGCTCTCAACTGGTGACAGTGAGTCAGACCGATTTACCGAGAAGCCCCACCGATGGTAACGAGGTGGAATGGCTCACGTTTCCTCAGGCTTAGCAGGAGTGGTTCAGGAATGCTTCCCAGCTAGTCAAGAGTTTGACCACATTTCATCTCGAGTTACATTCTATCAATTATCATGACAGTAAACTGGTGGCTGCGTGCAGCCTATCAACAATAATCTCACTCCAGCGTTCTGCATTCGTGGTATTGTTGTCCTCGAAGCTCTCCACGAGCCCGGGGTATGTTGCACCGGCATAACCAGTCCACCGCCCTGGAGCAAATACCACATGTTTGAACCAGGATCGATCGTCAAGCCCACCTGGAAAGAGGAATTGTCTCTCCAGCAGCTTGTACTTTGCATTCACTCTCCTAACCTCGTAGTAAAGCCTGACCTTTTTCCACCACTTCCACCATGGGATGTCCTCTCCCAGTCTATCCTTTAATTGTGTCGTGTAAGCATCAAAGTGCGAGGCCGCATGATGCAATTTTGCGGTGGCCTTGTCCAAGTGCTGGAAGCTGAAACTTGATGAGATAAGCGACTTTTTCGACCTTTCCTTGACGTCTTCGAGGTAATTTCCAAGGCCTTGTGCATAGTCCTTTGCGCTAAGAGGCAAAACTGCGGATTCGGCCAACTGAGCGGCGAGCAATGCCCAGATCTTCGTCACTGCGACGTGGTAGTGCCAATCTTTGTCACCGTACTTGTCCATCCAATGGAAGCTGTCGTAATTCGAATGGTAGTGATAGACTGCATCCTTTGGACCGCTGCCAAATCCAAGATCGAGGGACGGGATACCGGCGAAATCTTGAAATGCGGTAAAGTCACTGCCGGAGCCCATTGTGCGAATCTTGCCGCTCCAAGTGTCGCCAACAGACTGCCCTTTAACGGTCTGGTTGGGTGAAGGTATAGTGTCCGTCACATTGTAAATCAGCTTGTTGAGCAAGGGTGATGCTGCAGCATCAAAATGTTTGCCACGGCTTCCAACGTCGACATTGAGGTACGCCACCGTGCTGGAGGACAGCCAGGGAAGGTATTCTTCGACCCATTCCGTTGAGCCAACCAGTCCGTACTCTTCTCCGTCCCAGCTTGCAAACACAATGGTACGGAACGGTTTCCAACCAGCCTTGAGTGCCTCACCAAAAGAGCGGATGACCTCGTTGAGGGCGGCAGAGCCAGAATTTGGATCGCCGGCACCCCCTGCGATCCAGGCATCTCTGTGGTTTCCGAGGACAATGACCTCGTCAGGGACCGTGCCGTTGATTACACCAATTACGTTCCAGAGGGGCGTCGTAACATATTCTTGCTCATTGACCAGATTCAGAGTCAAATCGCTCGGCGACGGTCCAATGTAGTAGTCCACTCCTTTATATCCCAGCCCACCGCCATGCCAGGCATCGCTGAATGAGCTTGCGTTGGGCCCGTACCCATTGAGAGCTTTCAGCAGAGGAAGCGCGTCGGCGTATGATATTGGTAGCGACGGTATCTTGGGAGTGGAGCCGTTAGGATCGACCCGCGGCACTCCTGGCTTTGATGGGTAACCGGGCGTGGTTGGATCTCCCGGGAGAGTGCCTGCAACACCTGTCAGTCTTGTGTCAGTATCGAAGCCTATTCAACGTACTCAGGTACTGCGTACTGCCTCGCTGCACGCTGCTTGGATTCCTGGCTGGGCCTTCAGGATATGGCTTGTAGCCATTCTCCTCCGTGATTTCCCCGTCTTCTTGTGGGTCGGAGTACATGACGACTCCAATCATACCCAACTCTTGTGCTCGCTTGACTTTGAGACCGCGAAAGATTTTTCCATATTTTGCTAAGGCAATCTTTCCAGCCAGGCTGATATTTGCAGCCAGTAGATCTTCAAAATCCTGATATGTACCGAAATTGACATAGACGTACGGGGCGGTGACATTGCCACTTGCGGAGTAGCCGTGGAAGGTCGGTATACGGTCCTGGAGAGCCGTGCTCGGGTCTTCGTCGATGATGTCCTCTTCCAAGCTACACTCGTACTCGACTTTGTCTCCTTGCAGCAAAGCGAGTCGGTGTGAGACAGGGTAGTTGATATAGACGTCGTAGGCCACAATGTCCGACTTGACTCCAAACTCTTCCCATTTTTCTCGTGTCCAGATGGCCTGGCTAAGGTTCTTGCCGGCAAGATGTGGGCCGGCAGTATAGTACTTGCTCCACGCACGAACTTTGTCCTCGTTCGGGGTCTCCAAGAGCAGAGCTTGAAGCTCGCTGTACGTGATTCCCGTGCTCTGGGGCCATGCTTTCGGGAAGAGGCGAGACCAAGGGAGGTATGCGGTGAGTGAATCGTGGCCCCTTGGAAGCAGCGCAAAAGGCAGGAAGAAGCATATGACAATCACGATGAGAATGCTCGATAAGGCGACAGTACAGAAGCGACGGATGACTGAGTGGTGGTATCGTCTAGTCCTCCGTTCTACGCGGACAGAGGAAATGAGAGGAGTTTGTTCATCCATGGCGTGAACATTGCTCTGACTGAACAAAGAAGAGAGTCGAGGGTCCTCGCAGTCGTACGAACAGTCGTTGCGGAGATACACGAGGGACCTGAGCTTCCTGGCTGACGCAATTGCGCACTCGGCCGACGCGATCAGGCTACTGGGGAAGGTCGGCCGAGGGGGGGGGGGTGTTTGGTTGGGGGGATGCTGCGAGAAAGTCGGATAGCAGTCTCAAAGCTTGACTCGACTTCCATCAGCAGCAACAGACTCACGCTTTGCTTTTTTGGCACCTGCAACGAGCCAAATGTCAAGGCTCAAGGCCATGTCATCGCGAATGCTATGGCCGTCCAGCAGGCTGCCCCGGCGCGTGGGCTTGAGAGTAGCAAGTGCAAGTAAGTCATAAGGGCGCGGTGCAGAGAGTCAGGCGACGTCCGAGCATCTTGTTCCATCATGTCTGCGATACCCTGGTACGAGCATAGAGTCGCCTGCAGGTGGCTGGCTACCCAGTATACATTGTCTTGATGCCTTGCTCAGCAAAATACTCGTGACCGGGAACAACGCCAGCAGGTTTCGCAGCCAAGAGGATGAGGTCATTTCAGGCAGCAGATCGCGTAGTGCGCTCCACCACAAGGCGAAATAAATTGCTGTGTGAGGTCGATCAATGGCCTAAAGAGAGCGCCGATGACAATGTGGGAATCCCTAGTGGTCTCTACATGACCGTCTGTACCTATCAAACCCCCGATGCTGGATCACTAAATTCTTAGCCCACATTCTAATCCCTCTGAGTCGTGGGAGGCTCACCAGGCCGTCTTTTTTCCAGTACTACTGGACAGTTAGGTATGTATACAGATATCACTATCAGCTGCCGGCTTCGTTGAAGTCACAGCGTTATTAGACGAGTTTTTGCTTTGCCTTTGGTGCCATTTCAGCCTCATGGCCAGTGGCTGGTGGCTTCTCTTGAGGTCGCCCCAGCAAAGAGAGCGAGAGAGAGAATGTGGGTGTCTGAAAAGCCGAACAAATCCCTTCTTCGTGCCAGGAGTCTGACCCATTCTCCGCCTGAAACAACACTTGCACTCAGCGCAAAAGGTAACGTTGCAGCTACCGCCTGCTACCATGGCCCATCTCCGACCCAGTCTTCCGCACTCGTCGTCCTCGAGCCAGGGTGGGTGGTGATTTTATTCTTGTGGCTCGATCGCGCCAGTCGTTGGTGATCTGCTCCTAGAACTAGTTCTTGCCTCGTGCTCTGTGACGTATTGATGTGGGTATGCGTCATTCCTACATGGTAGTTTGGTCCCCTCTTCCATCCACAGCTGCATCGCCATGCACGAGTATACAAGACGCCGCCTGCCCGTCCCTTCAGGTCAACTTGCTCTGTAATTGAGAGCTTGCTTCTCTTTGGGCTCCCTGCAATCACCATGGCTCCCCAAACAGCCTTCATGACCGTCCACTTCGACCAGTACAACCCCAACTCTGAAAAGGGAACAGACACCAGGGCCTCGCTTGCGTCGCTCGACTATTCCCCTCTTCGCCGCGTAACATGGAGATCCTTTCTCATGGGAGTTCTTGTGTCGATGGGTGGTTTGATGTGAGGAGCTTCTTGCTCGGCCCAGAAGGAGAGCATTGTTGCTAACGCTGCATATCCAGCTTCGGTTACGACACCGGTCAGATTTCAGGCTTTGTAAGTCTTTCCTGCCTCGCTGACATCGTCGTGAAGGATCCTCTAACCAGATGCAGCTTGAAATGCCGGATTTCCTCGATCGTTTTGGGCAGCGCAAGCCCGATGGCACCCCCCATTTCAGCAACGTCAGATCTGGTTTGATTGTCGGTCTGGTAGGTGACACCCGTCTCTCTCTCTCCGTCTCTCATCTCGGTCTTATGCCGAATACGTCTCTAACAGCACTAGTTGTCGATTGGCACATTGATTGGCGCCTTGGTCGCAGCTCCGATCGCTGACCGCATGGGCCGTCGGCTGTCCATTTCCGCCTGGTGCCTCATCGTTGCTGTTGGCTTTGTGATCCAAATCGCTGCCAACACGAGCTGGGTGCAAGTCATGGTCGGTCGTCTTGTCGCCGGTTTCGGCGTCGGTGCTCTCAGTTTGCTTGTCCCCATGTATCAGGCCGAGACATCTCCGCCCTGGATCCGAGGAGCCCTGGTGTGCACCTATCAACTTTTCATCACCCTGGGCATCTTTCTGGCGGCTTGCTTCAACTATGGGACATATACTCATCAAAGGTCAAATTCTGGCTCGTGGCGTATTGTCATTGGACTCGGATGGCTCTGGACCATCATTCTTGGTGTCGGCATTCTTTTTTTTCCAGAGACCCCTCGGTATGACTACCGAAGAGGACAAAGAGAGCGGGCGAAGGAAACCCTCATGAAAGTGTACGGCGCTCCTGCGCATCACTACAGCGTCCACGTGCAGATGGAAGAGATCGACAACAAGCTTCGCGCCGAGGTGCAGACCAAGGGTAACCCCGTCAGCGAATTCATTGGCATGTGGAGGGCCCCTCGCATGCGGTACAGACTCCTGCTGGGTATGGCGCTCCAGATGTTTCAGCAGCTGACCGGTGCCAATTACTTCTTCTACTACGGCACCACCATCTTTCAATCGGTCCAAATCAGCTCGTTCGTGACGCAGATGATCTTGAACGGCATCAACTGGGGAGTGACCTTCATTGGCTTGTACCTCGTTGAGCATTACGGCCGTAGAAAGTCCCTCATTGCTGGAAGCATGTGGATGTTTGTGTGCTTCATGATCTTCGCTTCCGTGGGACATTTTAGTCTGGACCTTGATGACCCTGCCCGAACGCCTTCCGCCGGCGTGGCTCTCATCGTCTTCGCTTGTCTTTTCATCCTGGGTTTTGCAACGTAAGTTCCTTCCCCCCGGGGTCACGACAAACACGCTCGAGGCACTGGCATTGGATGTTCTTGCTGACCGTTCATAGCACCTGGGGTCCGATGGTGTGGACAATCCAAGCGGAAATCTATCCCTCCAAGTACCGAGCCAAGGCCATGTCTCTTGCTACCGCCAGCAATTGGATTTGGAACTTCCTGATTGCCTTCTTCACCCCATTCATCACGGCTGCCATCGATTTCAGATATGGCTATGTCTTTGCAGCGTGTAACGTTGTCGCAGGAATCTTGGTCTACTTCTTCGTCATCGAGGGACAAGGACGGACGCTCGAGGAAATAGACACAATGTACCTGGAACACGTCAGCCCGAGAAAGAGTGCCAAATGGGTTCCACCGCCGGCCGCCGAAATGGCCAGGATCCAGAGGGAAGCAGGCACAGCCGAAATTCCAAAGCCAGAACGAGGTGTGTACAGCGGTGAGACGGAACGAAATGACCTTTCAGGAGAAAACAACAAAACGGCCCATCAGGAAGAGTACGCTTGAGAGCTGCACCTGCACCGCGGTGTGAAGCGGCGCAGAGCAGTAGGCTTCATGCAAAAAACATTATGGCCATCCTATCTTCTCAAACCGTGTTGTGAATGTATAATACTCTGAAGGGTGAGGAGGCACAGACTGGTGCATAATGATGAACGTTACCAGAACAATCCGGAGAGATTGCCCGGCAGCGCGGGTGAGCGTGAACTATTGTGTTTGGCACGCGGTTGATCTGAAATTTTCACACTGCATGTACGGATCACACGGGATCAGGTGGAATTTTGGGATCACGGGAGATGTTCGCCAAATTGTAATCCGTAGGTCAAAAGCAATGCGTCTCTGGGCTGAGGATTCGAGTATGTTGAAATAACCTTGGAAGGCATTTCAGGCCCCAGGGAGGAATTGCATGTTCTGCTCCGATCAGCCTCACTAAGCCCACGCTTCACCAGAAATGGACCTGGTCAAAGGAGCCAGCCGCAAGCCTCCGGATGGGTTTCAGAACCGCCCGGCCGGAGCATGTTTCCTGTTGCAATTTAAACAGTATTACGAGTAGGTTCATCTCGGAGCATACGAGGTACACTGAATCAGCGATGCAAGACGAGTACAAGTTTGAAGTACGAGGCACTGACGCGTACCTGTGGCCTGTGGCCTGTAGCCTGTAGCTTGGACCTTGGACAGCCCAGATCATGCTCATAAGGCCCCCAGTGTCCGCCCCCAAGTTGGGGACCACTCATAAGTACAAACACAGTCCAAGCCTCCGGCAAATTGATCTCCGCCGCGGTACACACAGCCTCAGGTAATACAAGTCACAAATACAACTTGCAGTGCTCTGGGTCAGTGGACACAGGTGCTCGTACTGCTCGTACTGCTCGTACTGCTCGTACATACCTCGTAAGGGTTTCAAACTTGCCAACCTCCAATCTCGCCAACTACCCAAATCCTTCTACCCCGTTAGGCTGTCACTTTCAACACAGCCTTCTTCGCCGTTCCGTCCTCCACAATATCTCAGCATCTCAACAATTCGAACGAGGCCTTCCCAAGGGACCAAAACCTCCCCGAATACTCCGTACAAGGGGAATGAATGATGTCGTCTTCCCGGCTCCGGAGCAGATCTTGGTGTCACTACTGCCCAAGTGACAGTCGGAGCCCGGAGATGCGAGCAAAGCTGGGACGAAGATAGGCTGGAATCTCGTTTCCTCTCAACTTGTACAAATAATAATGACGGTCGTTGGATGAAGATTTCCAGCTCGGAGGTTTCGTATCCGTGCTGACTCCAAGCTATCGCCAAGCGTGTGATGGGCACTGCGAAAGTCCCCATCTGTCTCCAGTCGGTTTCGCCCGGATGTCATTGCTGTCACTTATTCATGACTGGGTTGCGATCTGCACCTGTGAAGGATCCGGAAACTAATCACACGACGACACAAGATCTGTGGGTGATGGCAATGCCGCAATGGCAATTCTATCCAGAGCTTCGCAATGTGGAGGCTGCGAGTGGCACAACCAGCCGATCGCCCTGCCGTTCAAGTTTCAAGAGATGCTGCGTCTGACCCATTACGGGGTTTTCTAACCTGTTCTGCATCCCTTTGTACCATGCTGATGGCTATTCTAGGTCACGGTGGAATCCATAGCATTTCGCAAGACGACCCCTTCTTGGAAACGACAATGGTGATCAGACCCATGTTGCCTGCCGGAAGCCTTGCCCGGTGCTCCTCTTCCTCGAGGCAGTTGCTTCCATTACTCGTATCGGCACGAGCAGACGGGCTAGTCAGCCTTGTGCCTTGTCGTCCTGAATGACTTGTTGTGTCTCCCTCTCGGAATCTCTCTATGCCTGCTGTTCGTGTTTCGTCATCTCGGTATTCTTTTTCCCCCCTGCCACTTGTTACCTGTCCTTCTGTACTTGTCCTTCGGCTTACACCTTCTTCTTAATCAACTGGTCTTACCCTCACCACTGGTCATTCCCAGCATCCGATCCGTCTCGGCCTCTTCCCGGCCACAGAGTCTCAAAAACATCCAGTTTCGTCCTACTCGACATTGACCGGCGCCTCGTTTCTCATGCAACCTCGCGGCTAGCCAATTCAAGAAGAATAGGTCGTTACTGGCAGCGGCAATGGGGTTCCTCGGTCTCGGAGAGCCTTCTATAGGCACGTTGATCATCTTCCTTGGCGCTTGGATCAATCGAGACTTCACCACTCCTGTTGACCAGTACGCCCATGAGGCTCAACCAGATATTGAGCGATCGGACAGTCCCGTGACGAAGGTCGAACCGGTGGCTTGGAACTATCAGGATCGATGGCGCCAGCGAGAGATCTCGATCTTTGGGTTCCGGAAAACCGTCAATACTCCCAACACTGCCGTCTTCCAGAACCGCCTTGCTAGCAGGCTTCTTCTTCGGTTCCCGTTTCTCATCGAGATTGTGTACTGGGCTCTCATCTACAGCATTTACCAGATGGGCAGAGGCATGCTTGCTGAAAGACTCCGGCAATCGACTGTCGACGTAGCTTGTCACCATGCCTTGCAGGTCATCCGACTGGAGCAGAGGCTCCACATCTTTTGGGAACCGGCCATCCAGCGCTTCTTCCTTCAGTATCCCGGGGCAATGTACTGGATCAACCGAATCTATTCCTATGTCCACCTACCGGCAACCATTACCTTCTTGGTCGGTTTGTATTGGTTTGCTATTACCCGCAATCGGACGCTCGCGAGATGGCGCCAGCCTGTATCAGGACCGTACCTGTACGAATCCAAACGCAGAAGCCTTGCCGTGAGTGATCCGACCGTCATGACTCATTTGGTATCGCTCATCTTACTGAATTGTTGGGTTTAGATTTGCAACCTGCTTGCCTTTTGCGTCTTCTCAACTTGGCCCTGCATGCCACCCCGGCTGTTGGGTGATTCCAAAACACCTGGACATGTCGAGCAGGCTCGAAGTTTCGGCTTCGTCGACACGGTTCACGGCAGGGACGGAGCTGTTTCGGTTTTGTGAGTATCTCGCAAGGCATGCGGGTTGTGCAGAGCTCACTGACACTTGTACTCAGTAACACAAGGCGCTTTACAAATCAATTGGGTATGCTGTGGTGTCCAGAATGAGCGCATCAAGGAGAACGCTAACGTCCAGCCAGCGGCAATGCCATCCCTCCACTTCGGCTACTCGCTGTTAGTTGGACTCTCGATCATGCAGCTCCCGATTGCCCACCCTGGGCGTTGCTACCGCGTGTCGATCCCTGTGCCGTGGTCATCGAAATTCGGCTTCGACGCCTTCACCGCCACCATCAGGATTCCATCTTTGGCCAAACTAATGTGTCAGGTCCTGGGGTTTTCCTACCCGGCCTTGATTCTGACAGTTATTGTGGCGACAGCGAATCATTTCATCATGGACGCCATTGTAGGAGGTACCATTTGTCTGGTGGCATACAGATACAACGAGGCCATGCTTAATTTTTTGCCTTTGGAGGATTGCCTTTTGTGGTGCTTGCGCGTTCACAAGCCTGTCCAGGCACCTGTGTGCCTGCCAAAAGGTCCAGATGAGCACTGATTGGGACCTCGGTGTTGGGTCGTTCTGACTCTGGTTCTCGTTCACCAAGCGTCAACTGATGACACACGTAAAAGGGTCAGATATCTAAACGACGTTCAGCAAGTGAGCAACAGCTGCGTTTGAGGTGCGGCCACTGCTTCATGCATACATGGCTACCTGCTATCGTGTTCAGAAGACTCAATGGGTACCAAGGCTGTTCCAAATTACCTGCTTCCGGGGTACGACGGAATATTCAGTCTCTCTTCGGCCACGATATGTGTACTCGTCAATTGGGCGAGGCGTGCAGTCATCATGCATGACGTGAACCTTGTTTCAAAGACTGGTCGCTTCTGTCGATTTCATTTCAACGTATATATAGTATAGGATAGACAATAACCTGGTCGTTGCTGGCCAGTCATTTGTAACAACAGAAAATCGTTTTTGTTCCAGTATCGGTGGATAATCAAAGCTTAAGGTAGTGTGAGGCTAGCACCAACATACAGGTAATCTCCTACCCCGTCGTGAACCACTGCAAATCTTCCGGTTCCCTGGCGCTCATCCCGATAGCCATGACCGGCAACCCTTTCTTGGTGGCATCATCAGTATTGTATAAAAGTCTTACGGAAGCGCATGTGATGGGCCAACCCATGATGGAGGGGCGCACGCGACGTGATCAATCCGTCCACCAAGGAAGATAGATACAGTACGGTACAGCTTATGCCTTCTTGCATTATCAGGAGCCATCTGATTGATATCAGTGGATGAAATTGCCTGGGTATGTATATATATACACCTTATTCAGGTGTGGCACCGGACCTGACGTCAAGACCGGGGTCGAAGATTGTCGACGCCCCGTGAATAGTTAGTTGTACACAATGCTACATAGCTACCGTAGTATAAGCCTTGCTCAACCTCGACAACTTTGACCTGGGATCTCCTCCACCCGTATAAAGAGAACCACGAACTGCCACTCCGGTAATCGTACAAGAACATTCATCCCAATCCCGTCAGGTTCAGTCGTACCTCATCATGCTATGTACCATAATCAAAGCCACTCCTCGACTTCGCGCCCGAGCTCGAGCGAGTCAAGTCTTCAAACCTAAGACTAGTGACAACTAGCCATGCGATGCTTCGCCACAATGCCGTTATTCGTGTCATAATTCGTAACCTTCGTCATATGAGATGAAAAAAAGAATGAAGCAACAGTCCTCAAACAAGACGTGCACGACCCAAAAATGTCATCCTGGAGCTTTCAGGGCGCTCACAGCTTTATCTACCTCGTCACCCGCCACCTTTTCCCACTTCGCCTTTCCGTCCACGTCCAGCGCCTCAAAGTCGCCGATTCTATCGTATAGCATCCGCGAGATGTCCCGGTTTATAATGGTGTACTCGTCTTTTGTAATGGTCTGATCATGATAATGTGGCTTTAGAGCCGTCGCCACGAGCTTCTGCACATCTTCTTTCGCAGATAGAGACATGGCTGCTCGGGTTGGAGATGTCTCTGTAGATCGAACATGCTGCTTCGATGTCGAGGAAGTCTCCAGTATACGTGGTACACGAGTTCTTGGTCTTGGGTGGGCCAGAGTCGGCCCGGAGTTCGGAGGTACCTTGGCTACACCTGGTTGGCGATGGTTGTGAAGTTCGGACTTTGGATTGGCTGGTTCAGGAGAGTGCGAACGCAAGGGGGAATACTCTGTGGAAGGGAAAACGGGTTGGATACGCGATGTCAAGCCAGTTGGCGAGCTAGGTCGGAGACCAGTGGGAGGTGGAGGGGTGGCAGACATGGCTCGAGGGGAGGAATGGTTTGATGGCATGGGTGATAGGGCTGGTGAGGAAGGTCGTGGAGAATTCTGCTCGGCGGGAGTAGATGCTGCAGGGCGAGGCGAAGGGCGATGAAGGTGGACGTTGTGTGAGCTTGAACCAGAGTCTTCTACCTCCTGCAGAAGTGATTGCAGGAAGCTGGGTGCAGCAGGATCCATAATTGGTTGTCTCGGGGGTATAGGACTTGCCAGTCGTGCAGGTTCGCGTGGTCGAGTACTAGGGGTTGCGGAGGCACCAGCCTCAGAGACAGTCCGTGTAGGTGCACTTGGACGGCGTCGCTTGACAGCAGGGGGACCACTACCCTCCGAGTCCCTCGGAGAACCTGACCGAGACTTTCTCTTCCTCTTCCTTGCTGAGCCAGACTCACTTGGAGAGGCCTGCGCTTGTTCAAAAGCATGCCATGCAAGAAGCTCTTCTGGAGTTTCCACTTGTGGGCGCGGTGAGGTGCCGATTCGCCGGATTCGCGGTGTTGACTCTCCACCAGGACTGCTGGGAAGAGCAGGCTCCATCTCCCTGAAGCGATTCCCAGCACCTTGAAGTTCAGCAACCTGCATGCGACGTCTCCAGGCATCATGAGCTTGTCGATTGGCATGGCTATGTTGGCGATGTCGTCTCAGATATGTTGCAGATGACTCGTCCTCCTCATAAGGAAAATCCAGGTCTAGGTTGATACGTGACCACACTGTCTGCCAGACTTGATTCCAGCTTGAGTCGTAGCCGCGTTGCCTACGCTGCTGACCTCGAGTACGGCGTCGACTGGCTCTGCCGGAACGAGGTAAGTTCTGCTGCCGGGGGTCTACCTCGCGCTGTGCCCGACAGTTGTCACAAAACCAATGTCCATATGGCACCTCTTGTAGATCGACACAATATGTATGCCACAACTTTTGACATCCGTCACAGTACATGAGCACATCTTCATTATCATCTTCGCCACATGCCTGGCATGCTTGGTCCTCGTCGTCTTCATCGGGGATCTCGAGGAACATGGAAGGATCAAGTTCGGCAACTTGGGTGCGATCTTCAACGGGATAAGAGGAGATGACATCGCCTAGCAACAAGAGGTCAGTGGATGGTACCAACTAAACAGGGTTGTTTCGACTGACCTTCAACTTTGTACATCAATTCGACCAGATTGAAACTTGCGCGGCAAATTGGACAGCTGTTCGCCCGTTCCACCCACGGGGTTAGGCATTCATTGTGAAGATAATGACCGCAGGGTCTAAGGTGGGCAATCAACTCGTCTGCGTGGTCTTCGGTCGAGTCACGAATGGTTGTGTTGTGTCGTCCATCCTCGGCTGTCTTCGAGGCCGTGGCGGCGGCAGCATCATGCTGCGGAGACTTGGCAAGGACCGTCGGAAGTGCAGCAACATTTCCATTACCGTTGCTCAAGTCTCCCAGACAGACGATACAAGTATCTGACATTCAGGAGAATTCGTCGGGTGATTTGGAACGCAATGCAGGCAATGGGAGGCTCATGGGGACAAGTAACAGCGATTCGCTAGCGTTGATGATGCTCGGTGGAAAGAGAAGATGGATAAGTGGATGCATCCCAAAAGGCGGTTTAAGAACAGGTCAAAACGGGGCAACTGAGCCGAGTCCAGGTTCCCCTCTGTCGGCACGTGATTCGAGGCTGCCTATGCCTACGGCCTGCGTGGAACAGGGAGTTGATGGTTGCGACGGCCAATTGGACAGCATCGGTCATGCGAATAATCCATGAGGACACTGCGACTCCTGCTTCCGCCTAGAGCTCGCTAGTAACCAGGCCAAAGATGAGGCCAGAAGGATCCCGAAACAAACCTTTTCCTGGAGATTTCACTTCTTCCACATCAAAGCAGAGCGGCTATAAGCTGGAGTCTTTGTAATTGACAAGTGGTGAAGGCGTGACCGAAACTTCAGCTTCCTTGCCTGCAAGGGCTTGAAGCCTTTGTTAGAAAGAAAGCAAGAAAGGCCAGCCTGAGCGCTGTACGTTGGTGCATTAGGCGTGCACGAAGATGACTGAGGAACAGATTGGAAAATTGGCTTGAGCGAATCATAGCTGGAAACCCCAAGCTTTCTGCCTGTACACCTCAACCTCACATGAGAGCGCCTGATGTTGTAGACCCAATGACATGTGAACATGACGGGAAACGGGAGGGGAATGGAAGATGCAGGAATGGTGAATCTTCATGCGATGATTCGATTGAGGTCTATCGATTCGGAGCGGCCATTACCATGACGGCTTTCGACGAGACAAAGCTGATCGTCCTGTTCAGAGAAACCGATTTCATGCGAATCTTTGTTCTGTTCGTGCTATTTCAGATCATAAAATCCCGCGTGTTCGACATAGAACAATTCCGTGCCCATGCTTTCAAAATGCTTTTACACCTCCGCAATTTCTCTCAATCGTCTGATGGTTGACCTCGTAGCGGCGGCGGCGGGAGTTCTGAAGGGTAGAAAAGTGTTAGACGCGCTGGTTGTGATTCGAAATGCTCACATCCTTGACTTACGAAACAGTCCATGCGCCTCCAGCGATAGTCTTCTTGCAGCTCTTGCATTGCCAGATTCCGACCGAGTGTCTCTTGACCGCGTTCTTTCCGCAGAAAGTGCAGATGTATCGGGAGTGTTGGGTGATTTCCATCTTCTTGACTTGTTTTCGGAGGGATGCACCGTAACGAGTGCCGTACTTGCCGGTCACGCCGACCTCTGCGGACAGTCAGTATCGATCTCGCGGGTCAGATGCATTGGAGACTGACTCTTTGTGCGCTTCGTCATTTTGGCGGATGTGGACGAAGTGTTGACTGAGGATGGGAAATATTATCGTCGACTCAAAGGTGAACGAGCGCAGTTTACTCGAAATCTCAAAAAGTGTGGGAAGGAGAAAGGTGGCTAGTGTCTTGGCGAGCCTTTGGGACGCTCGGTGGATCACGTGAGCTGTCTGGGCACTGGCGAGCCGCAGTTGATTAGGTCAGCACCCAAAGCCACAGAAGTGTGCACTGGGTCAATCGATGGAGTCAACGACGCCCAATTCGACGATGAGCCCGAAACATGAGATGATTGACAGGCTTCAATTTCTCGAACTCATACTCTGTATCAACAGCATTGGCCAGCCAGAGTCAAGCCACGCATCATGCCACTTGTCACAGATCTCTCTTCTCTCGGTCGTATTCCGGGCTCCTGATCATCTTCAGGTGTAAGCTGGCTTCGGAGCCCCTGAGATGGTGGAAGTTTAGAGCGCAGCGTCCTACTCCCTACGGATCTCCAGGGTACCAAAAATAATCTAATCCTCCGTCAAAGTTCTGCGATTAGCCGCAGCACCCACTCATCTCCGCGTCCTACGGTCCTAGACTAGTTCAGCCTTCGACTGGCCGTCCAATTGAGCGCACGGCATAGGATGCAGGTCTTGGGGCCATGAGGCTTGTGGTCTTGTCGTCTGCTCACCTCGCGTTGTTTGCTTCCACCGCGTGGGCCTTATTTTTCATCCCCCAAAACGACACCTTTTCCCTTCATCGTCAATTACTCGTGCTGCTGATCAATACTTCATTTCACTCTGCTCATTTCATTCCTTCCCTTCTTCCCCCAACCTCTGGCGCTCGTCTTCCAGTGCCAGTAGCTGCTGTTTTCCGGCACAATGGCTGCCAAACGCCAGTACGACATTATCCTGCTGGGCGCGACGGGCTACACGGGCAAGTTGACCGCTGAGTACATCACGTCGAGCCTTCCTACTAGCATCAAATGGGCCGTCGCTGGTCGCAACCAATCCAAACTCGAAGCTCTGGTCAAGGAATTGAAGTCGATCAACTCGACGCGCACCGCACCCGATGTTGTCACCGTCGCCAATCTCACCGCCCCTGAAATGGTCACCCTTGCCAAGAAAACGAGAGTCCTTCTCAACACCGTCGGGCCTTATCATCTGTACTCGACTCCCGTGGTCGAGGCTTGTGCTCAAACAGGCACTCACTATGTCGACGCCACCGGAGAAACTCCGTGGGTTCGAGAAATCATTACCAAATACGAGGCCGCCGCAAAAAAGAGCGGTGCCATCATCATCCCTGAAAACGGTATCGAGTCTGCCCCTTCAGACTTGGTGGCCTACATCGCGACTCGCTTGGTCCGCAAAGTATGGGACTGTGGTGTCATGGACGTCGTTGCTTCTGTACACGAGATGAAGTCTTCGGGGCCCAGTGGCGGCACTCTGGCTACCGGCCTAAGCATCTTTGATCACTACTCTGGCAAAGTGATCAAGGAATCCATGGATCCATTCTGCCTGTCTCCTACTCGGCTGAAGCCATACACCAAGGACACTCTGTACCCGCCAAACCCAGAACCGAACACATACGCACGCACAGGACTGCAGAAGTTGACCGGCGTTTGGTCCTATCCTCGTCTGGGCAACTTGGTCACCTCCATTTCGGCCAAACCCAACGTGGCCATTGTGCACCGGTCTGCCGGCTTGACACCCTATTTCTACGGCTTCAATTTCACCTACGAGGAGTACATGGCCGTCGGGAGTCCCCTCGTCGGCGTGCTGATCCACTTTGCACTTGTTCTGCTGGGATTTTTCCTTGCCTTCCCCCCGACCCGCGCCATCCTCAAGTTGTTTGCAAGCTATAAGCCAGGATCCGGTCCGACCAAGGAATCCACCAAAGGAGATGTACTCGAGCTGCGTGCCATCGCTGTGGCCGAGCAACTCGCCAAGCAGCCGCGAAAGGCCCTCGCCACCTTCCGCTTCGAAGGCGGCTTCTATCAGCTGACTGCGATCTTCTTGGCCGAAGCCGCGGTGGTGTTGTTGAGCAAGGAAGAAGAGGTCAAAAAGGCTCATGGCGCCGGTTTCCTAACACCCTCTTGCTTGGGGGATGACTACCTCGACAGATTGGACAAAGCCAACGTGAAAATTGGAGTTCAACAGATCGGCGACGTGGGCAGCAAGTAGAAGCACGTCTTTGGTGTCATGAGCATCAAAACGTATCGTAAAGTGGTTTGTAGCAGACGTAGGAGATTGGACTTTTTACGAAAGATGATTTCGTGGAGCCCATTGTATTGCTCAACGAGCCGAAAGCAAAGGCAGGAGTTGACGTTGATATTGCGATGTAAAGGATAATGAGTTTGTGATTTTTCTTGATCATTGTCGGACTTTCTGTTTCGATCGAGACAGAAATCGAGTTATCCCTCAGGGTAGCTTAGCTTCTCCAGTCACTTTGCTGGACAGAGATTTGTTTGCTACTTCTGACATGCTTCGCCTGAAAGCTACATTTGTCCCTATATCATATTTTATGCCTCCTTACTACGACTAAGAGTGGCGCCCTTTCCAACCCCGTGTAAATACATACGCATCTCTACTCGCGCATGGCAAGGGCATCGGCGCTTTCGCGTGCGAAAGGACTTCCAGCTAGATAGATATCCAGCTAGATATAGCTCACTTTTGTCCCCATCCCAATTGTCGCTCGGACTTTGTTCCAGCTCGTGTTAACCAAAGACCTTGTCTTCTGCCTGATTTGCTTCTGGCTAAACGCCATTACAAACGCTAATATGAACAGCAGCATTCTCAGAATGTTCGTCGGATTTTTCGAGATCGTGCCAGCCAAGTTGCGAGCGAGGTTGGAAAGCGCGGTAAACAGGAGACGAGCCTGCGCAAGCATGGCATTCTGCTTGGAAGCCTTGGGTTTTCGAGTGGATCGCCGAGGGGGTTGTGACGGAGGCGACATGGTACTTCGGCCAGAGGGTGCGGATGCAGGAGGAGGTGGAGGCCGTGGGGATAGCGACGAGGGTAGCGGCTGAGGCGGTAGGCTATTGAGTGGCGCTTCTTTTGGCAGTTTTACTGCTTGCGCTATGCTAGTATTATGAGTGCCATTGGGATGCTCCTTCTCGATCCCATAATCCACTTCACTGCTCGTCCTCTGATGCTTTGACGTGGTTTTCAATGGTTGGGTTGACTCGTGTACGTGGTTTTGTTCAGAAGAGGCTGTTTCATGTGGGTATGGGGCTTCCTCGGTATCTTCAAACACATCTTCTTCCACCTCTTCGGCATTGTCGCGCCCTTCACTGACTTCCTGAAGCTCCAGCAATGTCTGCATGAAGGCCTCGCGTCGCTCCTCGTCCAAAATATCGCTGTTCGATATGAAACTTTTGGCATAGTCCCATTCTTCGTTCCGTGGTAGTACGTGCAGCGTGAACAGCTCAAGCACTTTGATTCGAGATGCCAGATCCTTCGGTGTGTTTGTCCCATTCATTCCTGGTTGACGGCCGTTGCTAAGGGCATTGCTGAGGTGGGTGGAGATATCGAGGTCGGTCTGCGATGAGGAAAGGTAAGTCTCGAGCCGAGATTGGTTCACCTTCTGGTCAGGCGCTTGTCCGAGGAGAAGATTTGATCTGCAAGAGTAAGTGCGTGTGTCCAAAAAGACTAGGGCACGAGGACGCACAAGTTGTAAACCACCTCAGCATCCACTGAACCTTCTCGTCCCTGATAACCATCCCTGACGACTTGGTCCCAGATATTGCCATTCCTCACATTTCGAACAATGTCGCCATAGTATTTCTGGCCGAACGTATTCCCACCCTCTTCATAGCCAAGGTCCACGATTGAGTTCAGCAGAGTGACGTACAAGCTCCAGATTTTGATCCGCTGGCTAGTCGTTGCAGTCGCTACTGGAGCTTGAGCAGGACTATCATCTGGCCTCTTTTTCCCTGGCGGCGTGACTATCGGCTGCAGAGCTTCGTAGGCTTCTAGTAAACGCCGAGTTAGAAACAGCTGCGACGCATGCTTGTAGATTTTTGAGATCTCGGATGACGTCCGCTTGCTGGACTGATTCAAGGATGCTTGCGAGGACGAAAGATGTTGCGAACTTGACTGCGAATCCGAACCGATGGACATCGTGGAGCGATGCGACAGATTGAGCGGACGATACAGAGGTGCAATAAGGCAATAAGGTCAGGTCGAGGGCTTAATTCAAGATGCAGTCATGTCGGCAGGCGAAGTGAGGCAGAGTCTGGGGTTGGAGACCATTCGGTAATTGGATGGCTTTCGCTTGAACCTCGGTAACGCACACTGTGTAGCAAGAACACAAGTTTGGAGGCCCAGGAGAGTCAAGCGCAGCCACACAAGTTTATCTTGGTGCTCCGTCATTACCGAGTATTGCTATGCTAAGGCAGAAAGTTCTCATTGAGAGCATTATGTTGTGTAGTCCGGCATCATCGACGTCGCTCATGGTCATGCCTTCTGGCGTTCCAGCATGTCCAAGATTCCCTCCTCACAGGCATTTGCCTGGAGCCGATTGCTAATCAGCCCCCAGAATTGAACATCGTCGTCCCATGGGGGTAGAAGCTCGCCCCTTTCAACCATTTCGGCGATTCTGCGTTGAGCTGCTGCGCTCTGAGCTACAGAATCCTCCTCATCCACATGTGTGTCTGCCGGTACGTCGTTGAGCACTTCGAAGATATTCGACTTCTGAGAGGCCGACGCGACCTTCTTATCCTCAAACTTGTGTGTCATCTTTGGCGGATCCTTCATCATTGATGCAACAAGAGTAGATGTGTCCTCAGGAACATTCGAACTTGACTGGCCTTTTTCGCGATCATTCCCTATCAGAATCGAGCTTGCCATGGTTAGTGGAGCCTTGAGCACGTCAACCACGCCTTTCGTTAACCCTCGTCCAGGATTTTCAGACTGGACTGCTGCATCCGGCTGGTTAATTCGGACCTGAGTGCTCCCTTCCTGCTCAATGGTTTCAATTGGGCCTTGAAGAAGTGCCTTAAGACTCTTCTCTTCTCTTTTTAGCTTTGCGGGAAGCTTAAGGCCTAGCTTCGCCGTCACAAAACTGTCAAAGCCAGCCTCATGGTAGTTCGAAGCATGTAGATAACGATCAAACCCTGGCGGCAAGGTTATTCGAGGTAGTGCTGTAGAACTCATATCGTTCTCCACTGCCTGCAGGGAAGTGTCGGCCCATCGTTTGCCCCCGATACCAGCAAGATACTTGGTGTCCAAGATGACTGGGAACAAATCGTGCAATTTGGAACTGAAATCCTCAACCCTGTCAGGCAGATCGCCGATGAAGCACCTGTACAAGTTGATCAGGTCAGTCAAACAGTTATGTCCAACAAGCGCGCCCTTGCGCTTCCTGAGGCTGTCCTGCAACTTGTCGAGAAACCCCTGGATTTCTTCTGGTACCTGTCCCTCTGGGAAGCCAGCGCTGACGTAAAAATGCGGCAACCTTGATATGTCACCACCCGTGATGGCTTCTATGAGCCAGCGAAAGCCAACGGCATTGGCGATGTCACGCTCACGCATTTGTTCCCGGAGCTCTTTTTCACTTTCTTGCTGTTCGGCGGTTGGATTGGTGATTTGCACAAAGTGGCCCATGCCTTGCGTTTTGAACTTTGGCCATTCGTTTCTAACGGTCTGGTGAGTCAATCTAATCTGGTACCGATTGAGCGTCGACGGTATCGGATCCTTAGCATCGGCTGTAGGGATGTTCAGGTAGCTTTCTCGCGTTTCTTTTGGAAGTGACTGCCACTGATTGATAGACTGCCTAATGTGGTCCACCAGGACTGAATCCTCCTCTTTGAGGACCATATTCGGCATATTTGCCTTGGCTTTTTCATCGCTGATGAGCTTCTCGCGTACCTCGCATTCTTCTTGTCGTGAGAGATAGTGGACACCTTGCGAAAAAGGTCGTTCCATATTAAACCCATGACGCAGGAGAAAGGATATTGCTACAGACATCAATACTGCGCTTAACGTGCCGCTATGGAGGATAAACATACCACCACTGTTGTAAGACCATACCCTGCGGAAGACGTTCTCGCTGATAGCAGGTAGAGGACTCAGATGAAAGTTGTATGGTCGCGCAACATACCGACCTGCAAGGATCAGCAACTGTCGACTGTGAAATGCACCCTCGATTTGGACGCTGACTCGTGGTGCTCTTTTGGCAGTATCTCTTGCCGGAGAGCTCTGGGACGGGAGGCGGCTGATCTGTCCAAGCGGGTGGTTCTGAAGCAAGTCCCTTACCTTTCTTTGTATCCTCGCTGACAATTGTCAGACCTATCTGCAAGATTTGATAGATCTGAGCAGCCGATCTCAGGTCATGATAGTACTCTTGTAGAGAAAGCTTTCCACTGGCGCCTCCCTGTCTTCTGGCAGCCACACCAGAGAACTCGAGGTCGAAGGCCACGAAACGGCTCTCAGCAATGTGTTGGATAATTTTGATGAGCTCTTGCGAGAATGTTGCATGTGTGATATCCATGGCGCGAACAACAAACGGTGGTTGGGGCCTGAAGGAAGATCGTATTGACTTGAATGGAAGGCATACAAGTTTGCTTGTGAGTCCAAACAGGCGGCGAAGGAGCGTGGGCATCGAACACCAAACAAAACGAACGAGAGATGCGTTCGTTGTTTGACTACGACATGTGAGAGTGAGTGAATCGGAATCAGGTGCGATGGCATGAGGAACTAATGATGGGTGGTGTACCAAGAAGGTGATGACAAGGAGCATTCGAGTCTGGCTCTTTTTATTTATTGGCGTTGACGACATACATCTCCCACGAGCAACTTGTCCAGTTCATGGCTTCAGAAGATGAGTTACACCGGTGGGGATTCTTGTTCTTTGACCTATGTTCAGTAAGACAACTTGCATAGTTTTGATCACATAGAGATGCTGTCGCGTGCTGTAGGAACTGTGTAGCGGATCTCATGGCTTCTGCAAGCAGCAATTGGCCTGATACGAGGAACGACGAGATCCGAGCAAGCGGCGCATTTAATTTGTGGGGGAAATTCAGCACACACCCCACGATCTTTTTCAATGCTGTATTACCCTTCTATAGCAATCACCATAGCGACTCGTGGCTACAGTCTATTGCACTTCTGCCGAAACGTTTCCTCTTGGACCGCGTCAGGTATCAGAGAAATGTCACAGTGATACAACAAGACTGGCGATCCTTATTCTAGCGGCATGACCGCCTCCTCCTCTGCGCTGGCTGCGCTTCTGAAGAACTCGACTCTCGATGACCACGAACAAATCCTTGATGCATGCAACAAGACCCTCCAATCGTCCAAGTCGAACCTAGAAGCTCAACATGTCAAACTTATCGCCCTCCTGAAATTGGATCGATACGAGGATGCTGTCAAATTCGCCGACACGGCAGGTGACACTCTGCGTAAGGCAGCGCAATTCGAGTATGCATATGCGCTGTACAAAACGGGACGATTAGAGGAAGCCGCTGCGATCTCTTCAGAGATACAGAGTAGGGGTGCTAATCACCTTGAAGCGCAGGCGAGATACCGGCTCGAAGACTCGGTGACGACGTCTGAGCTCTACCGGCGCCTCAGAAACACTCAGGATGAAGCGGAGATCTACGATTTGCGTGTCAACCAGGGCGCAATAGATGCCCAAGCCCAATGGATAGGAGTTACAGATGTTAAGTCAATACGGAGGCCTGGAAGAGAGGACCTGGAAGCTTTTGAGACTGCATACAATGCCGCCTGCGGAAGCATCGCAAGAGACGAATATGCACAGGCCGAAGTGCTCTTGAAGAGAGCAAAGGAGCTATGCAGGCATTCAGAAGACCTCACAGATCAGCAAAAGCAGGACGAACTACTTCCCATTGCTGTTCAACAATTGTATGTGCTACTATGCCTGGGGAAGAGTTCGGAGGCCAAAGCGATCGCCGCAGAGATCACCCTTGAAGAGGCCTCTGACTTATCTACACGACACATTGCCCAGAACAATATTCTGCTGACCCAAGAAACGGAGAATCCATTTCTTGCCTACAAACAATTCCATGCTACTGACAAGATTCCGCCGGATGACAAGCTCTTTTCTTACCAGAATGGACCCCTGAAATCCAACGAAGCGACTCTAGATCTGCGGGCTTTCAAGTTTGATGGCTTGAAATCATCCAAACGCATCTCACGTGAATCGGGAATCTCGACTGAGGACCTCATCTCCTCATCCTCGAAGGCAACTGCGGTGGCAGGCAACGAAACTGGCAAGGCTGCTCTTCGGAAGATGTCGTCCCTTCTGCAAAGACGGCCCAACGATATTGGCATTATCATTACCTTGATCCAGCTATATGTCTTGAACGGTGATAGCACGTCTGCAGTGGAGCTAATGGAATCTTTTCTGACGAGAATGGAGCAGTCTGCCGCTGAAATTGAGCAAGGGATCAGATTCAATCCTCTTCTTGTGAGTCTTTTGATCAGCTTGTATAGATATCGAAACCAAAAGGCGCACGTCAAGAAAGAACTTGCAAGCGCCGCTGCATACTGGCACACCCGCCCCAATCCTCCCGCGAGCCTCTTGATTGCAGCCGGCGTTTCACTGCTGGAGTCCCATGACGAAGCCGACGCCAAGTTGGCATCGGAAATATTTGCCAGACTGAAGGAACAACAACCGAGTGACAAGGCGACAGCTGCCGGTTACGTCGCATCCCACGCCGGTATTGAGAGCAGCCAGCTCAAGTCCGACATTGACAAACTCACACCTGTCGAGGACCTGGTCAGGGATGTGGATGTCGGCTTAGTCGAACGCGCCGGGATACCGCAGTCATCTAACGCGCTTGCTATAGCCCAGTTGGGCCGGGGCAAGAAGCGAAGTGCTCCTAGCACTGGGCAGGTCAAAGCGAAACGCATCCGTAAATCGAGACTACCAAAAGACTTTGACGAGAACAAGAAACCAGATCCCGAACGATGGCTGCCCATGAAGGACAGGAGCTACTACCGTCCTCCGAAAGGCAAGAAACGGGCGAAACGTGGCGGGGACACACAGGGTGGCGCTGTGAATGAAGATTTGAACGTCGACGCCAAACCGGCAACTCCTGTCGCGTCGGGATCAGGATCGGGAGGGAATAAAAAGAAGAAGGGCAAGGGAAAGAAATGAGAAAGAACCACGCACTGCGAATGACAGCCTCGTAGTCAACTTGGCCGGGAAGAAGAGGTGATGTTGTATCACGTGTGGAAACTATACTTGAGGCCGAGATCTGCCTGGTTTGCTCCTGTCATGATGGAAAATCAGGATGGAGTTGCGCTGCATGCAGGTCCGGACATTCTCAAACACTGACAGTGGACGTGCGAGCTAGAGCCAGAGCCAGAACCAGCAGACTCCAGCTTTTCTAACATAGTGTTCAATACCAAAACAGCACGTGTCCAATAGTCTGCATTGGATTCTCCTATGATAGGCACTTGTGTGATGGAACATGGCGCTCCATACGAGCACGAATACGAATATACCCTTAGTAGGTGCCTTAGCCAGAACCTCATACCAGATGCTCCATCGCTACTCCGAACGAGTACGAGTACTGTACGAGTACCAGAACAACCTCGAGCACTTTTCGGGAGCGATGTTCTGAGACACGTCAGTGTCAGTGCGGGAGTGGAAATCAGACAAGGCTTGTGCGCCGTCCAGACACATCACCAGACCAATAAGAGCTGGAGCAGTACCCGACTACGAGTAGGAGTCGGAGGATGGATGGATTTCAGGGACAATATTTTCATACCATTCCCCCAGGCACGGAAAAAGGAGCCACTGTTGCACCAGACACAATGGGTTCTTCGTGGAGTGCAGATTAGCGACAATTGAAAAAGCTCCGACCATAACCAACCTCTTAGCGATCGTATATATAGGTACAGGAGGTGCCTATGGAGACACAGCACTCTGTACGTGCAAGTCGTCACATTGCACTCCGAAGTTCTTGGGTCCTTAGGTAACATTGGTACTTGGCCTACGGAGGAATTACTATTGTACCTCTAGTAGATACCTGTGGGTAGCTAGCTATACTCCTATCATTGCAAGTCACAATATCCCTTTCCAGCAGCTTCTCCGGAGCCAATGGTGTGCGGTCAGTGGTCGGTGGTCGGGGGTCGCATGGTTCTCGACAAACTCTGGTCGGAAAAGCAATGTGCTCATCCTGCACCGTGTGTCGATTTTTCACGAGTCCATGCGCAGTTCAGGGTCCATTAGCTTTGCCGTTGGCCGGTGTAACTCAGCCTACAGTTTTCCTTGTCTCGCGTCAATGGCCCCCCTACTGTACCAGTATTGCTGCAGGTGGTACGGACAGAGAGTCTCGTGGAATCATGGTTACTCAGACTTTGCATGGTATGAATGTGGCCTGGTCAACATTATATCCATCACAACTCAGGCCCACAGCCAGTGTACTCGTACATACACGTAATGAGAAGCCCAGTCAAGGTGCATGCATCCCTACAGGTGGTACTTCGCATTTCAAGTCAGGGCCAACACGAGTGGACGATCTGCCTCGTCCCGGCCATGTGCTACAACACCAAACTCTGGGTTTCTCCCATCCGCTCTTCCAGCAGAGAACAAACACCTGCTTCGACATCCCAGTTTCGGAGCAGGTGCCAGCACTAAAAGTTCCCATGGTGGTCTTCCGGGCCGTGGTGGCCCGTCCTTCCCAGGGCCCCGGTACCGCCGACGCTGTAGCCTCACCAGCCTTGTGATGAGCAGTTCCATTGGCTCCCCGTGGCTTATGCTACCGGTGGGTGGCGGCGCATCGGCCATCGACTAAACAAAAGGACCCCATCCACCAACAGCCACAGCAAGGTCCTTTCTCTCAGCTCGTGGCTGCACCCAACTAATGAACCTACTAGGAAAGCTCCTACTGGGGGTTCTGCAGCTGCCCCTTGCAGACGATGGTGGTGATAATGATGTTGAGTGGCACGTTGGGCCACATCCTTGCCATGGCCTTGTTGGAATCTATTTCCACGGTGCGCCACGAGACTGACCGTTAACAGTTGTGCAGAATGCCAGAAAAGACCAAAAGCACACCAAAAGACACACAGATGCTCAGACGCCCACTACCACTTCGACTTTACTTTTAGCCCTCGCCACCACCACCACCTGCTGGCCCTAGTGACGCTTGCCTCCCTCCTTTTCTTAAAACAATGACAGCTTCCTTCAATCTGTTGCGCTATGATCCTGTCATCTGCCACTGTCTCGCCTTGTTCCGTACTGCGCTTCCCGGTCAACCTGTTTGACAGCCGTTGAGATCGTCGACGCATATATCAGTCCCCCGTCAACACTCCCGTCATTTGTTGTCGTCCGTTCAGATCTTCCCACCAGAAAGGACCTCCATCTCCCGGCTGATCGTTGATCGATCGCCACCACACATACACACAAACTCGGACTGTTACGAGTACGACTAGCGATAAGTACTACAATCGCATTCTATCCAGCCCAGCAACTCCGTACAGAAACAAAACAGCACTACCACCCACCTTTTTGTGGTGTCCTCGAGTCTGGCAGGGCCACCCCCAAGTGTCAAGCCCCCCAAAAATATGGAGCTCGGCTTCTCGGGTTTCAAGGCCCTCAACGTGGGCTCCAACTTCGAGCAGTCTGAAGACGTGAACGAGTACTTTACCTTGCATGCGCCCCCGAACAGCAACATCCAGAGAGGGCCCGCGTCGCCCGACGACGTGACGGCGCCGATGGTCTTGAAGCGTCTCCAGCAATCCTTCCTCCTGGCCGAAGTGACCGTGTCGGCGGAATTCGCCATGGATCACGACCAGGCCGGCCTGGTGATTTTCGCGGGCGCGCCGCCGGACGAGTTGATATCACAGGCCCCCGCCAGCCGCAGAAGCTCGCGGTATTCGGTCTTCAATCCAGAAGCACTAGTGACGCGACGTTGGGCGAAAGCAGGTCTGGAGTTCGCCAGGGGAGAGCTTCACGCCGCTTCGTCGGTCGCCATCTCGACCTGCGGAGCGGACTGGTCGTCGTCGGCTCGCATGCCGTCACCATTCTCGACATTCGACCCGTTCTCTCTGACATCGGCGTCGTCGCAATCGTTACGGATCCGCTTCGAGCGCGTAGACCAGTCACTGTGGATATCGTATGAGATCCCAAACTACACGGAGCCGGAAACGACCTATTACGCCGTGGCTTCTGAACAACAACAAAACCCAGAAGAGCTTGGCTCGCGCTGGAAACAGATGCGCGAGGTCGCGGGCTTTTTTGCTGGCGTCGAGCAGAAAGGCAACATCTGGGTCGGCTGCTACGCAAGTCGGCCGATGGACTACGAGCCCAGCAATGCATGGGATGAGGTGGACGAGCTCATAGCCGAATTCGAGGATCTTGATATATTATGATCGAAAAATGAATTTCTTCGGGCTGTGGCGCCCTGAAGCGCTAGCTCTTGGATCGCAATGGAGGGCCGACGTTGCTGTCCCCCCCGGAAGACACGGGTCTTGGGAGGGCATAAGAGTCTACATGCGGTCGAGAGCAGGCTCTCGCAATTCGATCTGGACTCTTTGAGTAAACTGATGCATGCCATGCGGTGACATTGTGTTTTCTTATGTGGAGGAGATGGAGTATGATCGACTTCTGAGATGCCATGCGCGGAGCTCAGCGTCTCCCAGCACCACCCTCACGCGCGGAACATTGAGCAGATTGGGAAAATGGAAGTACATCTGATGTATATGGTGTTTCTCGGACGATTATTGCGGGTGTTTCGGCGCAAGGCAAAGCCGGTTTAGCGTTAGTATTACTTCATAATCATCAGTCGAGACGAACTCGAAGTGAACGGTCAATAGGGAGCTTGGACCCCAGACATGGTGCAAGAAATGCCATTATTAGACTCTGCACACTGGACAATGAAGCCGCTTGTGCTTTTCTTGATGATAGCTTGTATGATGCCGCCGTGAGTAGGTGGCGTTCTCATCGCGTTTCTTCAACTACGCGCCTCCCGCTGGCATTGATACTGTTCACCCGTTCAACCTGCACGCCTCTTGCTTTCGACCATGGTACGATGTCGCCCGAGACCTTTGGGCACTGGATCAGAGTCGCCTTGCGGAGTTTGCCATTGCCTTCGATCAGATCTGAAATGAAAGCCCCCGTGATCATAGCCTCTTCGACACACAGTGTTTCCAACTTAGGCAGGCCCCTCACGAAGGTAGAACTTCGGCTGTCGCAGAGATCCTCAATCTTCAAGTGGAGGTCCCGAACACCCTTGAGCCTTCCTTGATCAACAAGGTCCTTCAGAAAGCGCCCTTCCTCCGACTCTCTTGCAAACACCCAGGTGAGTTGGACGATATTCTCCGCCGCAATCGCTTTGGACAAGAGCCGTGGCAAGCCGCTGCAATCTACCACGGAGAATATTCCGAGGTGGGGGAGACGAGTCGAGGAAAATGGGTCGGTGTGGTCTCCTGGGTGCGCGGCTGAGTGGTACAACTCTAACGATTCGAGTGAAGGAGGGAGGCGAATCTCCCCAACAGACAATCCTGTCAATGTCAGATGCCGAAGGTTTTCTATGTGTCGAAGTTCAAGAACTGAGCGTCCGCCGTCAATATTCTCTAACTGCAGGCTTTCGAGTCGTGACATGCGAGCGAACATCGTAGACTGCACACGTAGTCAGCATAAGGTGAAGAGGTCAGACAAAGCTCTGCTAAAACCCGGACTCACGAGATTGACAAGGATAGTCGCAGCTGTTGAAGTTGCCACGGAAATCTGCAACGATCGCAATTCCGGCCCGTGCAACGTCGGAGGGTTCTCCCACGCAAGCGAACGCTCATACGCAACCTTCGAAAACATTGCTGTTTCCAGATGGGTACAGTCTCGAAGGATCTGCTGGACGGCTGAAAAGGGTATTGCATTGTGATCCTGGAGCTTGATGGTCCTAAGGTCGAACTTGGGAAGCGGTAGGTTCCAAGACGCAAACCGTCGGTCATGCACCTCAAGAACTGCTAGACGCTGCCAATTCTGCCAGTATTGCATACGATCGCCCAGGACTTCAGACGCTGCTGGCTGTAAACGTGAGATGTGGATAGCAGTAGGACGTTTGAGCCGTCTTAGAGCCGCGTGGAGCATTTTTGAGTTGATGTCCCTACTGGGACTCGGAAAGGCCAATGTGTCAGTCAGGGGACGTAGGCTTCGTAGAAGTTTGTCCCATCCCTTGCACACGCGCAGCATCCTTACATGCTGCTTGTACGAGACAAAGGATAGGACCCTCTCAGCGAGCTCGAGTGGTAGAGTTTGCATTGGGTCGATCGGCTTGGAATTCATGGTTTCGACGCGAATTCGTTCTTGAGCCTTGCTTGCTTCCGCAGAAATAGTTGCAAAATACTGACTCGTTGGTTGCACATGCTTGAGTCCCTGCTCGTACCATTTCAGGGCAGCAGGTGCATTGCCTTGTTCCTGTTCGATTTGGCCACAGCGGACGTAACCACGCCCATCGCTTTTGTCGCTGCGAATCATTCCTTTGGCATCTTGCAACGCTAGAGCTGGCATGCTCATACGTAGACGCACAGCTACACGAGTGTCGAGAATGGTGATTCGGGTTCTGGAGTCCGTCGAGCCACAGGCCCGCAAGGCTCGTTCTATGAGCTTCAATGCGCTATCCCATTTCGCCTCCTTTGCAGCTTTCCGACACTCTGTGAGGAGTTGGGCTGTTGCGTGCGACGATGCGTCCATGGCTCCACATCCTCTCTGATGACATGAAGCAGAAAACGGTGACCGAAAGATAATAGTGATCGAACTGGTAGTGTTCTACCCGTTCACGTATACAGTACTAACTAGTTAGCATTGAGACGCTGCTCACCGCACGGGAGTGTGGAGGACGCGAAACGCCCACGTCGCGACTTCCCAATTGCTGCTGACTAAGAAATCTGAATCCTTGGCATGTTTACAGCTGCACGTATTGGGTAATGGTGCTGGGCCGCAGATGCAGTACCTGGCGAGTCAACCACGGCGCTTTCACCACGAGCACGAGCAGTTATGGATTCGAACGGGCTGGAACGCGCATCGCAATATCTGAACAATCTCCTCCTTGCTCGCGGCCTGCTCACCAGCGGTAAACCAATCGACTTCGCAAAGCCCGACCGCCATGGACGAAGCTGTGATGCAACCATGTCTAGAGTTATCAACCTCGTCCACGACCTAGTCCTACGACGAGACCAAGATGCGGAGCAGAGAGAGAACTTAGCTTTGAACATGCGCGAAGCCCGGGCCGATGAATCTCAAAGACTCCTCGATCTTCAGCGCCTACAAGACAAGAACGCCGAGCTCGTGCGCCAGGCTGCGACTGCAGAAGCGCAGGAAAGAACACTCAGGTCCGCTGCTCGCAGAGCAGAAGCTCAAGCCAAAGAACTGAAGGAACAAATGCTCAAGATGAAATCCACCCTGGACCAGGTGCGCGCAAAATGTTTGAGCGATGTCCGTAAAAGAGACGTGGAGCTCGATAAGTTGAAGGGGCATCTTGCATCCATACAACGAGGAAAGAAAGATTCGTCCGGCATGAAAATCAATGTCATAAACTTTGAATCAGAACCTCAGGGGAGGGAGAAGCGCCATGGAGAAGAGCTCAATAGGGTAGACCACAAGTTGGAGATGGAAACCAACGATTTCCTGGCATGCATTTTCACCGAGACGAGTTCAGAAAATGTATCATTGAGGCGCATAATAACAGAGACAATGGAAGTCCTACGGGATCTAACCGACATGGAGAATACCTGTGCGAATGGGTTCTCTGATGAAGACTTTGACGATGGGATTGGCATACCAGGTCAGGATCGCAAGTCGAGGCACAGGATTGCGGCCCATCCTCATGACTTGACATCTTGCGACACCTTGGCTGAACAGATGGCTACGATCCTCGAACACTGCCGGACGATATTGAAAGATCCATCGTTCGTCCCAATTGAGGAGGTGCAGCTGCGAGACGAGGAAATCATCAAGCTAAGGATTGGATGGGAGAAGATGGCCAACAGATGGAGAGAGACAGTCACGATGATGGACAATTGGCGACGAAAAATTGGAGGGAACGGTGAAAGCATGACGGGTCAAGATTTTACGACTTTGCAATTTGGTAAAAGCGTGGCAGTATTTCCTGATGGTCAGCCGATATTTGGAGCCGAGGAAGAGTTGTCTTCGATCCTCTACGAAAACGCCACTTTGGAGGATACCTCGAGAAAAGGGAACGACAATTTTGGTCGAGAGCACCCTGTGACAGTGAAAGTGGAGGAGGCTGACCGTTCAGAAGAAGACGTCGAAATACCCGCCGACTCTGCCCCTAAACGACGAGCATCGAGTGCTCGGAAGGCTGCTCTGAACGTAGGGAAACCCGCCCGTCCGCTGCGGGCAATCAACCATAATATACACAACTCGCCCTCTACATCACTGAAGTCCAACAACTTCTCGAAACAGCGCAGTGGACTAGGTGCCGAGAGCTCCCCTAGCCGAGTCCGTAATGAGAATGACATATCGAAGGAAAATGAGGTAAGCATGTCATGGTGCATATTATGGGACCAGATCTGACGCACCAACAGGATATTCAGCATGAGAGTCGAGAGATGACTGTGCCTGAGAAGCTGGCAGTGGTCGAGGCGGAGGCAGCGGAGGTTCACAAGCATACCATGGCCACAACAAACAAGAGGAAACACGCTGAACATAGATTTACGAAGAGGGCCACGAGAAGAAGGAGCACACTGAGTCCCGACGAGCTTGCTGAGTTGATGGGCATCCATTAGCCATTCAGCCTACTGTCAGTGCCGAGGCTGGGCGACTCGACGAATTGTAGATGGAATTAAAGATGGATTTATCAGAGACACACTCAAACTGCGTTATAGGCGAGAGGCATGTTGCTCATTCACGAGCACGTACCTATATCTCGCTTTGCCTGCCTCCATATCTACAATGGCTCGATTCGCATCTTTCATTGGGACGTTATTGTTCCAAGTCCTGACCCCTTTCTCGGCAAAAAGATCCAACATATATCTGATCTCTTTGGGACTGCCAATACTGCTTCCGGTAATGCTGCATCGCTTTCCCAGCAGTTGAAAGCCATTGACCGCAGGCAGCTTGTCCTCGGGGGCACCTATTTGCACAAACACACCGCCGACTCGCAGAAGCTGGAGGTATTGTTGCAGGGGCATCTTGGGACTGGACACGGTGCTTACAATGATGTCGAGGCTCTTCCGGTGATCGCGATTCCACCCTTTATCTTCATCGGTGGCAATGAAGTCATCAGCGCCCATTTTCAGAGCATCTGCTTTCTTCGTCGATGTTCTCGATATTGCCACGACCTTGTCCGCGCCCAAAACTTTGGCTCCCATTATGCCAAAGTGGCCAAGGCCGCCAACGCCGATGATGCCGACCGTCTTGCCCGGCCCAGCCTTGTGGTGCAGGAGTGGTGAGAAAGCCGTGATGCCTCCACAGAGCATGGGTGCCGCGATATCGCTAGGTAGAGCATCTGGGATCCGAAAGACGAAATGAGAAGGCCCTCTCCAATAGTCGGCATAGCCGCCGTAGGACTTGCTGCCGTCGCGATATTTGCTGTTGTACGTGCCCGTCTGACCATTTTGGCAGTAATTCTCAAAGTCGTGGGAGCATTCGTCACAATCCGGTCTCAAACACGACATGCTCTGAGCCCCGACTCCAACTCGATCGCCAACTACGATTCCTCCCTCGGCCTTGGGCCCAACGCGCACCACAGTTCCGACAATCTCGTGGCCAACAACGACTGGATACAAGGTTGGGCCCCATCCGCTCCGGAGAGTATGTAGGTCAGAGCCACAGATACCACAGTGGGTTATCTTGATGTCAACATCTGTTTCTTCAAAAGGCTTCGGGGTGAACTCTCGCCAGACCATGTGGCCGTTCGCAGAATCTTTGCCTAGGCCGACCCAGCCGTGGAATTTGTAGTCGGTGGACATTGTGCCGTGTGAGTATTTAGGACAACTAGATGTTGGGAAATGATTGAATTGCAGTATGAAGGACTACGGAAAGGATATTGGGGCTCACTAGGCCGAGGGCGTTCTGATAGTGGTGCGTGGCGCGGGGTCTCGAGGAAGAAGGCTTATCGCGAGCCGAGGTTGTGAACCCTAACAGTTCGGTACAAAGAAAATCACGACAGGTGCCGACAGGTAATTGGTATTACGCCCACCCACCTCTGTATTACGCACTAACATCTGATCGACTCACTGCGCAAGGCTGTGCCAGACTGCGTGCTAACCCGACGTGTTCATTGGATGCCAATCACTAACTCTGCCCTCTTGGCTTCTAGTTAAGGAGAACGCCTGGGGGAACGCCTATGAAAGATTGCTCCAGTCAAGGAGAGAATCTAGGGGAACATCTATGAAAGATTGCTTCTAATTGAGGAGAGCACCTAGGGGAATGTCTAATAAAAGGTTACTCCTACCTATAGTTAAGGAGAACACCTTAACGCCTTGGCGTCGTGCGTAGTATGGAAATGGGTGGGCGTAATTCCGATTACTGTGCTGCGACTCCGAAAATTGGACTATAACAACCTAGTATCACCATCTAAGCATGGCCTTCTCGGAGCCGCCTCTTTTCATCCACGCAAGCAATTCAATTCAAGCGAATGTCTTCTTTGCGTACTCCTTCCACGTCGTCGGCTTGTCTTCCAAGGCATCCAAACTCTCCTTGAGACTCGCGCCGTTGTAATATCCCGGGTTCTCGACGAATAAATGATTCTCCAGCATCTCATCTGCAATCGCCTTGGGCAAGAACGACTTGTACTGCTCGGCGCTCACTTGCAAGAAGTTCAGCCTCTTTCCAGTCGCTTCTTCGAAGTCTGAAGTGATCCGATCCACAGTGTAGTAATCAGCCGCCATGAGGACTTGTTTCCCACGGTAAGCCTCTGGGTGTTTCAAAGCAACTTTGACGAATTTTCCTTGCATGTCATGTTAGTGAATGCGGAATTAGATATCATGACCGCGGCAGAAGTCTCACCAGTGTCCTCTGCAGGCTCAAAGAGAGGAAATCTAGTTTCTCTTCCAACGGGGTAAGCCAGACTATAGGAGCCGTCGTCTTGCTTCTGCAGCATTGTTGTATAGTTGGACATGAAGTAGCCCGCCAGTACAAAGGTTGCCGGGATACCCAGGGATCGAATATACTTTTCAACGTCTGCCTTGCTGTCGAAGTGCGGAACATTTTTCAACTTGCCACCTGAAGTCTCGGTCACATTCAACAACGAGGAGAAGATGAGATGCGACACGCCGAGATCTTTAGCAACATCAGCGACGGTTTTCCCTTGCGTTCGTTCCACGCTTGGATCAGCTGATTCCCAATAGTTCGTGACCAAGAAGACTGTGTCCGAGCCTTTGATCGCCTCACTGATTGACACGCGAGAGTTCAAGTCTGCCTGCGCAAGAGAATGGTCAGTTGCGTCTCTAGTATGTCTCTGTGGACTTATTACTTTGACAAGAGAGACACCCTGTTTTGCCAAAGCTTGCGCGGCCGGCTTTGCTAAATCTCGAGTCACGGCTCTGATCTTGAATTGCCTGGAGAGCTGCGAGTCGGCGAGAAGGTGCTTGATAACAGAACCGCCCTGGTTGCCGGTGGCACCAAATACCGTGATGATTCTAGACATTGTAGTCGAAGAGCTCACAAACAGCACTGTATAGAACGGGAGTATTTGCAGAAGATCTGGCTGGAGTCCTTTGAGAATGGGAGGAAGCAGTGCCTGAGGAGGTTGACCAAGTCTTCAGTGGAATAAATCGCATATGTTTTATACTTCATGAGACCAGTAGTACATCGCCTACAGAAATTTGTAAGCATGTTCACAATGAAGGCGGGTCCAACAACTTTTGACCATCGCATCAACAGTGACAAAAGATCTCTAGACTGTCAGGGGATAACACCGAATCGGCAGGTAGCAGCAGAAGAGGCCTCTCACTCAGATTAGCAATACAAATCGAGGAAGAGAATCCATTTTCGTAAAAGGCCGCAGAAAAGGTGCGTAATTCTCACATTGCCACCTCAGGCAATGAATCGTACAACGGTATCAAGAATCGGTTATTGTTGGCAGAGAATTGCGGCGACTGATCGAGCTTCTGCATCCCACATCTTGTGGGATCATTTTGCCTCTCAACTGCGGCAACCTGTCTTGACTTGGAGGTTACACTATCCACATTTTTGCGGCAACCCTTACGGCTACCAGAGTCATCAACAAGCGGCAGGTACATAGCACCACTGTCGAAACCCAAGACACTTCACTGGGGCTGGAAGCGCTTTCAAGTTCACCCTGTGCATATGTGACGTGCATTTGCGGGCGTTAGGATCATGGAGAATCTATCCGAGCAGTGGGTTTTACAGAAATACGGATTTCAACAACAAAACCTCATTCATCCACAAGACAACATTGATAAAGCGTTACTATCCTCGTGGTTTCAATTGTACGCTATCCACTCCTCTAGATAAATGGCAGAACTAGCGAAGAATCGTACTGTCCTCCCGCATGAATGGTGTGCACGCCCACATTCTCATTGTCTTCCAGCGGAGATTGAATGATCTTATCAGTCTCTGGGTATATCATATCATGGCCACCGATACGCAACATTATGCCCTCGCCAGCATCGAAGACCATGCCCATTGGCCAGAGCGTGATCTCCACTTTCACAATCGATCCGGGCTTGATCGGCTCGCGTCGATCGTGTTGGTAGAAAATTTCCTGGTCTGTGGAACGTTCTGCCACCTTGGTCACGGCGTGCGAAGCGCGCAAGAATCCCTGCGGACCCAGGCATTTGGAGGTGTTGAAGCTTGGCACCTCTTCAATCGGCACAGGACAGGGATAGTTGAGATGGTCAAGTGGTTTGCCTGTCCTTGAGATCTTGCGGATGTGGACCGCAATGTCGAGGTCGTCGTGGTCTTTGCATGAGACCCAAAGGCGGACTTTAACATACCCCGCGATTTCGGTGTGCTCGTGAAAAGTGAGTGTAAAGTCCTGAATCGTATTAATGTAAATTCATTTCATTGCAAAGTTTCACGTTGAGGCTTACGGAGGTTGACTTGTTGTCATTGCTAATGTGTGAGACGGAAGCCTCCTCGCCAATCGGTTGCGCCTCTATCCTCTTCGTGGATGCATCGAGGAAGAAGGTTTTCAGCACTTGCCTAGCCAGGGGATACTCGTTCTCCGGTCGTTCAGAGACTGTTTTTGCACTGCTCCCTCCAGTCTCGAATCCGAGAAGAGAGAGGCGCACTTTTGGAGTATCTCTCGTCCATCCGTTGTCGATGCCTTTCAAAAAATGGTCGAAGTAGCGTTGAAGATCATCCACCGACTCGGGGCGATAGAGATCATACCACTCGTGGAAAGGATGCACCCTCAGCCATTTCTGCGGCGTCTTGGCCGTGCGGAATGTATGAAAGGAGCTTCGACTATGCAGTTGAGACGAATACGATCCAGTGATGTAAAGCGGGACATTGATCTTCTCGGTATGGATGTACTTACTAGCCCAGTATTCGTCAAAGAAGGGACGTTTATTGAGCATAGTAGGCATGTTCTCCACAAAATTAGGTCCTGCAAACCCAGCCATGAGGAACTGATGAAGAGAAGGGTTGTGTCGCCTCCCGCCGCGCGCAAGCGTATCACGATAGACATCGGTCCGGCCTTCCCATGGCGCCAGGGCTTTGAGTGCCGGGTGCTCCAGTCTGGATGCAAAGTTGACCTGTGAGATGGCAAGCCACGAGTTACCACACATGCCAATTGAACCATTACACCACGGCTGCTTGGAAACCCAGTCAATAGTGTCATAGATGTCCTCGGCCTCTTGTTGGCCCCAAAAGACGGCGTTACCTCCTGAGTTCCCAACACCACGTGCATCCACATTGATGATGGCATATCCTCGGTTCACCCAATCCGCAGGATCAGGTCCTTCAAACTTCTCGTATCCAGAGGTCTGATCCTCACGAAGGCCAACTCGGAACGGCGCCATGTTTTCATACTGCATCACTCCTGTGCCAGTCTTCCCGTACGGGCTCCAGGGGATTATGGCAGGGACCTTCCCCTCATCTTCGCCGTGGACCGGGCGAAAGATGTCTGCGTAAATGTTGATTCCGTCCCGAAGAGGAATGGAGACGTCTCGATCGAAGACCACGTCCGAAGCAAAGGCCAAACGACCAGGAAAGCGGGTATGACCCTTGGGGAGTAAGCTCTTTCCTGGGGCAAAGCCATAGTAAAAGTATTTGGGATGCTCCTCAGGTGTTGGCAGTTTCGTCCATATCAAGTCTGGAAACTGAGCTTTCAATTGCTCTGTAGTGGTAGGCATATCGAACTGAAATCTATACAGATTCGGATGGGCAGGAAGTGGTTGCTTTGATTCCGATAAGTGGAAGTAGTGAAGCCTTAGGTACATGGGCGCAGGTCTTAGACCACTTTGTATCTTCTTTATCCCTTCAAAGGGCCCGTTGCCGTGGGATTGATCTCCTCCCGCACTCTCAAACTGCGGGATAAGATTCCCCACACAGTGGGAAACAATTCCCACACTCAGCAGATGTGAAACGAGCTGCTAACGAGAGAATACCCGTAGAGTATGACAATCTCAAATCCATCTCGCCACCGCCGGTAGTTTTTCCAGACGGGCTGAGTCAGACCTCAGGTTTAGCCAAGGACTTGATCATATTGTGAGTGCTGCACTAGCCAGAGGGTTTGAGCTACCGGAATGTATATATATATATAGCTCACACTTTACGCATCAAGACTCGAACACCGAGAACGAAGTGTGAAGAGCAGTTTGTACTTGTCTGTGTAAACAACTTGGATCAATTCTCTGTACAATCGCTCACCACACGATGGCATACATTGCAACTTCAGAAGGTACTTCGGGGCAGCCGAAGCCTGATAATTGGGTGCCGATCCTGGAGCAACCGCTGTCCACAAGGCGCAAGCTGAGGATGATCTGCCTGGGCGCCGGTTTTTCAGGTTTGACGTTAGCGTACAAGATCAGATATGACATGAAGTACGACGATTTCATCGACTTTCAAATTTATGAGAAGAATCCCGACCTTGGAGGAACATGGTAAGGAAACATGGCAAGGAATCTTGCAGCTTCAGGACTGACAGCATTCTTTGAGGTACGAAAATCGTTACCCTGGTGCCGCATGGTAAGTCGAGACTCTATTGTATGCGCAATGCATGCTCGACACTGACCGCTCGAACAGCGATGTTCCAGCCCGTAAGCCTTTAAATTACCAAACAATGCTCACCTAAGCTCAACGATCGCAGACTCGTACGTCTTCCCTTTCGAGCCCAACCCCAACTGGTCAACCTTCTACGCTGGCAGCCGTGAAATCTGGCAGTACATGAAAGACACTGCCGTCAAGTGGGATCTCGAGCAGTTCGTCACGTACAATTCGAAAGTCACAGACTCCGTATGGGATGACGAGAATGGAAGATGGAAAGTTAAAATCGACCGCCAAGGAATAGTGGTCGAAGAACAGTGCGATATTCTCGTCAATGCATCAGGATTTCTTAAGTGCGTTATGGATATGTTGCATGCCTTGATGACCATGAGCTCACATGAAAATCAGCAAGTGGACGTGGCCGAACATTGAGGGACTTCATGACTTCAAGGGGAAGTTGATCCATACAGCTGCGTGGTAAGTACGGGGTTAGAACAAAATCATCAAATGACGTCGCTTAACCACCAATTACAGGGACCAATTGTACGATTGGACCAACAAGAAGGTCGCCGTTATCGGCAATGGCTCCTCTGCGATCCAACTGGTCCCCCATCTCCAGAAGACGGCCAAACAGGTGGTTAATTATGTTCGCAGTCCCACCTGGATAGCTGCGAACTTCTTGGAAGAGTACAGCGAGGGCGGAGTTCAGGTCTACTCGGAAGAGAGAAAGAAGCAGTTCAGGGAAGATCCTAGCAGCCTTTTTGAGCTGCGCAAGAAGATGGAACACGGGTATGTGCCCAGTCGCTGGTGGCAGCCCATGCTCTTGTTGAATGTGACTGACGAATGACAACTTGACCTTCCACAGGTTCAATGGTCTCTTCCGTGCCATGCTGATGGGGACCTCAGAGCAAAAGGCCATGGCGAAGACGTATAGAGACATCATGGAAAGCCGTCTAGGCAGAAAACCCGAGCTGATCGACCGTTTTGTGCCCACGTTCACTGTGGGCTGCCGCCGGCTAACTCCAGGGGACGGCTACCTCGAGGCCTTACAGGAAGAGAACGTCAGATGCCTCTGGTCACCCATCGCGAAAGTCACAGAGACGGGCATCCTCACGGAAGAAGGACTCGAAGACTTCGATCTAATTGTGACCGCGACCGGTTTCGACGTCAGTTTTAGGCCTTCATGGAACCTCATCGGCCGAAACGGCGCTTCGCTGAAAGATACCTGGGCGAAGAATCCAACATCGTACTTCAGCATTTGCGCCGTCGATCACCCCAACTACTTCGTCTATGCCGGGCCAAACTCGCCTGTCGCACATGGAGTCTTACCAGGTGCTCTGGACCAAATGTCCAGTTACATATTGAAATGGTGTAAGAAGATCGCTGAGGAAGATATCAAGTGAGTTCAACCTCTGCGATCACAAAATATTCGGAAGCAGTGAGGTGTTGACTTGATCTGTAGGTCGATAACAGTCAAACCTAAAGTGGTAGATGATCTTAACGTCTGGTCCCAAGAACTACTCTCGCGCACTGTGTGGGCGGGCAATTGCAGGAGCTGGTACAAGAACGGCACAATTAATGGCAATATCACTGCCTTGCACGCCGGAAGTGCCATGCATTTCAGAGGTATAGATTCCTTTTGAACCCTTTCCACCGCATCTGATTGTGCTAACCTCGTCAGAAATGCTGGAAAATATTCGGGGTGAGGATTTCGAAATCTCATACAGATCAGCCAACGAGTTTCGGTATCTGGGAAATGGCCTGACTTTGAGGGACGCAAATGGTGGTGATCTAGCGTATTACCTCAAGCAGTGAGGGTTCTTGCCGACACGACAAAGCGTGAATCAATATATTTTGTTCTCATTCTGGGATATATTTTGCTCGTCACCGTATTGCAGTATCCATCAAATGTCAACCCTTGCTCAAGCGTGATGCGTGGGCTAGTATCTGCCTCACCTGGTCTCTTTGGTCTTCGGGGATGATGAACTTGCAGGCTGTCCGTCCGACAAGGTTGGACCCTTCCTGTCAATGAGAGTTGCTGGGTGGCCGTCGTAGCGTTGTCACAAACCACGAATTCGTCGTCCGCAGATCGCGTGTTAACGTGCCTGATCCAGAGAGGGATTAGTATAGCGCGGCAACGTTGTGCAAGATGTGTTTCTGCTCGTACCACCACAAGCCTGCAGGGAAGGAGATGGAAAGAAACCGGGGGATTGACGCGAGCACTGTGGACTCTTGAGGCGGTACATTAGTTTACGCTTGGCATCCCCCTTTAAAGCTTGCTTTCCATTCTAGTTAAGGACCGGGGTAGACAGACATCTTATTGGTTCCCGTAACTGTCCCGTAGCGGTGCCACATCGTCTCGAACCCGTTTCTAGGACGAGACATCGACCCATGCTTATGAAGCGACACAGCTCGACCAGATGTGTGGTGGGGTTTGTCTCACGATCCACCGCATTGCGAAGCACAAGGGTACTCCTGCGACGAGGAGCAAGCCCGGCCTAGGTCAGGTAGGCACGCAAAAGCCTCTGCCTTGGTGTCTTCTGAGGACTAATGGTTTGAAAGATTTCGCAGATTTGGACGCATATAAAACAGCCACACAAGGAGAGACAGAACAATCAAGGGGAGATCATGCCATTTCTAAACGTCCGGCTGCCCTAGGGTGCTGCTAAACCAGCCTAGACTCTGCAGAAAAGCCTGTTCTTTAGCAAACTTATTTTGAGGCACTTTGAGGTCCGCACGTATGGCGAAGCCATGTGTCACGCCGCTGAAGAGATTTATCTGCCACCGCTGACTCGTCTCAGCCAAAATTCTTTCTGATCTGTGACGGAGCTCGGTGGTGAAGATGCTGTCAATCTCTGTAGACACGAAGCGTTAGGGCAACACGCCACGTGTGATCCTAAATGCATGGATTACATACCTGCCGCGGAGATGGACAAAGGTTTTCCGATCCTCTCGAGTTCTTCGTCTGTCACAAAGGATGGATGAGCGGTATAGCCGGCGTCGAGCTTGGAAGCTTTTAGGAAGCGAATGACGTACTGCACATTAGTTAGAGATAATAGCCAGAAACGAAGGCAGACAGTTCACGTCCCTTTCCACCGAAGCAGTAGCCAGCCCCGCCAATTTTCGATATGCTTAGATATGTTCTTATGTGGTTGATGATCCTGTCAATGATGGGATCAACAGTGTCGCTGCCGTGCTTGGAGAGCCAGGCGGGGATGTCGATCTGTCCAGCTTCAAAAGCTCCAATGTCCATAGCATCGCCGTCCAGGAGATCAGGAAGGACTACTAGATAGCCACTGGCGGCAAAATCATCTGCGAGTAGTTGGCTGTTGACGTAAATCCCAAAAACGTCACTCAATAGCAATACAGCGTGTGTAGGCTTCTGGTCCTTAGGGGATGCAATGTATGCTCGCACTGCGACAGAGGTAGAGAGCAATGAGTCTCCCTGCCAATAGCTCACTCTCCTGTAGTGTGGACTGCTTACCATTCGCAATAGTTTCAAAATGGCCCTTTGGGGTTCCTTCATGTCTAAAGCCGCTAAAGCAGCAAGCTTGTGGAGAGTGAGAAGTCATGTCTTTCGAATCTCGCCCGCTTGTGAGAGATACAGAAATATGCTTGCGAAAACGGTTTTCTCGCAGGGAATCAAGTAATATTGGTTGCGACAGGGGTCTGAATACTCTCCGGCTGAAGTAGCAGTCATAATATACTCAAGAATTACGTGGGGAATGGGTTACATCCCTCAATATGGAGGATCATCTTTGCCCATTCCATTGCGGTGGCTGAGCTTGTGGGACAGAATGAGCGTTGAACGCCGTAGAGGGGGTCGTCCCGCCATAGTCCTCAACAAATTGAAGATGGGAAAGATGGTGGCATTGGGGAGACGATATCTTTGCCTCCACTCTGGATCATGTTTTTGATTGACCTGTTCATTGGCGCAACTCTTTGAAGCATTCGCGTATGCCTGCAGCGATCCTTGCAGTGTTTGAATGCCAGAACGTGCAGATACATTGAACACTTAAGAACGGGACGATTGTTGCATAATACTCTTCAACCTGGTACAGTAGACTCCCCATCTGGATGTCCATGGATAATGGATATCATTAGTGTCGCCATCCGATCAGAGATTTCCGAGTGTCCCATGCGTCGGAGCAAGTCAATCAGTGAGACAAGTGTCAGTGATTCTAATTTCGAAGGTCGAGAAGTCCTGAAACCGTGGGCTTCGACGAGGAGGCTTGAGGCATCAATTCCAAGCATTTCGAATTCGGGGCCGTCGTCAAGGGGCCTTGGTGTATCTTCCACTTCACCCCACCCGAATTCCGTGTAGCAATACCATACCATCGCAGCACAGTAGAGTGCACGTGGCACATGGATTGCTGGTTCAGCACCAATGGGCATACTTTCCGCTTTCTGTAGTATCATCATCCCATGCAACGCACAACGTCTTGCTTCTTGCGACCGGGACCAGCTCTTCGCATATGCTGTATGCATCTGCGATCGCTCGAGCCCGTCTCTTCCAGCTGCCATCTCAAGCCGGTTCAGGTCGGCAAATAGAGAGATGAATGCAGAATGCCACAATATGCCGAGACAGAACGGATCGCGAGCAACTGTAATCGGTTGCTTCAAATAGCTCTTATGGAACTGCAATAGCGATTGCTCCAGTTGGAAGGTTGTGCTGGATAGTGCATCAAGCTCTTTTGCTGTATTTATCGAAGCAGCAATCCCTTCTAGCTCGCAATATATTCGGAACGACGTCCGATCCGGTCTGGTTCTGTCAGTAACTGGAAGGTGGCTCTGCCTCGAGACCTCAGCCTGCTCGCGCCCCGATACGCCATGAAGACCACCCGATTTCCTTTGGGCATTCCTCCATTCTTCTGCTGTCGGAGCCATCCACTCAGTATTCGAAGATATTGATGGAAGTTTAGATGCAACATGGCGCATACTAGGTTCTGTATTGAATAGAAGGGAGAGTTCGGCGTCGTGGATAAAAAGCGCAGCTGATACCCTGTAAGAGAAGAAATCTGTCTAAGTTCGGAGTAATGGAAAACGAGCTCTTTAGAGACTGACCTTGCTTGCTCCTCCTCTTGAACCCATCTTCTCCAAGATATGTCTAAACCCTGGTCGTGAACGTCGTTATTGCACGTCTCAGAGCGCTCTGAAAGGAATACCCCACTTCGTCTTGCCAACTGCAGCGGCATGTTTAGTAATTCCACCCTGATTTTGCTCGAAGGCAGGTCTGATCTGGTGTGCAGTCATGACTTACAGTGATGATGGTCCCATGAAAAGACTGTGCCAATAGCAGATTTGCAGGGGTCTACGCGCGGTCAGAATAGCGTCGGGTAACCCACACAATCAGTACCAGATACCTACACCTGATAGCATACTGAAAGTTTGCACGATCAAACTAGCTTGAATCAGAGACAGAGCATCCGACAATCCTCGCGATATCACTGTCTCCCACTGTTCCACATCAGTCCGGCTGATTTGCTTGTTCAAGAGAGTCATCACAAACGGAGGCTAGGATGGCCTTGTTGAGCCGCTCAAATATGCTCCGACCTTGCCGGGTAGCTTGAGGGCAAGCCAGGAATGAACTTCCAACGGCGCACATTGCCAATAAGAGTAAAGAGCTCGTGGCGGATGGTTTGAAGGTAGCGCCGTGCACAATCGGGAAGATAGGATTGAAGCGATTGAAGTACGTCTGGACACATAGGTTCTATCTCTGTCAGTGCAAGTGCAGACTGCCGCAGACCCAGGTTTCAGACATACCAGAAAATCCGTCGAAGGGAGCGGCTCATACGGAGTCTGGAATTGTAATCGTTGAGATAAATCATCTCGAAACCTAGCATCGACTTGGGTATGCTCCGACACCTTATCTCTGTGCAAAGACTGAGAATTATCTGACTCTAGGTATGTGAACCACTGTCGACGGATAACTTGTTCTCTTAAGGAATATGGTTTGGGGGAATCTGTGGATCTCAGTTCCGGGTTCTCAAGATTTAAGAGACTTTCTCCGATGTGGAAAGAGGTTGGTGCAGCCTCCATTATAGCTGAATTAATCGCATGTAGGTCAAACTTAGGACTCGCCAGCGATACCGGAGTGCGAGACAAAGTTGGGAGTGTGTTCCAGTTCATATTGGTGTCGCTGAGGAGATCGAGACTATTCAAGTCAGGAAGCGACGAGTCCGTGAACCACAGGTTGTCGCCGACGCCACTTGTCGGTAAGTCCGCACCATGTCGGCTGGAAGGTGCAAGGAATTCTCGAGCGCATTCAGCAGCGTCACTAATTATGTAGACTTGACATACCTCTAAAGGCAGGGGAGGGCGTACTAGCCATCTCAATAGCATCTCCGTCATTCATCGACTGCTGGAATTCTACGTGGGCACCAGTCCTGTCTACCAAGTTTGACGCGAACTCGTGTTCCGGTTCGCGATGATGGTCAAGTGAGCTTACAGGCACTGCGATGATTGCTCGCTGCCGGTCCTTTGGGGCGCTCTTATGACCCCGAGCATGCCGAAGAAGGGTATCGCTGCATCAGGAAAGTTACTCTCGTGCATCGGAAGAGTAACTTGTGGCTAGGTATCCGAGTGAATTCTTACCTCCGACCAAATGCCTTATGGCAGACATTGCAGGCAAACGGTTTCTCCTGCGTATGGGATCGCACATGCCGTGCCAGATGTTCCTGCTTTGAGAATACCTGAGGGCACCACGAACAATGAAGCTGTCGCTTTTCGGTAGCCTTCGGGCGAGGCATTATGATCTTCGTAGCTCAACTTTTGGAATGGATCACACCCGGTAGTTGAACTAGAAGACGAGACCGCAAGGCTTAGGTTGGTCGAAGCTAAAACGTCTGATATTTCAGACAAAGGTGTCGGGCAGACATTGGCGAGTCTGGGTCAAGTGATCAAACGCCGTCTTAGTAAGATACTGACTGGCCTGGTGGACTCTCATGAAGCATAAGCCGAACCAATGACAACCTCAGGTCGATGTACATCGCCGAGCGCCGCTCTTGTGCCTTGCGGCAGCGTGTGTGGTGTGGGGCTTCTCCGAAACCCCCGCCTCTCAAACCCCACCCATGAGCGGCCCAACCTTCCAAGGAGGAAGGTATCACTTGTTGATTTGGTCACAGCTTGAGTAGATTAAGTTTGTGAGTTACTTTAGTGATGACTGTTACACGTTGGCCTACTTGTAGACTGTGGACCAAGCTGTGACGGCGGCCCAGAGAGAAAGGGGAGGTTAGCCGGAGAGGAGGTGCAAGGCTGCTGACACCTCTTGTCGTGCAACGCTCACACAATGGGAGTTAAATGGGATGTATTGACGAGTCTGACCTCGATGACTAGGAGGTCGAGGACTATGATATATATAGGCAAAAGGAGCGACTATTCTCTTGTCCAATTGAGGCCTCTTTCGTTGCCGCATCACAGGCCGCAAGTTGGCCTTTCCTTGTGAACTTGAGTGGTTGCAACAAGCGCTCCGATAATTGGCAATAGAATGGCCTATATTTTGCTGTCAACATGATATAGTTCAATGAGTGACTCGATAGTTGTGAAATGAATGGGTTGAGTGTTGCGAAATGCGCAATAATGAGCGTTCTAGGCGACGGAGTTCCTCCGGAGGCGTTCGGCGCGAGTATGGAAGTTGTAATGACACCATCACATCTCAGCCTGTTCAACAAGTTTAAATTCAACGCGGCTAGTTCAAAAAGCTCAAGTTACTGTACCTTGAGGCATCCTTATTAATGCAGGGCAAATTTAGAAACCACTGAATTAGTTCGGCACCAATCGGTAAGCGGCAATTGAAAACGCGTGTAAGTCTTACTTTGCTATATCAGCTGGTGCTCAAGAGAAAGTGGTGTAGATGCTTCCGGAGCATGGAGCGGATGTTCATGCTCAATGGAAAAAGTATGGCAGTGCGCTACGAGTGGACTCTGAACAAGCCCATAACGATTGTGCCGAAATTTGTGAAGTTTGGGTTTGGTGGGATTCGTCAACTCGCCCCTCTTCCACCCTCCCCTTCGCCCTCGATTAACTCTACCGAGCGTAGCTGGGAGTCTAAGACGTTGCGCAAGGGGTGTGCCTCTTCTTGTTGTCCTTTGCTTATTGATTGCTAGATATCTCGCCCATTTAATAAGGGTTCTAGCGACTCGTGATAGTCTACTAACAATTTTGCTAGGTAAGTTCCTTGCGCGAACTCTTAACACGGAGTTTTTGTCGAGTGAACAAAAAGCGGCAGAGATGAGGGTTTGACTTCTCATTAAGGCTATCTGTGTTGATTTGTGTTTGGTTGGGTGGAATAAATGATTCAATACTTCCACATGACCACGAAGCATGGGAGACGAGTGAAGTCCACTCTATGTATCAGGTGAGGTGCTCGCTACCTACGAAAATGGTCTGAAGATTTGATACCCGCCCTCAGCGATATCTTGTAGATACTTCCTGAATTGGCCAATGCCTCCTAGCCAAACCAAGACCGAAGGAGTCTTGCCAGGCACATTCTTTCCCAAAATCCAATTATCGAGTCTGGGAAACAAAGTCATATTGGCAGCGGCTTCGCATTTTTTAACCCAGACGTCCACCGCCGATGGCAATGCTTCGATTACTGGGCCTCGTAGAGTGAGAGCATCAGCTACGCCATTGGTAGAACTGTCGGCATGCTCCTTGTTGCTCTTCTCGGCTTGCTGTACGACGTCGATGACGAAGTCGACCTGTACCTCGAGCACTGTAGGGCCATTGCCAAAAGGGCTGCTGGGACCGAAGAGCATAAACATGTTGGGAAAATCGGGTACAAAACTCCCTAGGAGTGAGGTTGGACTTCCATTCTTGACCCAGTGTTCCTTGAGACTCTTGCCGCCGCGGCCTTTGATGGTGGTTCGGGTCCAGTTTCCATCAACGGCATCGAAGCCCGTGGCGAAAATAATGACATCTAGATCGTGGTGTGTGCCATCTTGCATGAGAATGCCCCTTTCAGTAACAGTCTTAATTGGATTCTCCGAGAGGAGCACGAGATCCACATTAGACCGGTTGAACTGTTCAAAGTATCCGCTGTCGCAAATCGGGCGTCGGGCGAAGATCTCGGTCGGAGTAAGCTTCCTTGCTTTCTCCGGGTTTTTGACCGTTTCCTTTATCTTTCTGCGCAGAAATTTGCAAGCTTCCTCGTTGGCCTCCTCGGAGGTGATAATGTCGTTGAATGTCGAAAACATGAAGCGGAACCCGTTCCCGCCTTGCCATGCCTCTTCGAAAACTCGTTCTCTTTCTTCGGCAGACACGCTCAAGCTCGGGCACGAGCTCTCTGGGATACCAACGCCATTGATACTGCTACGTACGGACTCCCAGATCTCATCGTACCGACCGTTAATGTCGTCTCGTTCTTCTTTGGACAAGGCTCTATTGCCGCTGGGTACACTGTATTGTGGTCGTCGTTGGAAGGAGACAAGGGATTTGGCTTCAGGGCCCAGAGCGGTGATCACCTGAACGCCTGTCGACCCGTTTCCGATCACCCCGACATGTTTGTTTCTGAAATCGTGGGTCTCGGGCCATTTCCTGTGTGAGAGAATAGTAAGGTTAACATCTTCTCTGATTTACGTAGGAACGGCAGTCAAGGTTTGGTTTACCCTGTATGGTATATCTCCCCTTTGAAGGCTTTCAAGCCAGGGATGTCTGGGAAATTTATCCTAGACAGAATACCCAGAGCTGTTACCAAGTATCGAACAGTGTAGATATCCCCAGTTGATGTATGAACAACCCAGCGATTGCTACCCTCGTCATACTCCGCGCGTGTAAGCTCTGTGTTGAACTGCATGTACTTGCGCAGATCATGACGCTCGACAACATGTCGCAGGTAATCCAGCACTTCTGGCTGATGAACATAGCGGTTCTTCCAAGGATATGTTACCAGGTCATCCTTGTCCCAGCTGTACCGATAGACTAGCATAGACATAATGTTAGTACTGTGAAGGTTCACTTAAAAGTCCAGGCAGGTGAGCCATACCCATAGAGTAGGAGTCTGACATGGCTCCTGGATACCGATTATGATACCAAGTTCCTCCTACGTCGGAGGCCATGTCAATCAGCTTTGTATTGAGACCAAGCTTGACAAACTTGTGAAGTTGGTAGATGCCGCCGAAGCCAGCGCCTACCACCAAAGCGTCAAAGTGGGACTGCATCATCGTTGCGGGTAGTTACTAGTGGTCGAACTCTGCGTATAGTTGTTCAAATGCAGTCCTGGGTATCTTGTTCCAAAGTTCCTACTGTCGGCAGACGGTATATATACCATACATTCGCAGCAAGGTCCATACAGTATCCAAGACATTCGAGTACCTGTTCTGGGCTAGGACGCCTTTTCTGGTCGAGCGATCGACTTCTGAGCTCCGGGGCACCCGCACCATCCATAAAACCCCGCGTAGTGACCTTACTATGTGAGAACTTACAGGAACTTGCGGAGCACAGAACCCAACAGCAGTGCCTATATTGCTTATTGTTGCCGGTAAGCTTCGTGTTGTTCTGCCCTGACGCGGTTCTCGTGAAATGCCAAAGCGCCGCGCCACCGATGATTGGCTGCAGTGGTTGTACAGTCAGAAAAGTCTGAGTGAGGAATCTCGCGACAAGCTTGTGTCCTTTCCCGCAAGGGAAACTGCACTGTGTGCATGGCACTTGAGGTGAACAGTCAGTGGAACCTGACTAGCTTCCTCTCATATGGTCTCCCATAGTCTTGCCTCTATTTCTCTGGCATTGTGATCCACCATGATCATGGACGAGGCTTCGAAATGTTGTGCATGACCCGGAGGCTCAAGGCGAGAACAAGAGGCGGCATTGATTTGTCTGCTATGAGAGGAAGCTTCTGTGTAGCTATGTTGCTCTCCAACCAGGAAGCCCAATTGATAGAAATAACTACGTTTATCTAAGGTGCGAAGGGAAACTACAGAGGAACCCGCGAGCACTGGCACTGTTGTGAACGATGCTAGTCCCGATTGGGCGGGCGAGATATGAGTGCGCAACAGTAGCTACATAATGTAGGGACATACATAGGACCTTGCCTAGTGTCAAACCCATGACCTGCGACGGATTCGAGCTTGGTCCATGTAGACTGGACTTGGTCTGAAAGCCATAATCGAGGCTCGGATTCTGCTCAGTCTCAGCCCACATCTGTTGATTCTCGCAGCTCAGCCACTCCGCCACGGTCGCTTCTTTGCACTGAAGATATGCAATGATGTGGACCTTTGTCACAAGCCACTAGATCCCCACCCGAATCGGATTTTTCCCAGTGACCCTGTGAGCAAAGGACGAGGCAAGGAGGCGTACCATCTAGCATAGCCAGGAGTGCACTTCCAAGTAGAGGGGAAGCTTAAAAGAAACCTTCCCCTCCTGATTGAGGGAGAGCTGATTGAGGGAGAGACGACTTCTTCGCTCCTCAAGCGATGGGTCGTTATTACAGAAGACTGTTCAATAGACTACATTATATCAATCACTACCCCTAGCGCTATTCTCAGTGAAGGTCCTGACAATCTTCATGGTGGGCGTGCGCCGTGATTCGGCAATATCAGCCCCAGACGAGCGTGATATAGGGTGAGAATGCCAGGAAGCGTGGATTCGGAAGCGACACAATCAAAATTTCGGAAGCGGGCAGCACCGCATCAGCTGCTTATTACAAATCGATTCGGCTCGGTTCCGTTCGCCCTCCGAAGGCTGTGATGGCGTCATTATCAATCTCAACTCCAACAGTACTCTTCCACACGAGCCATGTCGAGCGTTTCTCTCCTACCGCCACGGAAACCTACCGAGCCTCATCCAATCATGATAACACCTTGGTGAGCTTCTCTCCCGCGGATTCGATCCGAATTGTTCTCCTGCCTCACGATTCCGTCCAGGCGGTTTTGTGGGGTCGCTCGTCTCAATCCCCAGATATTCAGAAATACACTTGACCAAAATCAACCGAAAGATTACCGTAGCTCTGCGCGGGGTTGTCCCCGGCTTCAGGGTTGGCTGGAGCGTCTGCGGATAAAATCAACCAAGACCTCCCCAGGTTATGGTGGAACGATATTCACGGGTCTACGCAATCCTACCTAGAGTGAAGATCGTAACCTCACATCACCCCGACATCGAAATGAACCGAGAAGACAGAAAAGTACGAAATCGCCTGTCACAAAAAGCTTTTCGAGCTCGACAGGCGATGCGAATCAAGGAACTCGAGCAACGCCTCGAGAATCTCCCAGAGTCAGAGAGCGAGCGTGTCTCCAAACTGGAGGAGCAGAACACTCTTCTTCGTCAGCGCTTGTTCGACAATCACAAGAAGATGGAGAGCCTTCAGGTATCTCTCAAAGCTCTCATCGACTCTACGGCCAAATATCTTGATCTGATGGTGAGTATTTGCCTAATGCAAACAAATACAGATCTCGCATCGATGCGACTAACCGACTTGCCCTCAAGATCAATGACGATACTTCTTGCATACAGGAGGAAGCTTCACCCGCAAAAGATATTCCTCTTCCGATGCCACAAGAGGGTAGCGGCTCTCATGATGCGCCTTACCCTCTCGTCGGGATGCCAAGTCCGGCAGCTGCAGCACACATTGGTTGCGAGAATATGTTTGACTTCGATACCACCTTTCCTCCGAGTCAAGTAATTGATACAGACTGGCTTGACATTCCGTCGTACGCTTATGGAAATTCGATCCAGTCTCAGAAAGAGTCAAATACTCTTACTGGTATGCCACCAAATGAAAAATCCCCGGTCCTACTTGCAAATGGGAAATGTGCGCCATCCAACGAGACCAACCTGGGCGATCCGGTTTCTCAACTTCCCTTGTCTTTCACCTTGAGACGGTTTGGCCCGACGTCATATGCAGTGGCGTCTCAAACAGGCCCGATTTTGTTCAACGGGCCTCAGGGTCAGTTACATTCCACAAGTTCAATGCTGTCAAATCACATCAGCTCCATGGAGTATTTCCTGAAGCTGAACATGTCTACATGTCACCCTCCACAACTTGATGAGTAAGCATTTAGGCTCCTAGCTATTACCATGGAGACTATAGCTGACCTTTAATTCCTCCAGTCATCTTACAGCCGCAGTATCTCTCATATTCTCGACTTTTGTCACCATGTCGTGGCAGACCATGACTGCGTGGCATGCTTACTTGAAAGTACAGCCTGATCTGACTAGTCTCATGGAATGGCGAGTAAACCCCAGCCCGCAAAGTCTGTGCAAGGTGCCACCTTACTATCGACCAACAAAATTGCAGCTTTCTGTCTCATATCCTGCAGTTATCGATTGGATGCCGTGGCCTTCAATCCGCGACGCACTAATCACATACCACTCCGCGAACCCTAGATTGGACGATCTCATTTTTGAAATAGCGTCAAGCTATGTTATGGAGATCGATTTGTCCAAGTTGGTCTCAGGCTTCTCGTCGACTCCTGGCTATGTGTCGGTTTGGGACCTGGTACAGGCAATGTCGCCGGAAACAACATGCCCCAATTTACCTTCTGCCACACGGTTTTCGAGATGGGCCTGTTCGGCTCAAGACGCTATAGCGACTGACAAATCTTTCAGTGACCCCTATAATGAACATATAAATGAGGGAACCCAACACAAATCCTCCCTCCCAGCTTCCAACACCAGCGTTCTCTTCCAGTCAAAAACACTCGCTTTACAGGCTTTCAAGCTGTTGGGGATGGACAATGGACCCCATCGATTCCGACTTGGGCCTGACTTCTTTGAAAAATACCCAGAGCTCTATGACCCGAATGCGAACATCATGGCATCTGGTGTGTTCCTTCACCCTGACAGGCGCTGGTCTCTGTCCCATCCCCAGCCATTGGATGCTAGCATGCTGGCTCGATATCGAGAAGTCACATCGTGGACTTTGGGTCAATACCCACAGACCTTTCCTCTGCCGGAGGTAAACTGCCTTGGGTAATCGAAAGCTCGGCAGCGGAGGAAGCGAACCCGGCATAGGAGTACGACTCTATTCACGAAACTTTCTATTCAATGTTAGAGCTAAATTGGCTCCTATGTTCGGTTAATATGTCGATTCGGATGTTGAAAGTGGTTCTTTCGTCAAGGCGAGACTCCAGCCTGCCCCCAGCTCTGTTGTTTACTGGTTCTGCTTTCTTGTCTGCACCATAATTCTGATCCATCTGGTCGTCTGTTGCAGCGGTTTCTTTGACGTTCTTTTCTTTTCAAAGGCTCTGGCAGACTCTTGGTGTTGCCACACTGATCCCCTCGTTCTTCAACGCTGGGCACGCAGTTCCACACTCGAATCTGTCCACTGGGACTAGAACAAAACTAAAGTAGCTCGCCCACCTTTCGGGCCCATCTTTCGCAAGGAATCATAGCTGAATTGCACTGGAGAATTTCCCAGAAATCGGACTCGTTTCTGTGGGTTTAGGACCGAAAAAAAGACTGTCAGAGGGGCACGTTCTGTTTGGTGAAAGATGTTGAGCTTTGGACAATCAGAACCATCAAATCTCTCCATTGTACCCGGAACCCTCACGAATTCCTTCGCTAGGCTCGCTATCTTTTGAAATGAAGATGGATGATAAGAGAATGAGCGCTGTAGCACGCATTGAAGCTAGATTATCTTTAATTCGCTCGCTCAATAGCAAGGTATAATACTAAATAATGGTGCTAGGGGTTAGTGAGACTAGTAGAGACTTGATGGTTGGAAAGTGGGACTGTCTGCGTCCAGTCAGCTGCCCAAGACGATATTACAGAACTATAGAAGTCCGATAGGTTTTCGTGGTGTTGACCAGTTAAGATCTACACCAGATCATTGGTTCAAAATACCAGTCCATAACTAACTCGTGGCGCAACCCCTTTTACCCCATATCGCACGACAGAATCACGATCTTTTATTTTGCGACCATATTACTGTTGCTACATAGGCTAGTACTGTCACTAGCTAGGCTCCTAAGCAACATGTCACACGATAAAGTGCTTGGCGATAGTTAACTTTATGACTATATTAGTGTTACTAGATAGTCTTATTGGTACTAGAGAGACGGATAACAATACTGGTCTGCAAATTTCATGGACATATAGGCGACCAACAAGGAAGCTCATGTTAGATTGACGTCTGCCCGTTGATCCAACACGAGACATGATCTCAAAGGTATCGAAATTGATTTAGATTCGCCATCGTGCTCACAATGACAATGGCCCTTGTTGGAAGGATGCCAAATTCGATGGGAGATCTGTTGAGGAAACCCCTGGCTCTTGAGAGGGTAAAAGCGTGGCACCAGAACAGAGACAAAAGGATGAGATCCAGTACTTTCACGCTCCCCTGCTGGTCGAGCTAAACCAACAATCCGCATCCGTAATCCGGGAGTCGTAGATGTGCGGCGGAGATCCACGAGACTCGAACTCCAAATTCTGTCGCAAATCTTCCAGTTGCTTTCTCTTCGCCGACCACTGAGGCGTCTCACCGCGATCCTAGCTAATTCTTCGTCCGAAAGCCCTGCCACGGTCTCGGCAGAGTATATCTTGCTTACAAACATTGTCGACGAAGGTCTTGAGGGCCACCTGATTCAACTAGTCATGAGTATTTAGAGTAGTGGCACCTGTACCTTGTAGTAAGCTGGTAGTCCTGACAGTGCCTGTACACATGCTTAAACTGGACTCGTTGTTGCAGACCCGCCGGGTTATCAACGGAGTCGTTATCCTGCTCACCATTCAACTCAAGCTTATTGTATTGAACAGGCGTTCCGAGTTCAAAACTTCTAGCTGGGGAAGGGATAATCTCACTCTATTCTGCTGATGACTGACATCCTCACAGAAACGATATTCAACAACGACAGGAAATCACGATAGCCGGTATTGAACTTCTCTGTGACTTGAGACGTGAAATCATGGGGTTGGAACTCTCTGTTTCCCAAAATTATTCTGCCTGTGTATATGTAATTTCAGACTTATAGAGCGACCATTACAATGCGGCTCGAAAGCTCATCCTGATCCAGAATCCTCAATGCAACGAACAACAGAACATAATTGATAATCTTTGCTGATATTAAGTGAGATGAGCCAAAATTAAGTTCAAGATGAACTTTCAAACAAGACAGACGAAAAATCAAAAAAAAAATCTAAGAATCGATAATTTCACGATGATACGATACGGTACAAGTGAGATAGTGGCGATTTTTCTGTTAGTGGAACGAAAATCGTGGAATGGAAGTCACGCTACTGTAGCAACGCCGAGACCGAGTCTATCGGTAATTTCAGCGGTTGGAATGTATGCAGGGTCAGAGGAGACGAGTATTTTTAGTGTTAAAAGAGTGCGATCATTTTACAGTACGGTAAGAGTGATATTTAGAAAAAAAGAACGGAGAGTCTACGGGTCTTAGCTACCGTATCCCTCTGTATTCACTGTGTAACCAGACAGCGAATGTTTGAAGTGCTAGGGTGGGGTGATTCTGTTTGGTTCGTGTTCCCTCCTCTCAGGCTACTCTTCGGCCTTTCTTTTGGTTTTTTGCTAGGGAGGAGAACAAGGGAAATTACTGTACGTAGAATAGCTATGGGCTCGAAAAATCTTTCATAAGTTAATTCATCTTACCGGGGGTCAACCCTGGATTTGTCGATAATGCCACGGTAGTTCCAATACCCGTCGCCTTTGCAGTTACAGGAGCAAGGGCGATAGCTTTGTGAAAGTTCTTGGTGTCGATCCTGCCGGTGTTTATTGTGTCGGCCATTACGCATTACTTCCCATCCTTTGAAAGTCGCCGAGGTAGTCACACAACCTGATCGGCCAATTACCGCCCTGGCGGTACCGCATCGTCCATCATTCGAGACTGAATCGAAAAAGACTTCGTGACTAAAGAGCTTGGCGCGTCCCACACTCTCGGTGGCATCGACATCAAGCCAATGACAGTCTTAGTTGAACCGCATCTTGACACGGAGAAAACCACAAAACGGCACGTGATATGCCTATAGCTTCCCCGCTTTGGACTGAAAGTACGGAGTACCACCCCGCAACGGGTGGGCGAGCGAGGGGTGGCGACGGTGGTGAGTTAGGTCGAGCCTTGTTCCTCGGCAGCCTTCCAAAACTACCTAAAGGTGCTTCTGCCCTATTCCCTCCTCCAAGCGCAAGATCCTACGTTACTTAACGGCCTAGGTTGAGACATGCATGGTGACGACAAGGACGCATAACCATATGGCAAGGCCGAGAAAGCAATATCAGAGCTGCGACCGTTGCCGCCAAGGTCGACGGGCCTGTGATGCGGTGGCAAATGGTGCAAATCCGCTGCAGCGTGGTGCCGCACAGGCGGTGGCCTGCTCAAGCTGCCAGAAATCGAAAAGAAAATGCACATTCAACTGGCTCCAGCAACTCCCGCGTGGATCACTACCGGAAAGGCTGAAACAAAAGTTCTCCAAAGACTACGATTTCGTTCACCACGAACAAGATTTGCAGCCTCTCAGGATGCCGCGTCTGCGTCCACAGCCTGCGAGCCCGTCAGGAGACATGCCCATGGACGCTACAATTCAGCCGGCTTCCCGCCATGAAGATTGCCACCATGCGCAGAATGTGGGCTCCACTGATTTAGCGATTGACAGTGGTTCCCTTCCCTGGACCGGCGATTTGTTGGGTACGGCCGCTCCTACATCCAACTGCGCGCCTCAATCCTTTCATTGGCTGGTGACTAGTCCGCCCGAAATTCCGACTTACGTTAGTGGAGAAGAAGGCTTCCTACTGTCGAAAAGGCTCGACGAGGCAGGGACTGTGATGACCTTTGACACCTGGGAACCGCCATCATCATCATCATCGTCGTCGTCGTCGTCGTCGTCGTCGTCACCATCATCATGGCGCACTCATCTACCAATTTTCGGTTATACATTGTCCACCGAACTTTTTAAGGGCATAGAAGAATACGTGACAACCACCAATGCAGGTCCAGGTCATGCTGCAGAGATCCGAAGCGCGCCTCATGGCTCGTTTGTAGCAGATCAATCGGTTTACCAGCCTGTCCATTACTCTCCAACAGCCCTTTCCACTCCATCGAGGGAAGTACAAGTCAGTAGCCAGGAGTTCCAGCTAGTACAGAGCTACACCAAAGGTCTAATTTCCAGAAAGCTTCTCCAAATATACCTCGAAAGTTTTGAGAACATCCCTTCACTCTACTTTCAAGGATGGAACTGGCGATATAGGCAAGACCACACCCCGCTCCGTGGGGGCTTCAGTTTCTTGCAATTGGCCAAGAATCTCGACAAGATGCTCGACCCGCTTCGCAGGCAACCTCTCAGTCAGCAAGACAGTGATAAAGCTTCAAATGCTTTCACATACGCTATCATGGCGTTTGCCAGCCAATGGCTTCAACCGGACCAAACCAAGTCGGCAGAATTCACGGATCAGTGGGCCATGCACACTGCTGGGATAAAACTTGGAGAATTCCAATCCCCTTTGCAGCAAGAATTGCAGCGCGAGGCTGAGGATGCGCTTCGCAGCTGTCTGGGTCTCACATCGTTTCAAGTGATCCTCGCCCAGCTATTATTCTCATGGTTTCGCAAACCTCGGGTTGCCGACAAGAACCCTTTTGGCACGAGTCCAACTCACCATAAATCCACTTTACCCCGGTCGCCTGGGGCTCACAGTCCTCTTGATCATACCGTACTTGCAGTCCGACAGCTTCTCTCCTGGAGAAGAGACATAGTTGCAACGGCGACCGAAGCGGCCGATTCTATTCCACGGAGAGGGTTCGTGTTACCGAAATCCATTCCTCGGCAAGGCTATCTGGCTTTCAGTGTCATGTTTCGTTTCGGAGTCATGTGCGACACTACAACAGCTGTCATGAAAGACCGGCTTCCGGTCATTCCGGACCAGGAATCCGTCTTTGAGATCGAGGATGTGGAGCCGTCAGGGTATTCCGCTTCGGAGGCGGTGTTCAGTGCAAATCGAGCAGTGAGCATGTGGGATTCTCTGGCTCCCGAATCGGTCTGTAAGTTTGGCATGACAGCTCCACGATGGCCATGGACGGACGAGGTGGCGGCACGAGTGCTGCAGGAGGTCCTCGCACTGAAGAACCTTCTTTGGCGGAGGTTACCTGTCATACAGACCAGTACAGCCTGTGCCTCGGCCCCCTACGACCTCGAAAAACACATTGGGGAAACGTGCCAAATCTACCAATATGTGACGAAGCAGTATGCCGAATTTCTCGAGGATTGTAGGTTTCACCTTGCCGAACTGTCCTTGAAGCTCAAGTCATGGTATCTCATGATATGTAGTCATTGGCATTTGGCTTGCCTGATTCTGGCTCGTCATATCGAACTCATTGATGAGACTGGCCAATCTGAATCCGTTCAGCGCTCGCTGCGCCAATCGTCAGCTTTGGTTTGGGGCCTTCGAAAAGATAACACTTATGCCATATCGAGAGTAGCCAGCGTGGCAATCCTGCCCGACTTTTGCAGCATGAGCTGTGCACATGAGGACAAGTTCTTTTTCTTTGCTGATCAAGGTGCACTGACTACTGAGCCATGGTCGGAGGTACTCTACCAAAGTATCACAAGGTCCTGTGAGATTCTACTCTTTTGGATTGCGTGCATCAAAGAGCCCAGTCTCAATCCTGATCAGCTGGTCTGGCTTAGGACAAACACAAACATTCTGGATTTGATCGAAAATGCATCGGGTTGCATTGAGGCCCTGAAATACTTGGGCGGTCGTTCGGATCACATCATGTGTACCGCCATCTCCATGGATTCGCGCCTCCAAGAATTGAAGATGGACATATCACATCACACGCAGCCTGGCGGCCTCGGATGGCGAAGCGGGGGCCAGGGTGCTACCTATGACTATTCAGTTTTGTACGATCATCTTAGCTATAGTGACCCTTGTTTTGATTCAGACGTCCCAAACTCCTTGAGTGGCGAGGCCAGGCTATGTTACTTGCAGGACATTCAGTCATCCACAGAGTCCTTCTTTTGACCATCTCAAGAATGATGGGTCCTTTCAATCTCTGAGGGCAAAGTGGCGTCACCAGATACTATCCAAATTGCTCAGAGGCTTTTCGTGATCGGGGGGCTCAGTTCTGAATGGTAGCCGTGGCTTTATACTTGGTCATAGGGGATAAGAAGGTATTGAACCATTCACCTTCCGGCTTGCTGCTCTCCAGAATGACGAATTCGGCTTTCTCGTCGACAAAAGGCTGCGCGTGTCTATAGTGCAGATTGAGTACCGAACACTCAACTGATTGACCTACCTTGATGACGCCTGGCGTTCCGGAACTTTTGCCGTCCTGAACTACAGTGCCGTCTTCAGAGATCAACTCGTCGTAGGCCCGGAGAATGGTAGAGTAGGGTGTCAACCAATCGGGGCCCCATCTGGCGCAAGTTTCGTCCGAATAGTGCTGGGTATTGACGTAGTTCGGCATCAGACAGTTCAAAGCGATGCCATCGCTCTTGTATAGGAAGTGAGCGGTGCTGCGGGTCAGCGACAGCACGGCTGCCTTGGTCATGGCGTATTCGACAGCGCACGGGAAGGGGTAGATGGCAGTGCATGACGACATCAGGACTGCTTTAGGCTTATAGTCGCCATTCTTGTCAGCGTGGGCTTTCTTGGATCGCCGCACGTAATGGATAAACCATAACAAGCCGTAGTAGACACCGATCTGGTTGATCTGGGTGGTGAGCATCTCCGGCTTGGTCGGCTTGCTGTCAAGATCACCAACGGTGGTTACGGCCAGCGGTTCCACGCGTACAACTCCTGCGTTTGCGGCAAGAAAGTCCAGGCGTCCGCCACTCCAATCGAAAGCCCTCTGGTACAACTGGGCTTGCGACTCCCATGATCCCACGTCGGCGTGCACAAAGATGTGTCGCTCCGGATTCAGCGTTGATTCGATCTTTCGATATTGCTCCGGCCTTACGTCCGCTACCACGACTTTCCAATCCGGCTTGGAGAGCAGATGCTGAGTTAGGGCCAAGCCCATGCCACTACAAGCACCTGTAAGGCTGGTCATCAAGCTGTCGAACCATCATGCAAAGAAGAGAGAGGCAAGCTTCTTACCTGTCACGATGGCGGTTTTCAAATGGGGTTCCATGGTGTGTCTCACTTGGATTTGGATTGTGTTCTGCAGATGGCGTTGTAGACTCCCTGCCACGCTTGTAGATATCTAGCTTCCCTTTCATTTATGTTCAAGTTAAGCATAAAGCCGATACGGGTGCAAGTACGAGATAATTTCCAGTGCTGAGGACTATCTAACATACTAGGACTTCTGCAGGCCGTAGAAGTATGACTAACTTCTCCGTACGATACGAACAAAACCCTGCTCTTTGACGGACTGCTCACAACCCCAGTGAAGCTGGAGAACTCATCTATCCTATCTCGACAGAGTGCGGTTCCGCGGCAACCGTAGTCTGGTTGGGATATGAAACCCACAGTGCGGAGGCGAGTTAGAGGCGGGAAAAAGGGGGCACGGCAAAAGGCACACGGGGCCATCACCAGCCACTAACCAATATTCGTTAGTTGGTCTGATTAGCAGTTCATAGAAGTCCACTTGTGGATGTGGAGCATGTAGACATCCATGAGTCCTCTTGCGGTTCCCCTCAAGCGGTGATTGGCAAAAGGTGTATTGAGCCCGGACTCGGACGTGTTCATCACCTTGTCCCCGTCAAAGAATGTCAATCATCAGCATGCCTCCACCCCATGGCATTTACCTCGGCGGTATGCCGCGGAGCGTGGTCTCGCTGGTGATGCTCTCGGTGACTTGATGAATCCATTCTGCAAAAAAGACACGTAAGTAGAGAACGATAGCGACGGCCCAAAACACAAGAATATACTGTGGCGAACTACTTCCCCTAAACCTTCCAGCCTTCCAACCACAGTGTCATTGGCCAAGGTTGTGACTTGATCCTGGAAACACAGGCGCGGGTTCGACACTTCGAAGTGCCATCTCAACTTTCGCAAATACTCTCTCCGCCAGTGGACGCGTCTGGCATTACTTGCTCTGAAAGATGGCGAACCTGGACTCCAATCAAGGTGCTCTGGCATGGCTTCCGAGAGCCGGTGTTCCGGCTTTGAACTGTCCGCCGGGAACAAAGATGCATTTACTGGATTTGGGACGACTGGAGGCTGATGAAGGATGGTGAGTAAGCCCAATGCTCATATTTCCTTCTGCTGGTGAGAAGTGAGCATTATGAATGATTGAAAATCGCTGTTGTGGGTCGTAGGTTTTTCCGAGGAGGCAATACCAGTACTTTAAGCAAGAAAAATCCCGAGAATAAGAGACGCACCATGATATGTGTCGCGGCCTTGATCGAATATCCTGGATTGGGACTCATATTGTTCGAAACTGGATGCGCTGAAGATGTCGATTCTGTAAGTTGAGTCTTGACCACAACACCCGACAGCCCATCTCCACCACCTGTCCATCTTACGACCTTCAGCTTTTTAACGCGACCTTGCTCTGATCTTTGTTGTAGGAATGGGGCGCTCCTCTGACCGACGTGTTCCCACGCGTCGAGTATCGGGAATCACAAAAATTACCGGCAGCGATTCGAGCGACGGGCAACGATATACGAGACGTCCGAGCAATCATCATGGGACATCTTCACCTAGACCATGCGGGAGGTCTGGAACATTTTGTAGGGACTGATGTGCCCATCTATGTGCACGAGGAGGAATTCAAACACGCCTGCTGGGCAGTTGGCACCGGGGCTGATCGAGGCGTTTACCAACATCATTATATTAGCCTCGACAAGCTGAATTGGAGCACTTTCACCGATCCCCATCTGGATTTATTCCAGGGCATCACTCTCCACCACAGTCCAGGCCACACGCCGGGGTTGGTGATAATGCAGGTCAACCTGGAGAATTCGGGCACCTTCATCTGGACCACGGACCAGTTCCACGCGGCGGAAAACTACACGGAAAGCCATCCTCAGGGCTGGCTGGCTCGAGATCATACGGCGTGGATCAAGAGTTCGGCCATGACTAAGAGGCTGCAACGCCTGTTCAACGCCCAATTGATCTTTGGGCATGACCTGGAGGTGGCGGAGAAGCATTTCGGCCAGGTCTACCAGTGAGCGACGGAACTCGTATTCGTTTCACCCATACAAGAGGCATACTCCGCTGCCTTCTGAACATATGAGGTTATCTTGGGTATAGGTACTTGTCAGGGAACTCCCACACCGTTTGTCGTTCAGGTTCGCATGCGTTTCTGCGGTTAGATATGCCTCGGAACCTCGGAGTCCTAACTCGAGTTATGTAGTTAGCCAACTCACAAGATGGCTGGCTGTCAAGCCGTGTTTTATGCTTTCCTCACTGTAGCAGCAAGCTAAATAGCAACTACGTAGATTTGAAATAACTAACTGAGAAGACTATTAGGACACCGTCCTCGGGATTGGGGCACTCCATGGAAAAGTCAGCCGTACTACGCTTTACGACGTCTCCATAGTGGGAGGTAGTGAGAGTGGAGCGCTCTTCACTTGCCACCCGACGGTTTTCCTAGACCCTTGTTCTAGGCATGACCAATTCTTCCGAACATTTTCCTTCCCCGGGTTTGAAAGAGCCAACCTCCTCTCCCTCCGTCACCTTTTCTTCCAGCTCCAACCTAAGATCTTGGGGCCGAAACGTGGAATCACCCATCCCACGATGACAGACAGCAGCAAGGCCAACTTACATGATCAAACCGAGCCGCCAAAGTCACTGTCTGCCTCTCAATCTGCCGTTGCGAGGACAAGAACGGCATGCAAACATTGCAATGCACGTCGTGTCAAGTGTGATGTGATGCAGCAAAAGCCATGCTGGCAGTGCCGGACACGAAACGTCCCTTGTGAACTGATCAGTTCAAAGCGTGGAAAGTAAGTGGTGATCATCAAGCTGGCTATAGATACTATAGGCCTCACACAGCTGCAGGTACGTCCGAGGATCCAACCCCAAAGACAAGACCGACTCAGCGTCGAGCCGAACAAGCAACGTGAAAAAGACACAGTACACCGCGCGCTCAACCGTGTTCTCCAGAGGGGGAACAGATGCCGCGGCGCCGTCAGTCTCTGTGTCAGGCACTGTTGCAGAGCCGATACTGTTCAGTCCCCGAGCGAATGAAGGTCAAGTCCAGGACAACCACACCGTGACCACGACCACAACCACAACCACCACAAATGAGAAAGAAACCCCAGGACAAGTTGATGGTCCAGAAATGCTCTTTGCTCGGATGACAGAGCCGGAACTACTTGCCCAAAATGCTAACTCTGTTCCGGACCATGCTCGTATGTTGTTCTTTGGCGAAGCGTTACCCATGGGCTTCATCATCAACACCATCTGCAGTCTTGATGGGAGACGACCGATTGTCCGACTACACCACCCTATCCCTGCTAAAGTCGGGGAATTCCCGATCTCCCACCTCAATCAGGATGACATCGAAAGGCTGAGAGCTGTGGGCGCGCTGGATCTCCCCGAGAAGGAGATCCGTGACGAATTAATCCGGAACTTTTTCAAATACATTTATCCTGGATTTCCAGTCCTCGATCGAACCGGTTTTGCCGCACAGTACCAAAAAGGTCAAGCATCACTGTTGCTTCTTCAAACTCTGTTGTTTCTTGCGACAACGGTGTGCGACGAATCAGTTCTTGCGAGAGCAGGGTTGCCCGATCGACTTCGTGCCCGGCAAACGTTCTACAAACGAGCCAAAGCATTGTATGATGCCGATTACGAGCAGGATCAAGTCACTTTGACGTCTGTCCTCTTCTTGCTCTCCTTTTGGTGGGCATGCCCGGAAGACCAAAAAGATTCTTGGTTCTGGCTCGGCGCCGCCATCAGCCTTGCGCAAGGCCTAGGATTGCACCGCACGTAGGCTTGTTCTAGTCCGAGACATCTGTCATAGCAGACCCTTGGTTAACCGCCATCACAGAACCGCACTCTCAAACCTCAGCTCGAAACGGAGATCCTTGTGGAGGAGGATATGGTGGTCAATCTATGTCAGCGAGAATCTCATCATACCTTGCCCCACCCGCGCACATGATTCAATGTATTTCACGATAGTGGCCACAAACTGATCCATCTCAGACACGGGATCGACATATAGCCTCTTCATTAGGACGACCTTCACGAATTCGCGACGAAGATTGTGACGTCAAAATGCTGACTGAGGAGGACTTCCGAGATCAACATCCATCAAGCATACAGGCAGAGTTGGTCGGCACACAGGAAGCATACCACGTCTCATATTTTGTCGAACTCGTCCGTCTGGCATTTCTACGTACGTTAGCTCTCCTTTCAACGCATATGGGAAAGCTGATTGCAGTTGAGTGGGTCGGGTCCTATCGATCGGATATACACCTGGGCGTGCGTGGGATGATGAAGCATCCAAGCTTCTTGCTGCTGATTTTCAACAATGGCAGTGTGCCCTTCCACTGGACATGTTTCAAAGACCGTTCAAGGAGTCCACAGAACCAGGTTTCTGGGCCTGCATGTTACACTTGAGCTATCAGTACGTGTTGCTGTACATCTTGTGGCCTCCGGCTAATCCATAAGCAGCAATGCTCTCATTCTGTTCTGCAGACCACCCACCATCGAAAGTGTAACTCGGCAAGACTCTGAGCGAGAAATAACGGTACGAAGCAGCACCGATGCCGTTACTCGCCTTGCAGAAGACCTGCTGAGTTCTGGCACTCTCCGATATGCTCAAGTACATATGTGAGTTACCATTCAAGATCTGAGTTCAAGGTTGAGGGGATTGACACGAAGATGGTTTTCAGAATCCCGACCTTGTTTGGTGCACTTTCAATCCACTCCCTGGTAATTCGTTGTCGACAGCCAGTGAGCAGTCAGCTGGCAGAAAATCGAGCTAGGCAGTGCATGCTGGCGCTGAGCGAGCTCTCGAAATTGTGGCCCGCAGCTGGTTGGATCCTGCGAGTCTTTGACAAGGTTCTTCGCCGGTTGACCGGTCGCGATCGGTGCTTTGAGTGTAGTCCGCCAGGTGGAAAGCCATACTGTAGCCGGCCGCAGTCTAGCGGCCCGATTGCTCGGCTACCAGATCAAGCGACTCTACGGTCCGGCGAGAGCACATCTGATATTGCCAGTAATGGTTTGGACAGTCTACTGAGCCCGACGCTGCATAGTTTGCGTGCTTCGATGGGCGCCACGGAGTCGCAGACAGTAGATTCCCACGGGGGAATCATGCCTGAGGCTTGTTGGGCGGAGGAACTGGATTTCGATGCTTTCGAAAACATATTCCAAGACTCCTTAACTGATGCATTTGCACCGTATGGGTACTGGGCTGGATTGGCATGTCACCAACCAGTATCGGACTCAACACATCCTTGAATAATGACTACTTTTTCTTTTGGTGACTGGACTTCACTGCTTTCCTTCATGACTTGCTCAAGTCGACTGTTCGATGTCTCTGGAAATCAACTATCACTTAGCTTGCTGAAGAGGAGGGTAAAAAAACAAAATTGTCGCCGATCAAAGGCGCAGCTGAAACTACTCCTTTTAAACACGGGTATCTGACCGTCAGTGGTGCTGTCACTTGATTTATTCTCGAAGCAACAAGCTCCAGCCTTTGCTAGGAAAGGAGGGGCTCATTGTTCCGGCTATTTCAGGACGCGGACCTGTCTCTTTCCATGCTTCGATCCTGACCAGGTAGGCATTGGAAATGAGGTCGTCGGTGTCTCACCGATTGCAGGACTCATCTTACCATCACCGAGAACATAGCTGGGGTTAGGTGCGCACCACTTGCTGCTACAGACCTCCGATGCGAGGTCTCGGACGGCCTCATGCCTAAATGTTATCTAGCCATTCTCGTTCCTAGTCCATCATTGGATGCGAGCAAAAAGTTGTCATTTCTGTCACATTGCCATATCGCCGACTTGTCAAAGACCTACAGTAGGTTCTGGGTTCACCCTGATACTGTCTAGCTCCGGACGACTGGCCCAAGGGACCCACAACCGCCACCTAATTTGCAATGTCGAATCAATGGCTGAGCGGAAGCGAGGAACCAATAGCCGCCTGATTTCCGGGCCCGCCGTTCCCGCCCTCATAGGGGGTCCCTGGGATGGGGACATCTGAGTCGGCTATCAGCTGATATTCTTTTTGGTCAGTGAAACGATTGAGGCTGATCGGGAACATCAGTGTAGGTAACTAGCCTGCGGCGCCGCTCGAGGGGGATGAATTGTGGTTGTTGTTCCTTGAACCAAGTCTTCGAATGTGTCTTCCATCGGGGACTATCCATCGGATCAACAGTTTATAAGCCTACGAAATGGCGCTCTTCTGAGTGGAGTTTTAGTCCCTGCAAAAGTCCCTGTTTCACCATCTCACCTCATCACTTCCTTTGGTTCATTCAAGAAGCGACTCTGTGAAGCAAGTCGCAATGGCCTTGCCCTCGCAGCTTGATATCCTAGTGATTGGAGCCGGCTTTGGCGGCCTTTGTGCTCTGAAGCACCTAAGAGATGAAGGCTACACAATCAAAGTCATTGATACTGCTAGCGATGTGGGTGGAACGTGGTACTGGAATCGCTACCCCGGCGCTATGAGTGACTCGAAGTCCGTCATATATCGGTTTTCTTGGGACAAAGACGATCTCCGGAACTACCCCTGGTCCGACCACTACCTCAAGCAGACGGAGATCCTCCAATACTTTCAGCACGTCGCGACAAAACACGACCTATATAAGGACATTCAGTTCCAGACCGAACTCACTTCGGCTGTTTATAACGGAGAAACTGGACGATGGAATGTTAGTCTGAGTACCGGAGAGACCATCGATGCTCGATACCTCGTTACAGCATTGGGAGTCCTCTCTGCCCCGAATTATCCTAAGATACCAGGCTTGGAGACTTTCAATGGCCGGATAGTCCATACTTCTCGTTGGCCAGCCGACTTAGATCTCTCTCAAACGCGTGTGGGTGTCATTGGCAACGGTTCGACCGGCGTTCAGGTCATCACCGGTCTTGCAGGCCACACCAAGTCCCTGGTCTCCTTTCAGCGCCATCCCCAATATAGTGTGCCAAGTGGAGATGGACCAGTTTCCTCCGGATATCGGCAGTGGGTCAATGACAACTACGACGCAATCTTTTCCAGAGCCAAGCAGTCCTACGTAGGGATGGAACTGTTTGAGTCGAACCGGCCATATGACTCAGTCCCGCCCGAAGAAGCGGAAAAAATATTCGAGCACTTGTGGCAGCGAGGCAATGGCTTCAGTTTCTACTACGGTGGATTTAACGATATTGGTTTCAATAAGGTGGCTAACGAGCACGCGTGCAACTTCATCCGGAGTAAGATCGACTCGATCGTGCAGGATCCAGAAAAGGCGCGCAAGCTCAAACCGAACGAGCTGCATGTACGTCGACCTATCTGCGACAATGGTTATTACTATGCATTTAACAAGCCCGGCGTGGAAATTGTGCATATTGGAGAGACGCCCATTGTCGCAGTTCGAAAGAATGGTATTGAAACCACCGCCGGCTTCCACGAGCTCGATGTCATTGTCTTCGCGACAGGGTTCGACGCTGTTGATGGAAACTACAACCGCATTCGCATCCGTGGCCGAGCAGGTAAGAGCTTGCAGGAATATTGGGATGCCCGCGAACGGGGCCCATCCGCTTACCTCGGAGCATCTGTGCCTGAGTTCCCCAACCTTTTGATGATCGGCGGGCCGCTGGGTCCCTTTGCCAATTATCCTCCGGTGGTCGAGACTTATACTGAGCTGATCTCTGGTTTACTGGCGGAAGCAGAGAGGGCTCGCCGTTTACCGGGCTCCAGACCTGGAAGCGAAGGCACCATCATCGAAGCAACGAAGCAAGCCGAGGATGAATGGACTATCGCTGCTGAGAACGTCATCGACAGCAGTCTGTTCAAGGAGGCCAATTCGTGGCTCTTCGGGAACAACGTAGAGGGCAAGAAGCGAGCCATTCGTTTCCACTTTGGAGGCATGGGCCACTTTTACAATACTGTCCATCGCGTCATTAATGAAGGTTTTGCAGGCTTTCAGCCTTTTTTGCAGAACAAATCAACTACAGGGCACGGAGCCGATGTCAAGGCAATCAAGACGCACGTCGAGGATGCCGAGGTCAACGGCATTTCCAACACAAAGGTAGACATCGTAGCCTAAGAGTCGATGTAGACAAACGCCTGGCCATTCACTGCCGGTTAGCGTGAGGAGGGCTGCCTGCGGGCTCCCGTGCAAAATGGAATATGGTCCGAGAACGGTCACAACTTTCCACAATTCTGTGTCATCTTGATGGCGATGACCGATGGCTTCAACAAACACAGTGCAGAACTTGACTGAGAAATCAAGGTTGATGAGTTGTCATGGATTCGTTCTAGATAGGCATGATGCGGAGCATGTCCCGAGCCTCTACCCCTCCAGTCATCTTGGAGGGAAGCAGAACCACCTAGCAGAAGGCATACATATGGGGAAAGAATAAATGATGTGACCGTGTTGTTTATCATATCTGATGCCCTATAGCAATACTTTCACCAATGATATTATAACAAGAATAAAGGGGGAAGCACCAGGTGCACAGGGCTGTCATCAATCAGGCAAAATGAGTCGAGGGCCGAGAGCGGATTGTAGAACACTTCTTCCTTCCCTGTAACACTTGTTCGTCCTCTCCAGGTCTCTCTGGACACTCCTCGGAATGCTCTGTTGGTCGGGGGCAGCGCATGGCGCAGGACTCATCAAGAGCACCCTGACTACTCGCCTAGAACACACTTGATCGTGCGCTGGAGTGCGGGCTGTACTGGGAATCCGTAGGGAACACTGTAAACTTGACTGAAATCTGCTGTCTCATTGCATCACTCTGTACGCAACTCATATATCTTCATACCGACTATGCACACTTCTCTGTGCGCATACCTACGCATGAGTACGTCTCTGATTGCCTGAATGTCTAGAAGAAAAGAAAAACACATGCCTAGGCTTCCTGACTTAGCCTTCCACGCTTGCTTGGCCCTAGGCCCACTGCAACAGAGACCAGCCCCTGAAGAGGGAGCTCACACATCCTAACCTACTACAATATCTATAACAATTCCAAAAATTTCCCCAGATTGTAGTTCTAATTCTCAATGTCCAGCCCTTTCTCTTCGTCTCTCTTGGTTATGCAGTTGACCACATACTGGTACAACTTTCTTTTCGCTCTCATCAAGCTTGAGACTATACCACCTTGAGATCATATCCTCTTGAAGAAGATATTGAGGGAGGCAATTCAACGGAGTGACCAACGAATCTTGCCCGGGTTGGGCCGTTTTGGGAGGGGGCGGGGGTGGTGCGGGTTTGACGATAATGGCCGATTAGGTTTCACCTCGGCTGGTAGAAGTGACCTTGTATCGGGTGAGTCGTGAAGGGTCTCGGGATATCATAAAATCATAAACCCGCGGCGATATAATATTGCTTCCCAAAAAGGTGGGAGGTGGGGGCAGGTCTCTGGAAAATGGGGAGGGAAACGCTAATTGAATAGCACCCTGAACCGATTGCATTACCGTCTAGATCAGAATTCCAATAATCCGCACTCTGTACAGGTCTGTGGATTGCCCGAAATGCTTCTGACCCACTTATGTCCTCGCACTCCGCGATCGGGGCTCCGGGTCCTCAGGATTTGGCTTCATGCATCGAGCCCGGGGTCGTGAGACTGTTGATATAAGTCAAGAGTCGTATATAACGACGCTCATCAGACTCCAGCTGTTGGTGTCTGCGTTCAAGGTTTGCAAACTCAGCACGTTCGCCGTTTGCGTCTCACTTTTGTTCAAAAGCTCCGTAGTGAGGGAACTTATCAATCAATCGACCAGCTCGTCAGTCAGTCGCTCACGATGGCAGAGATTCAGCCCTCCCGGGGTCATCCGCATCAAGGACTCACCGGTCTCCAAAAGCTCGAACTCGCCCACGCTCAGCATGGTGAGTGTGCGCTTAGAACCGCGTGGGGTTCCACATTCACGGCCATTTATCTCGCTATCCTTCAGAACAAGCTTCCTCACTATATACCTGCATTTGTTCCCTTAGCTGCCACCGCCGCCAGGTTGCCAAGAAGGCTTAGTTGGTCTGCCTCCATACGACTTATGCCGATCAGCTGGTGACAAGTAACCACTTGCTCTGTCGAGTATACCCGCAAAGGTGTGGGCGTTTGTATATGTGTTCGTGGGAGCGTCAGCGCCTTTTGAGCGGGATCCTATACTCATCTCCATTTTGTGTCGTGTAAGATTGTAGATGCAGACCTCAAACATAATTGATGCATGTAGGAAGAATGTTGTTGCAAAATACTGGAAGCTATGCTCTGTAGTCTCTTGTCCACTCGCATTTCGTGCAGTTCCTCGGTATTTGACGACTAGCCGGCTTTAGAAATGGACCAGGTCATCCAGACGGTTACCGTTTGAGGGTGTGCGTGAGATCCCGAGGCGATCTAAGCAAACACGTAAGAGAAGAAGCCGCAAGATTGATCTGGATTTTTCCCAGAAAGCACCTCGCCTTCTTTGATTTTGGGGCAGGACTCTGCTAAAGTACTTATGAATGACATTTCTCCAGGTTTTCACCACGCACCACCCACCCACCCAACGTGATCGCAAACCTTTCCCCAACTTCGAGAACTCAGCGGCAGACTTGGTCACCAATCGATTGAAAGTTCCACCATGGAGTTTAAATCACTTAGGGGCAAGATTATTGGGGTGACTGGCGGCGCCTCGGGCATTGGTCTGGCGATTGTGCGAAAACTCCTGGCGGTGGAAGCCAAGGTTGCCGTCGCCGACCTGTCTCCCCAACCGGAAGAATTGGCCAACAATCCTAACGTCATCTACACGAAGGTGAACGTGACTTCACGACAAGAAGTCCACAGCTGGGTCGAGAAGATCGTTGAGAAATTTGGTCGTCTGGACGGCATGTGCGCCAACGCCGGCATCTGTCCGGTGGAAAATGGCGTTGCTAGCGATGATGTCTACCGTAGGATCATCGAGGTCTGCGTTACTGGGGTATGGAACACGGGCACCGAGGCATATCGCCAATTCCAGCGACAGAAAGGTGGCGGTGTCCTGGTCAACACAGCCAGCGCTGCGGGCTTAAAGGGCTACCGAAATATGGCCGTTTACTCAACAGCCAAACATGCCGTTGTGGGTTTCACGAGATGTTGGTCGTTGGATTGGGCCCCCGAAGGCATTCGCGTGAATGCAATTGCTCCAGGTGAGAGATTCAAAACTGCGCGTTGAACAGCCGTTTCATCATCGGTCGATGTCTCACATATTGTTCACAATTAACGCCGCAGATCCCCAGGATTTACCGAATCTCCCATGACTGACGCCGTTATCAAAGACTTTCCACAAGTCGCGGAACATATGATCGCCGCCATCCCCTTAGGAAGAATGGGTAAGGCAGAAGAGCTTGCAGATAGTGCCTTGTTCCTGCTGGGCGACTCGGCTTCCAACATCACGGGTTCTATTCTCGTCTGTGATGGCGGTATGCTCAACTCGTGAGCTTGGGTCTTGGTCGCTGCCTCTGGTACAACAGTTTCTGAAGTAATCTACTGTAAGTGCAGGCATCAGTTCCTCCCAGAGAAGCGCGGTACTCGGTTTGTTGTTTGATGCATCGTGTGCATTGGAAATGCGCGCATGATGCGTGGCTGGCTGGCTGGGATCTCGATTTATCGTCCAGAAATGACCAATACAATTTTCGGCAACCCTTTCTTTTATCTGTACGTCCGCCGATCATCCCAAGGCGAAACTGCGCCGTCAAACGTAAAGGGGAATCCCTCCCAAGGTGACCGTATTGTGGTCCCGGAAACCCTTCCGTGATGAGTTTGCTCGCTCGCTTCCCCCGTTCCCGCCGTACCGAGTCACTTGCAGCAGATGGCTATCTCCCGGAAGCTTACGTGGACAGCACCTTGTTCTATCTAATCTATATTGAATGAACGTTGAAATGAAACTATCTCAACTATTTCAGCCTTCCAGTTCTCCAGCATTCCTTATTACTTTCTTCAGAAAGGCTGGTAATCGAGAATTGCACTTGACCGTATTAGCGGCCTCGTACCACGTTTCGCGGATCACCTCAGACTTCGTCGTTGAGATGATATCGCCGGACTAGGCACCAAAACACAAACAATCCAGTTAGCACCTGTAACGACTAGCAGGAAAAGGGCGTTTTGGAGGGTAGGTGCCGTCAGATATACTCACGAGGCCAGCACCAATGAAGCTAGATGTGCCCATATGAAAAGTTCATAAGAAACCCGACGAAAAATGGGGATAGAAAGGAAAATAATGAACGACAGTGATGATGCCCCCTATACCGAGGCATAAATGTTTCTATGGCGTAGCTGAGGAATCCATCTTACTAAGACCGCAGATAAGTCCGGGACACGGTCCAAATCAAGAGATGACCGTGTTACAACAGGTACCCTGGAAGCTCACGAGCAGAACCGCCATGAGACCAACCGACCAATAGATGCGCCGAATCGTACAGAGATTCGCACCTGAAAGAGTAGCTAGGGTGTCGAGGTGGGACCCCGCAAACACAACCCATCCAGTCTTCCTCTTTCAAGCTACTTCTCCGCCTCGTTCATCTCCTTGATCGCTGTAACCAACTCATGAGAATCTACGAAGACCTCATAAAATTCTGCCTGCAGATCTTTTCCATCTCCCGGATCCGCGAACTTGATGGCAGAAGCAAAATCGAAATCAATCTTCCGGCCATTTCGCAGCTTATACCACAGCGACCCCTTAACTATAACCTCCTTCTTTCCCTTCTCAGCTCCGCCCGCGAGAACATAAAACTTTACCAAAGTGTGCTCAAGGTCCACGATGGGCCCGTTGATGGGATGGATCATGGCGTCGCGAAAAGCGCGGATTGCTTCCCGGCCTGTGGTCGTTGTACCGTAGACTAATTGACCTTCCGGTGCGAAGAGATTGAGATAATCATGACTGGAATTGGGATCGTCCCAGGAGCGGAAGAAGGCAGGAAGCTGCTTGTCGAGTGGAGATGGAATAGAACATTGGTTGGCGAAGGTGTAGTTGTTTCTGGAGCTCATCGTGTTGTGTTGTTCGTCAGTCCTAAACAATATGCAAGTAGTCTTTTGTGTTATGGTATATCTGTAACTTGACTCCCAGCTCTATATCTGCGACACGTCCTCTATATATATCGGCAGGCATACGGTTCAGCCTCCAAATATGGGTTAGATATGCGAGTATGGTATCATACCCGCCGTCGGGACGGTATATTATAAATCGCCCCACAAGGACTGTGTCGGGGGCCCCGAAGGCAATCCCTCGGACCTCGCTTTTTAATGCATCAGCTTGAGTACGTCCTACTCAAGAACCCCTACTGGCCTCGCTCAAACTAGTGTTTACTAGCCTTCTGACTATCAGCACAACCTCCCCCCTCAAAATTGTCAAATAGCAAATGTCAAGCACACCCTAGCCGAACTGACCCATCACTGCTCTATTCTTATCGTTAGAATGAGACCCTTGCGTGCCCAGCAGAACGCAAGGCCGGTTACTAGCCGTGCAAGGCTCTCCTTCATAGCTGCCTTTGAGAGAACAAACGGGTCCTTCAATCAGGATATCATTATTTATTAACGCAGTCGGCATAAAATAAATCGGGATAGCTAGGTTCACCCGATAATCTATGGGAGGAGCGATAAACAGAAGAATCTAATCCTACCCTGGCTTCCTTGTAGATATATGATAAAGTGAGGGTAGCCGACTTCGTAAGAAAAAATATAATTATAGGCTAGTTGTCGGTTCTTTGTCACCTTATCTACCTAAATCTACCCTGCCGTCTAAATCACAGCGAACGCGCCAATATAATACCTCGGCAGTAAAGCACTTTGACTCGATATGGTCATGGTGATACGGAACTGCAAGGAAGAATAGCGAAGCTTAATCTAGACTCATACGATTTAGAGAAAGCGCGCTTTTACGAATATAACGTTAATATCACGGGACGCTTGTACAAACTCATTTGTCGGCCGATCTGAGCCTTCTTCTTATTCCCCTTCCCTGCAGAAGTACGCTTGTCAAAATTCTCCCGAATCGTTTGGCTCGACCTCAGATTTACCGAACCTTCAATAAGCAATGATGAACCAAACATGTCTTCCGCTTAGACCCGGCTAGATAGTGAGAATGAATTGTGCTCTTTGACCAAAAAATCCTTATTACCACGACGTGACTTCAAGAACAACAAGAGACAGGAACACAAATTTTGGGGTACTTTTCAATCAGTATATTCACAACACTGTCGAAAGCTCCAGTAAGATAAAAAGAATACCGCATTCCTGATACAAATGCTCAAGGATCTAATGCACACATCTCTTTGGCGGTGAATCTCTCTTGCCTGCTCGGATTGACTTCTACTCGAGACACACAAGTCGAAGAAGTTTTCGGCGACGATGTACTATGTCCAAACCAAGGTCCTCCCAATACTGCATATCCTGGGAACGTACCATGAGATAGACCGAGAGAATATGGGTCCTTTGAAGGGATGGCGATCATGGCCCAGAGATGAACTTCTCTGAAATCGATAGACAGTTGCAACTCTCCCGGCAGTCATTAAGCTTTATGACGCCCTCGTCACCCTCACAGGGGTCTCCACTCCGTATGAGTAATTTGCAGGCCGCTGAAGGGATGAAAGCGACATTGGAGTGGGACAACCAAATAAACCTGTCATCTATTATAATTCTATCTGACCTTTCTTGTATGAAACCGACTGAATCGAGAAAACTATCCGAACAAGAAATAGGTGAAGGATCATCAGGGTCAGATCGTGGACCCAGGGATTCGATCGTGCAGACAAAGGAGCTATCGGCCCTTACTACGCCTGGACCGTTCCCACTACCGCATGTCACTAGCCTTGAACAATCAGGTGACTCTGATCATGTCCCTAACTGGGAAGTTGAGCAGTCGGAGTATTTGTCAGTGAAGTGGGGCAAAGAGGAAATTTACTATCACAGGAGAAATTATTGTATCAACGGAGGTCAACTTTGCGAGGGCAATTGGCAAGAGAAGAGGGAGATCAATGTCCTGATAGCCAGGTGGATTTCTGAATATGAATTTGTGTCAGAAAATTCCCCCTGGGACGGAGTCTATATCAGTTATGTCACTGGTCTGCAAATCTGCCAACTCTATGGTTCAAGAGAGCTTAGCGAGTTCCCTGAGGGTCTACGCTGACACAAGAAAAGATACCACTCGAACCGGAAATCTCTGTCATCACATGCGGTAGAATCCCTATTTCGGTCAGAAATGATGTTTTCATCAATGTGACCCATATCCTAAAACGATTCGTACAAATTGACCGCTATACACTAAATCGGATAGTTCAATCAAGGAAGGAAATGCGGTTGAAGGTGTTGAACGGAGGTGCTGCAAGGCACCAAGGCGCGTTTGCGGAATTACGAGACGCACACACACACACACACACACACACACATATATATATATCCGGAACCGACACTCCCTCCTTACCAAGTTCCATGAGCTTACTCTTCCTCAGGCCCTCTTCCAGAGATTCACTCAGTTGTATTTTGCACCAAGAAGCTCGGTACTTGTACACTGAGAGTCTCTCTCTGTTCCCGAACTGCAAACTTAGCAACTTCGCATGCATTCTAGCTTGAATGCCGAGAAGAAGTCGGTCTCCAGATCAACGGGGAACTTTAACGGGAAATAAATACTCCAGAGAGAATGCCTGGAGCTGGTTTTAAGCGGGTCCAATCTTCTTCGAAGAGTCCGATGGACATGATACCATTAGATCGAAGAACTATGTAAGTCTATCCATCAATATCTTACAGGCTATTATAATCATCTACTAGCTAGGTACGATCGGAATCAGCAGCGTCCTTAGCAAAGAAGAGCCGTCGCTCCCTCGGTCGCTCCCTCACCAGTCCTGGATAGGTAGTAGGTTCCCAGGACAGATACTGCAGACAATGATCAACGCATGCCGGTAACGTTGTGAATCATGCCCTTTTGGCGGACACTACTGACACTGTCGACGTCTGAAAACCACATGCATAGGGCCGGGATTGGACTGGAAACGCTCAAAGATTTCCAATTCCCTTGTGGGATCCTCAAGCTGCATGTCATACCTCCAGACTAGAGTGGCGATCAAGATCTGAAGTTCAACAATGGCGATGTGCCTACCCAGACAAGCCCGAGGGCCGGTGCTGAAAGGGATGGTGTAGGCTTTCAGATCCTGAAGCTGGGATGGATCTAGCCACCGGTCCGGGACGAATGCCTCTGCGTCTGGGAATATGCCGTGCCGGTGGACGGAGAAGGGTGGCACAGCGACCACAGTGCCCTTTCGCAGGTGATGGCCAAGAACCGTCGCGCCCTCAGGAGCCGTCACGACTCGCTGAAGCGGGTACGCGATGGGCGGCCGCAACCTCAAGCTCTCGTCGATGCATGCCCGGAGATATGGAAGGTCCCGGACAGAAGCGTGTGGTAAGATTCCGTCATCACCGTCGTGAACCAATTGGTCGATTTCACGCCGCAAGGTCGAGAGACACTGCGGGTTTGTGAGAAGATAATAAAGCGTGTTTGTGAGACTTGTGCAAGTCAGTACAATGAGAGCCTCTAACAAGCGGTAAAATCCTTGGGCTTACGCAGCGGCCGTCGTGTCTGATCCGGCATTCAGAAAGACCACCGACTCGGCGACCAGCTCAGCACGCGAAATGTCTCTCTTCTCTCCTCCCTTAGTCGACAGGATACCACTCATAAAGTCCCTCGAGCTTCGACCAGGCTCTCCAATATCAAGCCGCTGTAACAGTCAGCATCTCTCTTCGCAATCGGAATAGGCGGAACGAGGTACGTCACCTTTTGGAGCTGATACCTGGCGATATTGGTAAAGTCGTCGGCGTCCTTGGGATTGGGGAGTATGTAGGCAAAGTTGGCGCACGAAAGGACTAATCTCCAGGTCAGAACAGTGGCAGTAGACAGAAACTGTGCCAGAGTCACGGAGAAACGAGTTCCACGGTGCAGCGTATCAATGGTTGACTTGACACTGTAGACATGATCGTCCGCCGTCACAGCCATGAATCTGTCGTGGCCTTGTTCTAGGAAGCCCAGAGGTGATCCGTAGGCCATGTCTCCGATCACATCCAAGGTGAAGTAGTTTAACCTATACAAATCTCAGACCAGAAAACTTACCAAATTGGCACTGGTGCTATCTTACCAAAGACGGATATTCATCGGGCCCAGGGCATCGTCGATCCGGTGGAGCAGCCTCTGGAAGTTCTCCCGGATGACAGGCTCCATATCGACGACAGTCTTGTGGGCGAAGGAATTCGCAAGGTACCTTCGCTTACGCGAGTGTTCGTCATGGTTGCGGGAGGTGACGATGTCGTGCAAGCCTCCAGCTGAGAGCTGACAGTTGGATAACTTAGATACATTTTTCTTCTTACGGGGAGCAAGGATATGATGTGCCAAGCTTACATTGTCGTAAAACACGTCTTTCTCGAACTTTCGAGCCTGCAGATGCCCGTATATCTCGGGAATAGCTTTGGGGTCATTGAACACGAGTTGATCGGGGGAAATGCGGACAATGGGACCGAGCTTCTGATGCAGCCGGTGGATTGTCGTAGACCTCTTTTGATTCCAAGTCTCTTTCACTAGCCACAGAGGCTGACAGGTCAGTTTGTTTTATGCCATAAGGTGGTTAGGATGGAGAGATGGACAGGCATGTCATACTGTAATAGCGGCCAAGATGTTGGCTGCTGGGTACTTCCGTAAGTCGAGAGGGTCATTGAAATATCTGACAAGCGGTGTCAGGAAGCAGACGCTGCCTGCCACGAGTAGCAGGTATAAAATGGCTTCGTACATGACGAGAGGTGTTGGCCCATCTCACCTCCAGTAGAGTGTCTCTCATCTTTTATAATTATGAATTATCTCGATTCAGCCCATGAAAGAGGGCCGGTATTCTCTCGATAGGTCAGAACACGATTACCATCAAGACAATCGTCTGTTGTGGTTACCGCAGCCACAGTATTGTTGAGGAAGTGTTCGGCTTCCCTTCCACCGACCTTCGCTTTTGATTCGCCCACGTAACGACGAGCCTTCCAAAGCCTCTCTTGATTGGTGAGCTTCCCCACCGACGTCAGAGGTTTCATTGGTCGGCGTAACGACAAAAGTTACGAGTACGAAACCTCTGCCTTGGACGCTTTTTCTGCTCGATCCACCCTTCGTATCTTCCACCTGATACACCGTGCCTCGCAAGAGATGGTGGCTTCCGTTGGCTGGCGTAACGCTGGAGGAGCAGGCGACATCTTTGTCGTTACGCCAACCAATAGCTTTGCAAAGGACGAAGATACCTGGAATCGATGGAGTGTCGTAGTTTACCTCGGGATATTGAAAGCCTCGTACACTGGGCTATGTAAACCTTTCCTATCGGGTCCCTGGCGTCACTCTCAATATTCATAGCAATCCTTATCTGAAGATACATACATGGAGCCAGTGGATGAGCAATCTCACCGTCTACTACTTGCTGGACGCTTTTCTGACAGATTTGGATGCTTGACGATCATCGCCGTCGGCAATGCCATTTTTACCATCGGAGCGACCACGTTGGTCACGGCCATGGATATTGTTATGCCATACGAAGGAAGGCTAATATCGGGCATAGACTGTGGTGCAGTCGCCAACAACACGCTTCCCTACCTCGGCGTAATCTCGCCGGACTATTAACGTAGTCGGCACACGACCATATCTAACGTGATGGGGTGATCTGGGGTTCACTCTGATGGCCCAGGTGCCCTTCGCCTTTACTTATGTGTCTACAACGCCTTCTTGGGAACTGATCTTTGCCTACGAGTATATCGGGTCTGCGATCTTGCCCATTGCGGTGGTCATCATCCCGAGTTCGCCGCGCTGGTTTGCCTTGAGGGATCGCTCGGACGGTTGTCTTCAGACCTTGGCCAAATTGGACGGTATGCCGCTATCCCAAAGGCCCCGTTATTTACTACCGACAACCTCTCGAGGCCGATAGAGACTTCCACTACCCTTGTTCGTCGCCGAACATACCCAGATCTTGGCCACGGTACGAGAGGAGGTTCGTCTGTCCACCACCAGTGGATGCCTAGAACTGATCAAGCTCGGGTCTAATCTGGAGAGTTCGCCCTGGCCCTATACTTGCCGGCTCAGCAGCATTGAAGCGGCATAAATGCCATCACCTTCTACTCCTCAAAGTTTCAAAAGTGCCGGATCACGAGTTATCATTCCCAGACCATCTTGAATGCTGGTAATACCAGCCTTGGCACCATCATCTCGCCCACGGCCTGGTATAAACTCGATCGCTATGGTCAATGACCAGCCTTTCCTCGCGGGAATGACGGTCATGCCAGTCTTGTGGGTGATAATCGGGCTTCTTGCCGAGGACAGAGACGCCAGCCTTCCTCACGGGTTTATCATTCCAACCTCCGACCGGAAGGCGCTGCGCTGTCTGTCGCATTCACGTTCCCGTACAACCTGTGTGTGTCAAAAACAGCGCCACTGTTGTTCGCAAACGTGGGTTACCGAACGTACTTCTGCTGCACCTGTAAGCCTGGTCGTACCACTTCTTTGGTGACCCCACGTCTTCTGACTTGACCTCCAGGCCCTTGCTATCTCAGTGCTCTAATCACGCTCCTCTTCCTCCCGGAAACATAAGGCCTGGCACTGGATGAACTTGACTGTCTGTTCGCATAAGCCCCGCTCGTGGCCTGGCTGGGCAAATACCGAGTCAAGAGGGACGAGATTTTGAGACTATACGAATCTCAATATGAAGGCCTCAGAGAAAAAGGAGCAAGTCGACGTAGCCCACGTCGGAGGTGAAAAGCTCGAGGACTGAGAAATGCTAGTTTCGATCTACCCTAGGAGTGGCAGTGGCCCTTTGTAGGCACCTCCCCATCGCTGTAGGATAGCATCCCTTGCTGTGCTCACCACCTTCATACTCTGGCGTTCCATGACGCTCGAAAATACATTCTCTAGTAGTACTTGATCACTGGTCGATCGCGCTTGCATCGAAACAACATACAACGGCCAAAGCACAGTCGACACGGTGGTCGACAGCACACACACCCTCAAAAGGCTCTCCAAGGCCTTTTCATAAGCCGCTGCTCTGCGTTCCTGCAACCTTGAGGGGCCAATTATAATGCTGAAAGCGTCTTCGAAATCCGAATACAGGATGGTAAGCGCACTGTACTTGTGCAGACGCGCAATTTGTAAGACGGCTTCTCGTTCAATTTGGGTCTGCCTAGGGATCTGCGACGTAGGCTCTTCGACGTTCCATTGGATCAGGGATTCTTCACACTCTTCAAGCTGGTCGTGCGATGCGCTGTGCAGCATCTCGGATGCCCGAAGCTTTGCGAGATACTCAAGCTTCGGCCATAAAGATTTGGTCAGTCCGTAAACTGCGTCCACCTCGGATGCAACACTATCAGCATTGAGTAATCCCGAAGCAAAGCCAAGGGATCGTTGGTGTAGGGAGAAGGCAACAATCACATCAAAATATTGAAGTATGCCAACGAAGAACAGGGCGTCCGGTGAAAGCTGTGTTCCACAAAAGTTCTGCAGCACTACCTTGGCGCCTTTCAAATGAGTATAAGCACTCGAGAGCGAGCTCCCCAGCACGATCTGCGGACACGGTCAGTAATACGACCGTTGTGGAGGCGTCGGGCCGCCTGCGTACTTCATAGTAGATCAATAGGACAATGGTGGCAAGGATAACCTCCACGTCCTTTGCAAAGTCCACGTTTCCGAGGGATACGGCGAGTATATTCAGTGTACTGGCGTGCAGCCTTCTCGCCACACTGGGGTGAGCCAGGCCCCGATTGGATAGATGTGCCGCGGACAGTGCCTCGACCGCCGTGTACACCAGCTCTGAGTTGCTGACGAGAGGCAAGACATATGAGGCTAGACTCTCATCTGTGGCCTCCGGTGAGAAGCAGAGGAGGTTGGTAATTGTCGAGTGGAAGTGTGTCACCAGTTGGACTGAATTTCCCGTGTGACTGAGCGTTTTTGGCTGCAGCGGCAGATACTTTGCAACTGGAGTCAGCAGCCTGGCTTCGATATATGAGAACAGCCCAGCTCACTGCTTTCTCAACTGCATTCAAATTGCCCCATGTGTAGTCACATCGAAGATCTCGCCGAAGACACTGTTGGCAGCTTGGATGCGTTTCATCGCATTTCTTTCGCCTTTTCCGGCTATTTCTTCGGGTCAGCCGGCGCATGGGTTTCGATTCAGCCGTGGGGAGAATACACACCATTCTCTACAGCCAAAGCGCGATCTGCGCCCTGCGTTGGACGCCGACATGGATGCACAGGATTCTGCCGTGCTCGATGGTTTTTTGGTGAGAATGAGCAAAAGAAGCACTCAAGTAGCAAATGCGTGGTGAAAAGGTCTCGCCTTAGTTAGTGTGCGAGTTGGTGGTGTTACCCCGCCTCCGCATCGCCACCGGGCTATGTTACCCAGGCGCTAGGCTATGCCTGGAAAGTTCTTTAGAGAAGTCAAAGCAACCAGAAATCTGGACTATCGATTTTTAAAGATCTATGATGTATCAGCTTGGTCAGGAAACTCAGATCACTTACCCCTTTTCTGGAGGCTGACATTCGTGGGTCTTTGGAAGAGAAACCGCCTTACAAAGCCTTTGTCTCTTCTACCCAAGACCTGCCCTTCCGACGCGGGGCACCTGTCGATGACTTTGATTTCGCTCAAGGCCTTTCTTCTTTCGATCACTCCAGCGGGCGCGACGCCATAAGACATTTGAATGGTCGCGGATGTACCTTGACATGCTGTCTGGTACTATCGATGAAGGTCTGCTGCTCAATGACCTCGTCCGAGGTCATATTTCATGTCCCCTGACTTTCAAATACATTGTCGAAGAATGTGAGAGGAGATTAGGAGCCATGGGGAAAATCTGTCGAGTCTTTCGTCAGTCGCAATCGGTCATCGCCGAGGATGCATGCTCACACACTCTCACACACACAAACACACAAAAACACAATTTATTACTCCCGGCGACAAGCCGAAAAGGCCGTTAAAGCTGCTCTACTAATACATTCCTCAAGATATCCCCTACTCTCTTTGAAGCCCATGCAATGTACATCTCATCTTCGCTGTGCCGTTCCACTCGCATGCTACGTCTTTGCGGAGTCTCGTGTTAGTAGTCTTACAGTAGCAGTCTGGCTTGAAGGCGATTCTTCAAGTGTTCAGCATCCTATCATCGGCAGCTGAAGCGCGCCTGCTTTCCTGGCACGAGTTGGGATATAAGGGACCGGAAATCATGCTGATCCTGCCACTGCGTCGTCGCTGCCACTTGACTCTCTTGGCGCTCATATGACTGCGCCTATCCTCAGTAACCGACGGCGACGAAATTCATGTGACGACCTTGGCAACCACGTGGGTTTCTTTAATGAATTGGATTACGTAGTCATCAAAATTCCCATTACTACTACACAAGTTCAGGCAGGATCTGGACTGACATTTACAGGCAGCCGCAACGTGTTTTGCCATTGATGATCCTGCAGCATACAGTAACGCCCATGTTTTCGTAGCACAATAGGCATTCCTGTTGCAGTTAAGGTGAGACTCACGACTATCATGGCCATCTACTAATGTCGCTAGCAGTGCATAGTCATAGCGCTTCACCGCTGATCCTGTGTGATCTCCATTATCATTGCCTGGCTCCTTCAATCACCTGATCAACCAATATATTCGGTCAAGTCGCCGAGGTCATTTACTTTTGGAATCTGGTGTGTGCCGAGAACCGCCCAGAACCGGAAACACACCTCGGAGCACGGTCGTTCGGATACGGATGACAGACAACTCCGGGCTGGGGATGCGCTCGCTTGGCTCACTTACCCCAGACATCAGCAACTTTCATATGGCACATGGACACAGTATAGACATCAGGGTTCTTCAGGCCGAGGTTCGACCTTACATGACCCTCTCTCCATCATATACGAGAAAGATCTTCTTCACTGCATGTTTGATCCAATCGAGATCGGGATCTACGGGTGAACCGCCAAAAGGGGTTGTTGGACAGACATAGTTGGGTCGGCTACATCCACTAGGACCACTTCGGTCTCTTCTTGTTTGCCGTTGCACCAGTCACCATCGTGGCCAGTATGGGGTCTGAATTTTTTACGGCAGCAACACCCCGGATCGAGAGGTCGACCAAATCTTGTCACTCAAGATTTGATGACTGTGGTCACATAACGATACGATAGTCTCTGGCTCAGAGCATGCTGTCAGGAATTGATCATAGGTATCCCGCAGTCATCGTATACCACCGGTGCCCACCAGCGTGGAGACCCAGTCAGCCTTTGATGACTAGTACTTGAGCAGCTCTTACCCAGATGGGCTTCTCATTGGCTTTAGACCCGTCGCGCAAATTCAATACCTGCCCGCAGAAACTCCAGACCATGAGTTCCCCAGACGGCTTCTTGAGCCCCAGCTCCCCCAGAATGGGGCTGCCCCGGTGACTAGCTATACCAGTTTCGGTTTTGAGTCGAGGCACCAGGAGGTATCGGACCAAAACATTGATATAACACCACCCCGGCCCTTGTTCAAGCACGAGCTTCTTTCCTGATCAAGGTCCGTAAGTTCGAAAGACAACAGTGCAATCTAGGCAAGAGGACAACAGAACCGACTCTCCTTGGACCAAGTTGCACCGCTAACATGGCCGATTCGGGTCTTCGAAACCGTGGTCTCCACGACCACAATCCTGCCGAGCTTACTGAACTTCAACGCCTTGAACTCGAGCACGCTCAGCGAGATGCCGGCGCTCTTGAAGATCTCCAGAACTCGGATGCCCTCGTCACCGATCAATCCGAGTTCACCGGACGGTACTACTTCCGAATGGCAACAGCATGTTTTTCTATCAGTATGGGTACTACTGGCTCATACTTCGGCTTCACCTGCCCGGCGTCTCTGCTGACCTACATCAATGAGGATATTGGTAAGCATCTCGCTGCCCAGTGGCAGTGAAGGGATTCAGTCTTACTGACTTGAACAACAGGACCCAGCAACAACGCTAGCTTGGTCTCCATCATCTGGACTGCTGCTTGTGCCATTGCGATTATTCTTTTCGGTCGATTGTCTGATAAGTTTGGCCGGAGATGGTTTGTCGTTGGGGCTTCATTCATGGGTGTTATCGGAGGTATCATTGCCTCTCGGGCTCAAAATATGGATACACTCGTCGGCGCAAATGTAAGTCTCTATTAGTCACTTACCGTGAGCGAAAGGTCGGTTTACTGAATCTTTCTAGGTCTTGATCGGTCTCTCTGGTGGTGTCCACACCTGTTATGGTCTGACCATGGGTGAACTCGTCCCCAACCGTTACAAGACAGCAGCCTTTTCCGCGGTCGTGATTCTCTGTTTCGTTGGTATCTCCTTTGCGCCAATCATTGGTGGGTTCTGTCTTGGTGACACCGAAATTGTCTTCGTCTCTAACGTTTGAAACAGGCTTCAGGCTCATCAAGCTTGGTCCAGGATGGAGATTCATCTACTATATCTACATCATTCTCATGGCTATCGCGACCATCTCGCAATTCTTCTTCTACAAGCCACCGTCATTTAAGCAGCTTCACGGTGGAAAGCGAACCATCATGCAAGAAGTCAAGCGTATTGACTTCGTCGGATTATTCCTTCTGACCGCCGGAATCGTGCTCTTCATCCTCGGTATCTCGTGGGGTGGTCAACCCGTTCCATGGAAGTCAGCACAGATTCTCTGCCTTCTAATCATCGGCTTTGTGCTCTGTGTGCTGTTTGTTCTTTGGGGTAAGGTCTTCCCCCGATCCGATATACACTTCGTCGGACTGACGATATCGCTCAACAGAGATCTACTCCAACGTGCCAAATCCCCTCATGCCTATGTATTTCTTCAAAGATATCAAAGGATTTACCTGCTTGGCAATTATCGACGCGATTTCCGGAGCTGGATATGTTGCGCCTTCTGTCATCTGGCCTATGCGTACGTATATGTTTATCTTCACTGTTTCAACCGCGAGGCTGACCTTCATCTCACAGAGGTCGCTAATATATACGCTGCTGGTTCCAATCCTGTCGGCTGGGAAGAACAGGCATGGCTGACCTCAGCCGTGACATTCGCCATCGTCGGAGGTATCGTGTTCTGGGGAGCTATTCTGCCAATCATCAAGCATGTCAAGAAACAAATGATCTTGATGGCATTGATGGTCCTCGCCTTTTCCGGAGGTCTCATTGCCTCGAGCAGAGACAACAAAGGTCGAAATGCGGCATTCGCCTTCCTCTCCATGTTTGCCGATGGTATGCTTGAGATCACACCACTGTCATTGGTGCAAATTTCTGCCAACGATGCCGATCTAGGCACGGTCTTCGGTAAGTACTTGTTCGCCAAAATGCCAAGTAAGAACTTTGTGCTAACATGAAAATTCAGGAATCATCTGTCTCTTCAGAACTATCAATGGCTCGATCTTCACTGCCATCTATCTAGCCATCTTCCAAAACACACTCCCTAAGGAAATCGCTAAGTTTGTCCCCAGCGCCGTCGAGGCCGCTGGACTTCCCTCCTCATCTCTTGGTGAACTAATGACGGCTATCGGCGTGGGTACCGCCGATGCTTTCAACGAGGTTCCTGGCATGACCGGCGGCATCTTAAATGCCACTCTCGATGCTCTTGTCGATGCCAAGACTGCTTCCTTCTCCTACATGTACTATGCCACCATCCCAGTCAACGTCATCATGTTGGGTGCAGTTCTTTTGATGAAGGACTACGACAAGCTTCTTACTACTCACGTCCCTCGACAAGTCTACGCCAATGGTGAGGGTGTTGAGCACCACGAGAAGTTCGGCGACGTTGAGGGAAGCCCCACACACCCAAGCTCAGAGAAGGTACAGAACCTTGAGATTGAAGCTGCTGCCGCTGGCAGTAACTCCGACCGCGAAGATGTCTGTCATGAGCGCAACTCAGGACAGGGGTTCTAACAGGCGTTCAGAGAGCAACACTCACAGAGAGTGCGCGCTAAGAGAGCTCACACCAATATACCTTAGCGGACTCCTGAGCTTCGCACTTTTCACGCAAGCTACTCGCATAAGGAACTTCTCTTCCTTATGCTTAGAGTCTAGGACTAGAGCGCACCTTTAGATAGGAACCCTCGAACCCATTACTGTGTTATCACTCTGCCTGTTTCTCGAGACGTTCCAAACAGGGTGAAGCCAGTATGAATGAAAGTATTTCTGGAGACTATTTCTACCTCGGCCCCCAAGCAAGCTGATGAACTTCTTGGTTCATCCGTAGCGCCTTGGCGATATTCCTACTAGGAATGCTCGGTCCTGTAGGATAGGTTGCTCCAGCTATCCAGCTACTCAAAACCCTTCAACACCCAAAGCCTTGTAAGCTGCCTTGACGTATGCGACTGTCCTATCTGACCCAATGAAGTCGTTTCCCATCTTATTCATGACGTAGCTAAAGGTGATTTTTCTCTCGATGTCCATGAGAACAATACTGCCCCCCCCCCCATCCGCCCCAAAAGCAGATCTTGCCACCCTTGGGCAAGAAGGGAATCGTAGTCAGTGTGCCGCCCTGTGCAAGGCCGAAACCGACGCCAAAGCACAGTGGGAGGCCGGTGACGACGTCGGTGTCGTCGGCCTGCACGTCGAAGATACGTTCAATGATCTCGGGCGTCAGCAGCCGATAACCGTCGACGGTTCCGCCCAGCGTGATAACCGAGAGGATACAGGCGAGCGAGAGAGCATTGCCGTAACTGTTGACGGCACCCAGCTCAGCGGCACACCATTCAGGTGTATAAGTTTTCTCAGCGCTCATGATTGGGTTTGTGAATGTCTTGACCATAGCAGACTCTGGGTTCAGCTTACTAAAATCAAAAGGTAACGGCGAAGAAGGAGGGATAAGGTCCGCAATGCGTCTCCAGTCCGACTCCCACACACCGAGCTGCCAGTCGGCGCCCAGCGGGCCGGTGATCTCGGCCGCGATGAACGACCCTATTACTAGGTTCGCGCGGGTTTCTGGCAGAATACGGACGCACCTTACCTGATCGGGTTTGGGCGGGCCCTTATCGCGATAAGCGAGAACATATTCTACCAGAACACAGACCTAGGGTTGAGATCTCCTAGGGTTAACCGTAGTTACAGTCTCCGGAGCGTTCATCAATCCAAAGGTGAGTGCTGTGACAGTAAGTCTAGGGTAGGAGGATATTATGCAGTAGTCCTCTATTAGCAGGGCGAATTAATAATAATAATAAGGTTAGTAGTGTGCTTTTATGTATAGTTCGCGTCATGATAAGTTAAGTCAACAACTCCTTCTACTACAGCGACATGAATATATCTATTGAAGATTCAAACCCCACCTACCCAATTCTACCCTAAAGACCATGGATTTTTATTATAACACCAAGCTAGAGATAACGATTTATATACTATGGAGCGAAAACAGGTCAGGGCCCTTGGGTTAAGCGTCCCTCAAGGGACGCTCTGCGTTCTCGATAAGGGCGATGACAGGATATCCAGAGAGCCCTGTGATAGGCCGATCCATGTCCCCGAGGGGACGCTCTTCTATCTCGTGAGCACCACATTCGTTCTTTATCAATATCACTTGTCCCTTCGAGGACAATCATGAAGAATATGGCACCTATATCGAAGGAGAGTGTCCCTTAAGGGACGCTTAAAGTTCTCAACAAGATCGACCACAGAATATTTCGAGGGCCTCAAGATAGACTAACTGATTAATGTCCCTAAGGAGACGCTCTTCTATTAGGTAAGCACTATATTCTTTCTTTATTAGTATTACTTATCTCTTTAGGAACAATTATAGAGGATATAATATTTGTATTAAAGGAGAGTGTCCTTTTAGGGACGCTTTGAGTTCTCAATAAGATCGACGACAAGATATTTAGAGAATTCAGTGACAGGCTAGTTAATATCCTTAAGGGGACGCTCTTAAATTAAGTGAGCACTATGTTCTTTCTTTATTAGTATTACTTGTCTCTTTAGGGATAATCTATCTAAACAGTATATAATAAGGTAAGCGACTTTTAAGGTTAATCTCTTAATTAGTGTTCCTTAAGGGATATACTTTGTTTTCTTCTTTTCTATCGATTATTTACTATATTATCTACGCTTAAAGTCTTATTGTGAACTACTTTTCTTTTATTCTACTTTTAATAATGTCTCTTCTTAATAATAAGTAACTTTCTTTATCTTCAGAGAAAATTATCTTTATGAGCGAATCTTCTCTTCTCTATTTTATATTAAGATTATTGTTCACTTATAAGTAGATTAAGCTATACTATTTAGTGATCATGATTTTCTCTATTAATATATTAATATCGATCTAGAAATAAGGCTATAATCGATTATTAAATATTCTGTATCGATAGTGACTTTATTAGGTATTTTGTTAAGAGTTATATTGTATCGACTTGAATAATACTCTTTAGCTTATCTACACTTAATTAGAAATTGATTATATAATTAGCGCGCTAAAGTATCACGACAAGAGTTATCTTAACTAGCGATAGCGAACACTATAGGTGTAGCCTTTATTTTTAGATTAATAATATATAAATCTTGAGCTAATTGAATTAATGATTGAATATCACTATATAGAAGCACTTAAAGAGTACTTAAAAGATTAAAAGAATATTAAGAGAGAGAGATAATAGCTATATAATATTTATAACTAAGGTGAGTCGAATCTTAATGGCTTCTAATTTATTAGCCTTAAGATTCACGCTTAATTTCACGCTTATAGAGACTTTTTTATTGAAGCTTTCGATCTAATTACAAGCTAATCGAGAAGACTTAAGCTTACTAAATATTCACGATTAAATCTGAATCGAATTGACGCTACTCGCGTAATAAGATATAAACTGGTATCTTAGTCTTGACTCTGTTATCGTTATAGCCTATATTCTAAAGACCACTAAAGAGATGACGAGAGATATAAAGACCTAATTAACCCTGAAACTAGGATTGATTAGGAAAACCACCTTCTTTGTGTGTTAACTTAATACTCTATAACGAAATATTACTTAACGAAATATAATTAGTGAGTGATACTAATTTCCCCTTGAATTAGCGACCTTTAATATTATTATCTAGGAGTGGATATCTAGTTACTATATTAATGATATAAATTAAAATTTTTATTCTCGCCTTAAGTATAATATTGCTATATAGTCCTTATTAATTCTTTCTTAAGTGAGATAATATTAATTCTCTATATTTTTCTAAGTGCTTTAAACCCTGTGATAGCTTTGGTATAAATATTATATTAAAGTGTAATCCTTTAACTAGATATAATTATCTTAATTACTCGCGAAGCGATAAGATTAAGATATCTAAGATCTGTTCTTTCTAGATCTTTAGAAGTAATATAAATTAGATATCTTATGCCTTTATATGAAAGACTTTTTTATTGATCTTAATAATATAGTCTATAATTAAATATATAAGATGGTTTTTAATTATCTTATAATACTATTTTCTAATATATATGTTTTACTAAAGACCACCTCGCGAGAAAGTAAGATAATAAGAATAATTATATTATATATTAGTTAATAGCTTAGCCTAGAGCCTTTTTTTATTATTAAGTATATAGGCGATAAGTCTTCACTATAAAAGAACTTTATTCTTACTCTATAGAAATAATATCTCGATAATACTAAATCTTAGTTTATCGAGTTATAACAATATATTCTTATCTTTATTTAAGCGCGAATAAACTAGTTCACTTAAGTGACGATCGAATCACTTTTAGATATCTATCTCTTAAATACGATTAATATATATTAAGAATAGTTTATATATAACGATATATAGCGAGATCTCTTGAATCTAGTATATAAGTTCTATGAACCTTATTTCTAGATCGACATTATAATTAATTTCAATATCAAGCGGCCTTCTTAAATAGTGACGCCCTCGATAGTCATTATCGCTTAATATATATATTAAATTCTGTCTTAGTATATAGAGATTACTTATAACTCTACTCTTTAAGGGATCGTCGCTACTTAAGCTTTAAGTTATAATCTTTAACTAGTGATATTGCACTAAGTCATTCAATAATTCGAGGAAATACTCGCGAGAAGAGGAAATTTAAAGATCGATTTTGATCTATAACTAGTCAGAGAGTAACTGCTTTAATATTATCGATAGATTTCTATACAGAAAGACTATATCTAAGTAAATAAGCTGTGTAAGAATACTTTAGTTACTTAATCGCTAGAGTAATTAGTTAGGGTATTGAAAGTGATTAGTATTTCTTCTGTGTCGGTATTAATCACTATCAAGAATATAGATCGAATATAAACATAACTAATTAAGTGTTATATAGTCAAGATCACTTTAGAGAAGAAAACTAACTCTTCACTTTTGAATCTCGCGCTCATCGAGTTTATTGAGAATATTCGCTTCTCTAAGAAGAGACAACTAAATATACACAGTTAATTAAATGATATCCTAGGGCTAGGCGTGAATTCGAGTAAGTTAAAATCTACTTATAACTAACAAACCCGTCTCAATATCGATAAGTATATAAGATTAGAGGTCTTCACTCGATTCTAGAGGTCTCTATATATAAAAATAATGATTAACTATCATTAATAAGATTGAGAGCTTATATAGTTTTAGATTAATCTTTTTAATTAGATCTTAGTCCACTATATATCGAGAATAGAATAGTTTATTATTTTAGTCTATATTTTATCTTTATTCACTCGATTAATTTTCACTATTATATTGACTAGATATAATATTTAGCTTCTCTCGAGAAATAATCTAAATTTAGGGTTTAGAATTATGATTAAAATAAACTTTAATATTTATGCTCTTTATATAGTTTTAAAGACTAAAAGTCGAATTAATTATCGCTAGGCGCTATCTCTTTACTCGTTTTATTTAATTCATTAATAGTGTTACGTTTCGCTCCACCAGGGGTGTCACTGCATGTATCGTTCCTTGATAAGTGGGAAGTATAGAAGGCGAGGTCGCTGAGAACGAAGTACTTAAGCGAGTACTAGAGCGAAGGGATCACAGTCTAAAACGTATAGGTATAATTGTGAACGAAGTTGACTACATAGTAAAGCTATAAAATGACCGTATATATATAGACCGTAGAATCAGTGACTCTCTTGGGCTCTGTGGGCTCTATAAGCAGAGCCCGCAAAGCCATGAGAGCCATCAAGCTCTATTCTCTTTATGTTCTCCTAACAGAGCCCACGGTCTTGACTTAGTCATGTGATCCCACTCCTCTGACTCATGTGTACTGGAGGTAATAACGCTGAGTGGCTGTCGTTATAGCTTGGTCTGCGGCCTCATAAAAGGCCTGATTCGTAACACTTTTCCCCTCCTAGATTCGTTCGTTGTCCTTAATGTACATAAGGTGAGTCTTCCCCTGCGTTTATTATTCTTTCTTCGACTATGGCTCACTATACCACAGCAACGTTCCTGTAAACGCCTCGATTCTTCCACCTCTCGCCGACTGAACACTGCCAAACGAATCCGTTCTGTCGGGGTCAAACAAACAGAAATAGGTCGATATTCCCGTTATCAAGAGCAGAACTTGGTCTGCTACATGATCAAGGGATACGCGAAATACAATAATTATACTGCGTCGAACGTGCAGTATTGTGATGGTTATTTTTCGGATACCAAGTTCGATGGCCTGGAGCGCCAAAAGAAGACGCTCAAGAAATCCGTCAAAGATTAGCGTGCCGAAGTAGCCCGCCTGGCTGCCGCAGCTACATCCGCCTTTGCTGCGCTGGCCGCGGCACAAGAGAAGGAAATGAAATTGGATGAACG